ATTCTGGATGACCCACCTGTGCAGATCCGTTACGATTCTGAGCAATGGGAGCAAAGGAAGTGGAAACAGGGTCGTGGAGCGGCACCTCTGAGCAAAAAAACCGGTACACACAAGCGATATACGTCTATCTTCGTACCATATCCCTCAGTCAAACCAAGCCCGATCTTTCTCAAACAAAGTGCAATACAATCCTTCACTGCCGCTCTCTCTATTTCCGCAATATTATTTATTTGTCTGGATTGGTGCTCTGTGCACAACTGTCCTAAGTGTGGTGCATGTATAAGCGAGGCTTGCAGGCGGATCCACTTAAGCTGGGTTGTGTGTAACCGTGGGTTGTCATGGACGAACACTCCCTCTGCAGCCCTCCTTCCAAGAGGCACGAAGACGTGGCAGTCAGGCGACATTGAGAGCACAATCAACCTGGTACTGGCCTCTGCAGAACTAGCAGACCAACTACTCAGATGCACGATTCACCCCTGCGACCATGGCTCAGACCACAGAGCAATCGAGACAGATTTTGACGCCACGGTGGAGGACCGTCCCAGTGAGACGAGGTTCCTCTTCAAGAACGCGCCCTGGACGGAAATTAGGACTAGGGTGGCAGCAAACCTCGAACGCATCCCCTGGGACGGCAATGTCCAGCAGCAGACGGACAGGCTCATGGCAGCGGTAACCGAGGCGGTCTACGCCCTGACACCTAAAGCCAAGCCCTCACCATACGCCAAGCGGTGGTGGACAACAGACCTGACACGGCTATCGCCAGACATACACCGTTTTGGAGAAACCTGGCGAGATCTCGACGTAAGGATTGGGCAAACAGCACCAGAGCTCGAACAACGAGCCAGGATGGCAGCCAAAGAGTACCACGACGCCATCCGCAGACAGAAGAGTTCGCATTGGAACGACTTCCTGGGCCGATGACGCTAACATCTGGCAAGCAACGAAGTATCTGCAAACCGGCAGCGGCACGATGGGCGATAAGATACCCCCGCTCGTCCGACCCGATGGCTCCATCACGGAGGGTAAAGCAGAACAAGCGCAGGAGTTACTCACCGCCTTCTTCCCACCTTTGCCAGCGAGAATCGAAGACGAGGGCCAACGACCTCAACGGGCGCCGGTACACATGCCAGACACATAACAATGGAGGAGATAGAACAAAAGGTCCTGTCTCGCTAAGCCATGGAAGGCGCCCGGGGAAGACGGTCTACCGGCAATGGTATGGAGACAGCTCTGGCCAGTGGTCAAAGACAGGGTGCTCCATTTATTCCGGACGTCGCTTCGAGACGGCGACATCCCCAGCCAGTGGAGGAATGCCAAGATCATCCCATTGAAGAAGCCAGGGAAGAGCGAATACACTCTAGCCAAGTCCTGGAGACCCATCTCGCTGCTCTCCACGCTGGGTAAGATACTGGAGGCAGTCATTGCGGAGCGTTTATCCCATGCTGTGGAGACCTGCGGCCTTCTACCCGCCAACCACTTCGGAGCCAGGAAGAGACGCTCGACCGAACAGGCTCTCCTTCTGCTTCAGGAACACATCTACAAAGCATGGAGAGCTAGGAAGGTGCTCAGTTTGATCAGCTTCGATGTCAAGGGCGCATACAATGGGGTCTTCAAAGACAGGCTTCTCCAGAGGCTCAAGGCAAGAGGGATACCTGAACCCCTGGTCAAGTGGATCGACGCCTTCTGCTCCAAGCGCACAGCGACCATTGCCGTAAACGGGTTCACATCTGGACGGCAAGAGCTGCCCCAAGCGGGTCTTCCGCAAGGATCGCCGCTGTCTCCAGTGTTGTTCCTCTTCTTCAACGCCGACCTAGTGCAGCACAAGATCGACGCGAACGGAGGCGCAATTGCCTTCGTGGACGACTACACTGCCTGGGTAACGGGCCCGTCAGCGGAGTCGAACCGCACTGGAATCCAAGCTATCATCGACAAAGCCCTTAACTGGGAGAAACGGAGCGGTGCGCAGTTTGAAGGCGAAAAGACAGCCATCATACACTTCACGAGGAACATGGAGCGATTTTCAGAACAACCGTTCTCGGTCAAAGGCGAAGTGGTCAAACCGAAGGAAAGTGCGAAAATCCTAGGTGTCGTGATGGATCGCGAAGTCCGCTACAAGCAGCACATTGCTAGGACGGCAGCTAAGGGCCTCGCAGCCGCTCTGGCCCTGAAGAGGCTGAAGATGCTTTCCCCGCGGACAGCGAGGCAGCTATTTGTTGCGACAGTAGCCCCGGTCATGGACTACGCTGCCAATGTCTGGATGCATGCGTGCGGGGAAAAGGCACTGAGCTGGCTGAACAGGGCGCAGAAGATCGGGGCCCTGGCCATCACGGGAGCCTTTCGAACCGCGGCAACAGCCGTGGTGGAAGCTGAAGCGAGCATCTACCCCGTACGAGAACGACACGCCCAGGCAGCAGCCAGTCTGTGGATCAACATCCACACGCTGCCCGGAACGCATCCCCTTGCGATGAAGAAAGTCCGGACCACCGTACGATTCGTATCTCCGCTGCAGAAAATTGCCCGCGTGGCCGAAGGAGTACGAGTTGACCGGATGGAGACAATCCAGGAATACGCCGTCCCGCCCTGGGTACCTCGCCTACGACCGACGCTCGAAGCCGATCGAGGGAAGGCGGCCGAGATGGTCAACAAAATTTCGGGAATCGTGGCCGCAACCAGCTCATCCGTAAAGAAGGGACTTGGACCAGGCTGCACCGACAAAGAGGGAACTCGGTCAACTTTCTGTGGATACCAGCGGAGATTGACTTCGCGCTGGGGTCAGATGCCAAGGCAGCAGCCCAGAGAGCGTCGAAGCAAGGACGCACACCCGACTCCCAAATACCCCAGGCCAAGTCTACCGCGATGAGGCTGGCAATGGAAAGACAACGGGCGACAAGAGTTCTACCTGTAAGCGTGGGCAAGTTCTCAAAGGCCATGGACGCAGCACTACCAGGCAAGCACACGCGCCATCTCTATGACAAGCTGAAGCGAAGGGAGGCCTGCGTATTGGCGCAGCTCCGAACCGGAATGGCGAGACTGAACGGTTTTTTGAGCAGGATTGGGGCGGTCGAGTCAGACCTTTGTGCCTGTGGACAAGCGAGGGAATCAGTGGAACACTTTCTTTTCCGATGCGTGAGATGGACAGCTCTGAGGGAAGACATGCTGCAATGCACAGTGGCAAGACAAGGAAGCCTCTCGTTCTATCTGGGAGGGAAAGCGCCATCGGATACAAGGCATTGGTCGCCAGATATGAAGGCAGTCCGGGCGACGATCAAATACGCAATGGCAACAGGAAGGCTGGAGCTGAATGAGGAGGAGAGTCTAGACCAGTCACAGTAGAAGAAGCCGACACTCAACACCACGAGCCTCAACCACGAGCCTTAACCAGCAGGTCCCGCTTTAGCTGCTGAAGATAGGACGCTGAACACTTGGAGAAAGTAGCCTCCAAGTTGATCTGCTAACAACAACTCAAGGCAAGAGGTAAATGGTGCAGCGAGAAAGAGGGAAGAAGTAGGGGGCTTGTACGAGTTAAAGGCAAACCGATTTGATCCGGATGTAGTTAGCGTGCTAAGGCCCTATAGGCCCAGTGCCTCCGGGCGAAATAAATTCCATCCATCCATCCAGCCTTGGTGCAAGGTGGGCATCAACTCAACTCACTGTGCAACGTCAACTCAACTCAACTCAACTCAACTCAACTCAACCGAACTTATGCAAAAAAAAGGCCCAACTCAACCCAACTTCGGGGCCGGGTTGAGTTGGCGAGTTGAGGTACATTGAGGCCAAGACCCCTGGAAATTCCTCGTGGCACTAGTCTGTTTTGGTGTTCGTGTCATTGCCCAACAGCGCTTTCGGCACCGGATAAACCTGGTATCCGGAAACAAACAAGGCAATTTGGCTGCCCTCCTACTTTTTCGGCCCTTTTTAGTGGTGTTGCAGGCCAATCGAGTCTTCCCTGCCGCGCGTACCTGGGGGGCAAGCCGACTGCGACCTTCCTGTCCTTACTATGTACTGTGCCTAACCACCTACTGAACCCACTATGCCTCCCTCCGTTGCTTCTGTTGCCGACACCGACCTCTCGACCGAGCTATTGACTGTCCAGACGTCCTCCGACCGTACGCTAATTACGACTGCCGCAGTTGCCGCGCCGCATCGCCACACTTTCTACGCTCGCCGGCCGGACCCTGCAACCAGGGATGAGCTTCAGGCCTACCTATGTGAAGAACCTCAGGAAATCCACGATGCTGTGGAGTGGTGGTTGAGCCCTGGCAGAAGGAGCGACTTTCCACGCCTTTCCATCATGGCGTTGGACTTGTTGACGATACCGGCGATGTCTTCAGAGTGCGAGAGGGTATTCAGCAGGGCCAAGCACACAGTTGCCCATCAACGCCACCGCCTTGATGATGATGCTATCAATATCGTGGAGAGCCTCAAGCAGTGGAGTCGGCTGCGGTAGGGGTTCTGGTTTGGCTCACGGGGCTGGAGAGTAGGGTGCTTAGGTCTGGATCAATATTTTTCGCTGTATTACATAAGGTCTTGGCGTTGAGTTGCAACTCGGCAACTCAACTCAACTTGTGAATGGCCTCAATCAACTCAGATGGCCGGAGGCCCAACTCAACCCAACTTCAGGGCCGAGTTGAGTTGAGTTGAGTTGTTGCCCACCATGCCTTGGTGATGCCTTTCTTTACCGGCTCGCCTCCCACATCCGTGGGGATGTGGAACGACGATGCGCCATAGGCCAGCGCTGACCGGATGCACTTTGTGTACACTTCTCGCGCTTTGGCTGGCCCCATTCCCCACGTCTTTGCCACGATCCTCGACGGGGCATAGCTCTGGGTCCTCAGCTTCTTCTCCACAGCCACCAGGTGAGGCTTCCAATTGGCTTAATGGAATTTGGCTTTGAAACGTTAGTCTTAAGCCTTAATTAACCGCTAAGCAAAGGGGAAGGGGTAACGGGGTGGCTATTGGGATTGAGGTGGACTTCCAATACACCCAGGCTCCAGGCCAGATACAGTGAATCTAGAAATCAACACACACACCAACCTCCTCTGAGAAGCTTAATCTGAGAAAACCCATAAATTTGTTGCTTGGTCCTGAAACTGTTCTACGTGCTGTCTATTCTCCATTGTATCATCCTGCTAAAAGTAATGCATTCAAGGGCAATGGAAGGCTAGGACAGAAAACAAAAGAGAAAAGGGGGTATCACAACAAACTGTTCTTGTCCATCTACGGGGCTTTCACCAACCCCAAACAACCCTAGGCACGGTTCAGTACCACGCCGACTTCTTCCCCGCTTCGATGCTGTCCACGACGGGTGCACTTTTCCGTCTGGCACACCTTTCCTCCGGTCTAGCCGCTTCGCCTTGGGGCCCGAGCGGCCCTCGTGATGTAGTGGGTACTCGCCCAAACAGCCCGCCACCTGGCCGCCGGGTCGCTCAGGGGGTAGATGTCGTCTGCCCCATTGGCCCCTTGAAATGGAACCAACGAAGTCTGTAAGGTCAAGGGTTCGAACGCTGCAGGTGTGAGGCTTGGTTCTGATCTTGCTAGGGTTGAAGTTCTTCTCCTCGTCCCTGTTGACCTCATAGTCGTACCAGTAGGCATAGTTATTCAACGACGGATCCCAGAGCGGGCCCTTGTCGGTGATATCCTTGAGCATCTTGAACGGTAGGACATATGGGTGCATCCCAGGTGACGCATACATGGCGTGACTGCCGACGGCGGAGTAAATGACGGGCCGTGCCGGCTTGCCACCCTTCTGCGCTCGTTTCTCGAGGGCCTTCCAAAGATACGCCTTGCCGCCAGCGTGCTCGCTGAGGAACATGGCCCGTGGGATGCCGTGCTGGAAACGTACCATGCAGTGCTCCCAGTCGCCGACATGGTTCCCGAAGCGGATATTGAGTACCGTCTGGCCGAGGTTGTAGCTGTAAAAGAAGAACCAGAAGGCATCGACGATACCGGCTCCCTTGTCAACAAGGATAAGGACGGCCGGAGCTTTCGAGTAACCGCTAGGACCAGGCTTGCTAGCCTCAGTATCCTTTGGACCATCCCACACGATGGGGCGTTGAGCATCGAATCCGGATTGCCGCCGCCGAAGCCCTTTGTGCTTGTGGGATGACATCCTGGGCGGGACGATGCGACGTGGGGGGTGGTCTCTGTCGACGTCTTTCCAGGAAGAATCGTCGTCGGGGCGCCGCGGGGGATCTTGCGCGCCGTCATCCCCGTCATCCCCATCCGAGCCATCGTCCTCGAAAGGTGCTGGAATGGAAAATCGACTATGGAGCCATTCCGGCCTCGACTCCACATCATCCTCGCTCGTGGCGAAGACCGTGCCATTTAGAGCATTGAGGTGCGCCATGTTCCCGAGATCCAAAGGCTCACTCGTGTTGACCAACACACCCCTCAAGTACGGCTTCATGTGGCGGACATGTTCAGCAATGTCGGACGGCCAGAAGTGTTCCCCCGAGTAGAGATGCACCAGCGGCGCATGGTCGAGTACATAGTCAGGCACCGCCTTTAGGATACGCGCGCTGCTGGTGCTGTGCGCGCGGGGCCCGCGCCTCAGGTCTTTCCCCGCCGGGGCCGTCTCCCAGTCACTGACCCCAACCTTCGTCCCGAACACCCAGTACGTACTCAACCCCACGGCGAGCGATTTCAACTCGTCTAGTGTCGAAGGCCCATCGTTGTCAAGCGAAGGTGCATCCCAGCGTATGTGTTGTAGGCCACAGAGACCCAGCCAGCGGCATGCCTGGCGATCGACCCAGCTCGGCGAGGTATTAACCCAGTTTTTATCCCTCTCGCGCTCTTCCGCGTCGGGCGGTGTCGGGTTGAGAACTCGCGGTAGGAGCCAGAGCACAAAGACTAGGGTAGCGAGGAAGACACCGGCGATCGTTGCCCTCCGAGCGCTGTAGGCTATGAAGGACATTTCGTGGCGGCGCGTGCCTGGGGTAGGCGCACGATTATCGGTGTTGAGTTCGAAGAATGGCGCTGTGAAGTGGTGCTTGTGTTCAAGGGTCTTTTGTCTTAGGCATCGGGATGGTCGGATGGAATGTGATCGGCGGTGAGAGGACAAAGTAAGTCGAGGTTCGAGAGTGGCGCAGTCGCTGCTTCGTAACGGTCAGGCGGGCAAGCAATTTACCTTCGTTGTCCAGCGGAATGGAGGAAGACTGTTTCGAAGGCTCCAGGGAAAAGAAACACAGGCAAACAATTGAAAGTCGAGATCGTCAAGTGGGATGCAGGGCGGCACTGGAACAGGGCTCGGCGTTGCAGTGCTGGCATTGACAGCGGCGTTGGCAGGAACGCAGGGGAGGGGCAACGTGCATGTGCATGCGTCAGCGTAGTTGTAGTTACTGGTACTTGTTGATTACCAAAGAAACTGTTGGTATGGAGGTATCAATACTCAAGTATTGGGCACAGAACATCCGCCCCACCACCCGATCGGCTGTTGGGGCAAATGGCAGGTTCCACAACACCCTCGTGCTTCCGAAACCCGGAGTTGCCGGTGTGCCAGACACCAGACGGTTTGCCACGGGGTTGGCTTTGGCGTGCGGTATGGTTTCACGGCCCGAGTGACTTTCAACGCATCACCGGTTCTGGTCATCCGAAATGTCGTCCCAGTGCATCGGCGTTGGAGTTGAAGGACCCGGCCGATCCATCCTCTGTCCAAACCGCGATAGCGCGCCGCTGTCTCGTCGAATAAGTGCAGCACGCCTCGCTCTCTTTGGCCAACCTCGCCTCCCTCCTATCCTCGGCACGTAGTTTCGCTCGGGTGACCTCAGCCCTAATATCCTCTCCTCCCTCCTCTTGTCGCGCCATCTCACATTCCTTACGTAGTCCTGTCGCAGCTTTTTCCGCCGGCGTTCCTCTTCCTCGTCCTCCACCATGAGCTTGTTCTGCCTCGTCTCCAGCGGCTGGATTGTGACCTCGTCCGTTTCCCCGCGTTTCCGTTTCAGGGCAATCAAGTCCTCGAGAAAATGGGCTTGGGGTTGTCGTTGGCCGCTCTTGTCCCCGCCGATGTGTACGTAGATTCCGCCGTTTCGCTTGTATCGCTCGGGGATATCCTCCTCAGAGTAACCAAACCCCAAAAATACGCCCTCCGACAGCATATCCCGTTCCTTTGTCTGTAATGTTGCCTCTTGGAAGTTGATCCTTGTCGCGCTCGCCGCAAGTAGGTCCATATTTTGCGGGAGGTGACGGAGAGCTGGGAGAGGCGCCGGGTCATCGTGGGGGGTAAAGATCATCTCGGTGCCAATGTTTTCGCACCATGAACCGCGGAACACGTGGTTGCGGTACGAAACTATCGGCTCTTTTGAGTGCAGTTCCAATATTTGGATTTGTTCTGATGGCCTGTGGTTCTTTTGGCGCTCCCTTTGCCCCTGCTTCTCGGTGGTTTGCACAAGCAAGGGGTCGATTGGGGGCTCTGTCTGGGCTTGCGGCTGTGGGACACCAACCGTGTCGAGATCTACCTCTTCGCGCTCGGGGGGCTCTTCGTCGTCGGCATCTTTGTCGTCGAGGAGGTCTGGGTTTAAGGCTTGAGGTTCCGACGCGTTGAAAAGAGGGTTGTACCACACCCTGTATCCGGTCCGCGTGGTATGGACAACGTCGTCGGTTCTGCGCTCGAGGAAGTCGCGGACCGACAGGTCAAGGGTCAGGTAATAGGTCTGCTCCGGCGGTGAGAAATAAGGACACGGTACGCAATATGGCAAAGCATACCTCTGTTTCTGTCGCGGAGTATTCGTACTCCCAGCCGTCATCATTGTCGGGCTGGTCATTCAGCTGATGTTGGCCGGAAGACCCCATTGCGATTGATGTTGAAATCCTGTCGCCGATATCTTCGCCGTTATGGTTTGCGATCGAGTAAGATGTTAATGGATGGTGGGAAAAAGAAATGCGACTCTCGGTTGTGAATTGGGCAATGGACTACACGACAGCAATTGAACATTCACGAAGAGCGGCCATCCCTGGGCGATCAATCCGAAATCTTAGCGGTCGCTGGAGGCAGAACCAGGATCCCTGCCCGGTTCCGCATGGCGGGGTAATTGCGATTGACGGACCCTGCCCCGCCATTGAACTGCCCTGAGATGGAATTTATTTTGGGTTAGCAGCCATCCCATCCATTGACTCACCCAAGTTCCCTGGAGTCAGTCACCAAACACCACACGGCAACGGACAAGCATCTTCAAAATGCCCAAAGTCCACCTCCTCGATTACGTCGCCGGCAACGTGCGCAGCCTTGTCAATGCCATCGAGAAGGTTGGCTACGAGGTAGAATGGATCCGGTCACCGGAGGACGTCAAAACTGCTGAAGTACGGACGAACCCTTGACGCGATAAAATGCGCCGAGAAGCTGACTCAATTTGTCTCTTAGAAACTCATTCTCCCCGGTGTTGGTCACTTCGGTCACTGCCTCTCCCAGCTTTCCGCCGCCGGCTACCTCCCCGCCCTCCGCGCCCACGCCGACGCCGGGAAACCGTTCATGGGCATCTGCGTCGGCCTGCAAGCTCTCTTCTCCGCCTCCGCCGAGGACCCCGGCTGCCCCGGTCTCGATATTGTCCCGGGGGCACTGGAAAGATTTGACGACTCGGCGAAGGCAGTCCCACACATTGGGTGGAACAATGCGTCGTGTCCCACGAACCCCACGCTCTATGGTCTGCGCCCCGACTCCAAGTACTACTACGTCCACTCGTATAAGTTCCCGTACAAGAAGGGTGAGCTAGAGGCTCTTGGTTGGGCGGTTGCTACTGGTACATATGGTAACGAAACGTTCGTCGGGGCCGTGGCCAAGGGAAACGTGTTCGCGACGCAGTTCCACCCCGAAAAGAGTGGCGTCGCGGGGCTGAGGGTCCTCCGTGCCTTCTTGGATGGGTCAGGCGCGAAGGCTCTCTCAGACAGCCCGCCTACCGGAGTTGATGGTGATGTGGGCGCGATGATCGCGAACGAGGGGTTGACTCGGCGTGTGATTGCCTGCTTGGATGTGCGGACGAACGATCATGGTGATTTGGTGGTGACCAAGGGGGACCAATACGATGTGCGGGAAAAGTCCGACGACCGGTCGGTACGGAACCTGGGCAAGCCCGTGGAGATGGCGAAGAAGTACTATGAACAGGGGGCAGATGAGGTCACTTTCCTGAACATCACATCCTTCCGGGATTGCCCCGTTGCCGACCTACCGATGTTAGAGATTCTACGGAGGACATCAAAAACGGTGTTTGTGCCCCTGACGATCGGCGGTGGCATCCGGGATACTGTGGATGTGGATGGGACGAAAGTGTCAGCTCTAGAGATTGCAACCATGTACTTCAAGAGCGGAGCCGACAAGGTGTCGATCGGGAGCGACGCCGTAATCGCCGCCGAGGAGTACTATCGGGGCGGCAAGGCCTTGTACGGCAACACCGCCATCGAGCAAATCAGCAAAGCCTATGGCAATCAAGCGGTCGTCGTGAGCGTGGATCCAAAGAGGGTGTATCTCCCCAAGCAGGATGCTACACGCCATGCCACGGTAAAGACGAAGACGCTTGGGCCAAAGGGAGAGGAATACTGCTGGTACGCGTGCACGATAAAGGGTGGACGAGAGACAAGGGATCTCGATGTCGTGGAGCTTACCCAAGCCGTCGAGGCTATGGGTGCAGGGGAAATTCTTCTTAACTGCATCGACAAAGATGGCACGAACAGTGGGTTTGACTTGGAGCTTATCACACAAGTTAAGGAGGCCATCAGGATACCGGTCATTGCCAGCAGCGGAGCGGGCAACCCAGGCCACTTTCTTGAAGTGTTCCAGGAGACCACCACTGACGCTGCATTGGGTGCCGGAATGTTCCACCGGGGAGAGTACACTGTGCAGCAAGTAAAGGACCACCTCGGTGAGAAAGGACTGGCGGTGAGGAAATTCGAGGGCGGGCTGTGAAGCCACCTTCAACCAAGCCACAAAACCAAGAATACTTTTTGATATAGACAGCCATACTCTGAATTTTGTATATACTTTGAGTCATACCGTCCAACGCCTTCCCCGTTACGAACGCAAGGGCACCAATTTCGATCGTGATACTTTCAAGAAGGGATTGGCCCAGCATCAAGCCAATGAGAAAGAGAAAACAAAACCACAGAACCAGAAGATCGAGGACGCTACCGAAACCCCTGATGAAATCTCCAAAGAAGGGCTCGCCAACCCTTCCTATGCCTAAATCTCCATACCCATGAATAGCCATCGATTGCTCAGAACGTCGAACCCGGGCGACCAGAAGTCAAGCGTGGTGAGCGAGAAGCCAGCCCACTGGAGGCCCTTGGCCAATCCATTTATTTCCTCCGCGGGTATCGACCGTTCGATGCAGATAACCATGTGCGAGCAATCAAGCGGTCCCTCGGCGAGCTCGATAAGAGCGACGAGTCTGTGAAGTGTATTAGTACGATATCTACGGGACTGCGAAAAGAGGGAGAACGTACGCTTGCTTCAAGTCGCCAGTTATGGAGTGTTCATCGAAGAAGACGAATAGCGACTTGGTTTCCCCTGTGGAATCTTCAGCTACGAAGCCGCGGAAGCTGGCGCCGCCGGCGTAGTCCCAGATTTCCAGCCAGCCCAGGACCCCACCAGCGGCACCCAAGCGCCGGCGACCCATCATGGTTTCATCCATGATGGGGAAGTCGGTGGGCGGCGTCAGCTGGCCGTAGTGACCCACGGCCTGAGCACGCCCGTCGTTCCGGCTAGCGTTGTTGCTGATGCTGTCGTTGTAGCTGCCGTTGCTGTAATAATTGTTGTTGCTATGAACACTGGCCAGGCCCGAGCCCTGCAGCGCCGCGTTCCTCTCACCCAGAAGCATGGCGCGCAGTGTCTCGCAAAAGAATCTCTCACATTCTTCCCTGATGCGCAGTGTTGCCCCCCCTCGGCGGCGATGCCAGGCACTACTCGAGGTGTCGTTGGTAGTGTCCGAGCCGTGACGACCGACGCTGTGCCCGCGTGCTGATGATGACCTCGCCTTGGGGGTCAGCGCGAGCTGGTTGGTCGACGTGAGGGCCGCGAGGGGGGGGCTTGATGGCGGCGATGGAAGTCCCGTCGAAGGGACCTCAGGAATACCACTCGGCCCCTGCGAGCCCCGTAGTGCAGTAGTGGAGGCCCTTCAACGAGGCCGTGGACGAGTCCACAACATAGCAGCTGGCGAGGATATTGGCCTGACGGGCAACGTCCTCGCCATAATTACTACTACTGTTCGATTTTGGTGATTTCATGGGCGCCATTGCTGCTGGATGCCAGGGTGTTGGTTGGGAAATGGGGCGTTGGGAATGGGTTCGGGTCAATTCGACCGATCGATGATGGCAGCAAGCGTTGTCGATTGAGTTTTTTCGAGGTGGTTGGAGATAGGTGTTGGCCTGATCAAAGCTTAAAGCTGGCGATGGCAAAGGATTCTGGGCTTTTATGGGTTGGGCTGACAAAACAGAGTTCCGGTGAACCTGAGGGAAATCCCAGTGGCCACAGCAAAAGTGCAAGTCTTGGCGTTCGAGAACTTATCACGTGGTGTGAATAGTGGGGCTGTGGCCAAGCTGCAACCAACCAACGCCTTTTGCGGCACACGTTTTTGGAGACTTGGCGGATCAACGGCACGAAATTCAACGGCTCCGTCAAGCCATCGGCCTGTTGAAACCAACATATCGGGTTCACGCAGCCAGAACAGGATTCTTTTGAGTGCTGGGCCAGCCCAAAACCGGGAAACTGGTGAAAATGGGACCACTATCCAATCAACCGGAATAAATCACTGCAATTCAACCCGACGGGAACCTTCTTGCTGTCAGTTCTTGGGCTCCCGTCTTGACTTTTCTCAATTAACGTTACACACACCGCATTGCCGTCGTGGAGGAAGCCAAGACATGCCGAATTCTTGTGCAACGGGTATCCATGTTTCGGGCCGCGGTGGGTCGCGACGCCCAACGTAGCGGCGTGTTGCTCCACTGTTGGCGACGTCTTGCAGATGCCCCGTCTCCGGTGTCAGTCAACACCTGAATAGTAAGTTATCGTTGTGCAGCTCACGGCTCGTTCCAGGTGTGTGTGGCTTGATACACTGAGATTTGGAACGGCATTTGGTGTTAACCACGGCTCGGCAGTTGGGGCAGGGATGGTCCCGCACTGTAGATAAGGGACCTGGAGAAGCGACAATGCGGGGAGTGTCAGGTGGTCGAACCCCGTTACCAGACCATGCTATTGCGTCAACACTTTTTGGGACTGACTTATAAGCTCGCACGGAGCTCTTGGCCCAATGAATCCCCATCGTTTGAGGCTATCTGACCAGTCTTCCAACCAAATCGAGCCGCTGTGTGCCAGCCCTACTGTCAGGCGACAGATTCCGAGACGCCGAACGTGAAGCGACTGATGGTGAATGAGACATGAACATGCCGGGAATCCCGCGAGGAGACGACAACGCTTGCTCCAAAAACACAGCTTGATCGCCTGGTGAGAATCTGGGGTTTCACCCTTAACCATTCAACATCCACGCCCTAGGTTTTGGGCCTGGCCGAGCCTTCACAAGCCCCATCAACAACAACATCGTCATCAACAATACCGGCAACAACAACAACAACAGCAACGTAACATCAGCGTAACAGCAACTCAACAAAAACCATGTCTTTCCTACAACCCAGCGTGTCTGCACCACCATTACCCTCCAGACCGAAGTTCCCGCGCTATCTCCTCCCCGCCCTCCGCATTCCCTTCACTCGATGGCGCATCCCCGAACCAGCGCTCCAAACCCCAGGCAGCTCAGACCCCCCATCACCAACCGGAAGCAACACCAGCACAAGCACCAGCAACACTTCAGCCGTGCCCTCCCTCTCCACCTCGCCAACCTCACCCACCACCCCCTCCACCGCCGGCCGCCGCCTCTCCCGCACCCGCCCCGACACCCTCCGCTGCCGCTCCTGCGCCACCGACCTCGCCTTCCACACCCAAATCGTCAGCAAATGGTTCCGGGGCCGGCACGGGCGCGCCTACCTGGTCGCCCCACCGCCACCCATCTTCCCCACGGCGATCCGCTCGCGCGTCCACGCGCCCGCCAACACCATCACCCACACGACCAGCATCCGGCGGCACGTGCCCTTCACGCCCGTGCTGGTGCCGCAGCCACCCCCGCAAACCGCCGCCGCCAAGGTCGCGCTGGCCGGGGACCTCATCGACGAGCTCGTGTCGGGCGCCAACCTGCTCAACGTCACGCTCGGCCCGGAAGAGGACCGGCCGCTGATGACGGGCCGCCACGTGGTGGCGGACGCGCGGTGCGCCGTGTGCGGGGCCACGGTCGGGTGGAAGTATGTCTCGACGGGCCAGCCGTCGCAGGCGTACAAGGTGGGGTGTTTCATCCTGGAGACGAGGCGGGTGGTGAGCTGTCGCGGGTGGGAGGACGGGGATGAGTGGGTGCATGGGCGGGCGGGGTTGTCGCTGGATGGGCGGCCGCTGGGGGTGGATGGGAGCGAGGAGGAAGTGATTCCTGTGGGGTGGGCGGAGGACTGGAAGGGGGAAGGGGAGAAGGAGCAGGACGCGGTTGTGTTTGACTCGGACGATGAGGACGAGTGTGAGGATATGTTTGAGGGGGTGTGGGATGCCAGGGTTGTGGCGTGCCGACGAAGACGAAAAGCTGGGAACGCCTAAGAGATGAGATGAGATGAGATGGGTTTTGGGGCACTCGGGATTCGGACGCGCATGAGATTTCCTGCATTTTCTCATTTCTGTTCTGGGTTGGGGACCGGCGTTTGGAACTTGGACCGAGAGCATCAGACTGGACTGTGGAACGGAGAGACAACATTGATACCCAGGGATAATGGTAAGCACATGGGGCTGGTGTATGGCAATAGCTTAAAGTACAGGTAGGGGCCATGACATGTTATGGCATATCAAATACATTCTGTACCCATAAACCACGATGCGAATGAGAATGGCCTGAATTCTTTACTTTAAGACGTTGACCGCTCTAGTCAGTTAACCAAAGGTTCGTATTACGTGCTGGGACGAGAAAGCCCTCGTCCACAGCAAAGTCCCTCACCCCGCACCAGATTGTTTAGTTGATGGGCTCCTCAGCAACATAGTGCAGGTAGGCGCCCAGAAGCTTGATGCCCTCGATGTAGTTGCGCTTGTCCAGCTTCTCGTTGATCGAGTGGGCACCGTCCGTGGAGCTGCCCATCGGCAAGAGCAGCACGTTCTTGCCCGTGGCTTGCTCAAAGGTCAGGGTCACAGGGATACTGCCACCTTCGCGAGTGAAGTCGGGCTTGACGCCCCAGACGCGCTCGGTCGCCTTGGCCGCGGCGGCGAAGTTCCAGTGATTGGGGCTGGCGACCCACCAGTTACCGGTGTGCTGGGGCCATACCTTCAAGGTGTTCTTGGAACCGAGCTTCTTGAAAACGTCCTCCACGTAGCGGCACACCAAATCGTTGGTCTTGTCGATCTCCATGTTGGGCACCGTCCGGATCGAGAACTTGCCAGTGACCTTGGCCGGAATGACCGTCTTGGCGCCAGGGGCCGAGAAGGCACCCTCAATGCCGTGCAGCGAGAGCGAGGGGTTCCGCCACCGAGCCATTAGGGTCGACTTCTTGTCCTCGAAGATGGTCGTCTTGCTACCGAGCGAGTCGTGGAGAGTTTCCATGGTGAAGGCAATGTTGTCATAAAGACCGTGCTCCTCCGCAGTGATGGGGGCAACCTGCTCGACGATACCCGGGATCAGGATCTTGCCGTCGGTATCGACCAGCGACGCCATGACGCGCACCAAGTCTGTCATGGGTTCCTGCGCGGTGCCACCGAAAACACCGCTGTGGAGGTCCGCGCCAGGACCCGATACCTCGATGCTGTAGTAGTTGCACCCACGCAGACCATACGTCAGGCACGGCTTCTCGGTGCCGAGCCAGTAGTTGTCGCTGATGCAAACGGCATCGGCATCGGCAAAGTACTTCTTTCCCTCGGCGTTGATGAGATCGTCCAGGCCGTCTGATCCGTACTCCTCCATGCCCTCGAAGCACATGAGTAGGTTCACAGGGAACTCGATGCCGGCAGCCTTGTGGGCCTCGATGGCGTTGAGCCAGCCTAGGACGGGCCCCTTGTCGTCGGTCGAACCACGGCCGCACATGCGCCCATCCTCCTTGATGGTTAGGTCAAACGGCTCCGTGTCCCACCCGTCGCTCTTCTCGGCCGGCTGTACATCGTAGTGGCCATAGACCAGAATCGTCCGCTTGTTCTTGTCGTTGCCGTACCGGGCGAGGACGACGGGGGGGAGGTCGAGGTCGGTGCCCTCCTGCTTTCCGAGCTCCCGCAGCTCAGCAGACGCGCCGAGCTTGGTCAGTTGGTCAGCCAGCCAGTGGCCCATGCGGACGACATCGGGGCGGCGAGCAGCCTCGGAGGAGATGGAAGGGATGGCGACGGCCTCACGCAAACGCTCGATGAAGGCGTCGGACAAGGCGTCCACCTTCTGGAAATATCCGTCGAGTTGAGGTGCCATTTTGCGGGCTTGGTGGGCGCGGGTTGCCTCGGTGATGTACGTTCGGGAGCTTCTTGTTGACCTCGGAGCTGGGCGAAATTGTGGGCGGGTCTGTCGGAGAAGACCTCGTGATGATGAGAGACAGGTGGTGCTGGTGTTGCTATAGGGGACACGAGATAAAGGAACAGACCGTCTCAGCAAGCAACCAAGGGAGTTACTTGAAGTAATCAGGTTTGGTGGGGAGGAGAGGAATGAAGTGCGGGGCATTTTGATGATGGAGGGCAGCGCGTGGAGGGGCACCACACCTCAGGAATCAGTAGGAAGCTGTCAGACTTCGGCAGCACTGCCGCGGTTGGCCGGCCTGGGCTCAACTTTGCGGTGCCCCACCCTCTCTCACAGACCTCCTCTCCTTGACGCGTCGAGCAGGTGAATGTTTTGGGGTTACTTTAGCCACCACCGGGTGTTAAACCAATTTAATCCCCCCTCTGTACGCCTCTACAAGTGAGATATTGAATTCTAACAAGTCTTTGTTTTGTTCCTATTTGTTCGCGTAGAATGCCTGGCAGATGTTGCGGAAGCAAAAGAAACCAGGGTTAGGGCTCCCATTTGTGTAAGTCGTCGGCTAGCACCGGCTTCTGTGTCCCTCTCCAACATGCGCACAAAGTTCGAGAACTGAGATCAATGTTCCAAAACTTTTTGTTTTATCAACATTGTTTACCGGAACCTGCAACGACTAAAAATGGAGGCTGTAAATAGACCGCGCATTGAGCCAAGAAGCGAAATGGTAACTATTTCAAGCTCCAGGGCCGACATTTCTGGCCTGAAACAATACTGCCGGCACTTCTACTCAACCCCATTGGCCCGGAATCTTCTCTCCTCACGATAAGCGCCCACCGCGCTACAGCAGCCGCCAAGTAGTGAGACCAAACGCATAGTGATGGAAAACACCTTGTCTGCTTGGCCGGTCTGGGCTGGTATGCCACGCTAGCATGCTGCATGGATCGATCTCAAAACAATACGGACCGTTCCTGGCGCTTGGCGCCACAAGACGCCCTATCCAAGCCATGGCAAAGTCTCACCTTTCCCATGTTAACGATACAGGGCGAAGAGGACATGGGAGTGGTAGTGCCGATCTCCTCCCTTGGGACCGGAAAGTGTATTGCCCGGGGGTTGAGGCTCTAGCCCACTACCCAAAAGCCAGGTTGTGTTCGGACCATGGCCCCACGGCGTGATATACGCGCACTTCTTCCCGGTACTGAACTCGGTTACTAGAGCTCGACCCATATTATCACTCTTCCCGTCCCCGAATTCCGGCACTATCCATGCTTTTACATTTAGGCACCTGCTCCGTCGCCGTCAGGGCCCGGTTTCCACCATACAAGTTCACTCACCTCTTGAATACCAGCAACGATGACTCGGCATGGGTCTGATTTACGTCTGAGAAACAACATTGCTTCTCCTAGTTTTGGCCATTCATCGCCAGCTGCAACTCAGCCGACAACTGGTGTTCCAGCTTCTCTCCCTAAGACACTTAGGCCCGTTGCTTCTAAGCTCCCCGATGCGACTGAGAACGCCATAACCTCGCCCGTCTCCATCCTGGGCGATGTCGAAAAAACTCACACCCGGGCTCGATCTCGGACGGAAACTCCTATCAAAAGTAACGAAGGGCCCGGGAGCGCGGCTCGAAGTAACACTCCGACAGCTTGGAGGTCGCCGTCAGAAAGCAGGCTAGCATTGCGCCAACGAAGAGATCCGCGTCCAACCATTCAGGTACCCAATGAGAAGGTTCAGACATATCTCTACCGGATGGCTCCGCCCGGCCCCACGGAAGAACTGGCAAAAGAGAATCGCAGCCTCCACCAGCGCATTGCGGCTCTCCAACGGACCGAGACCGATTTACTCAACGAGAACCAGAACCTCGCTCACAAGCTGGCCTCTACCCAAAACCGATATGACAGTCGGCAGAAACGATGGAAGGAGGGGCTAGTGGAGAGGGAAGATGAGTTCAAAGCCCGTATCAGGGATCTTGAACATCGACTCGCTCAACAAGAGGCAGAGCTATCACAAGTCGCATTGAGTCAGGCTGGGGGGACGACCTTGGACGATCTGGATATAGTTTCCTGGTTCGGAGAAAAACAAAGCACCTGGCAGGAGTGGGCGCATGATTTTGCCCATCCAGACCCCAACAGAGTACGGGCCGGCCTCCATCCTCTGCACTTGCGTGAGCTTTGCGAAGGTCTCAAAGATTTCGTCCTGCTCACGGATTATGGGGAAATTCCCGAAGAGCTTCTTGCCACGATCGACGATGGTGTTCGACCAGCTCGACTCCTCTTGCATGGGATGCTAGCAAACTTTATTATCTCAGAAACGCTCAAATCCCCGTTTTGGGTGTTCGATGTCATCTCTGTCGACGCCCTGGAATTGGAGAGCCCGAGTCTTCCGCGAGTCAACTCCATGTCACCAATCGGGTTTCGGATGGATCTCGCCATGTGGAATCTCAATATATCTCCCCCTCGCGAGTCCAGATCGCCTCGGCCGGCGCCAATGACGGACCGCCTCGCCGGACCTCAAAATATACGGAAACTGCCCCGGCTCATCACATCAACACAAACCCCCGGTGTCTCCTCGGACGCAGTAACAAAACTTTCTGACCAAAGCTTACCATCACGGAAAGCAATGGAAAGTCTGTATCAGCTATTGTCGGAGCGTATGTCTTGTCTGAACATTCTCCTCGCTTGGACCTTTTACTAACCTTTCAAACGATGTTAGTCCCTGGGGGAGGACAGAATGCAAATTTATGGCGCGCTTCTGTCATGAAGACGTTATTTGAAGGCGGAATGAGCACTAAAGTTGATAGCTTCTTTTTAACTGCTAACAACTCCCACCTTCCACTAGCCGAGGCCAGGCTCAAGTACGCGGGACAGCTCAAGGACAGGTTTCTTAGAGGCCCCGCCCGGTTCCTGCTTCAGCACCAGGAGAGAGCGGGGATAGAGAAGCTGGAGTATCGTCTGGTGCAGGAAATCGATGCAGCGCTGCGCTTCTCGTGTCAGATATGGTGCCGCCAGGAGACTCCTCTTGTCCGCGGTCTCCGAGATCTCACGGAAAAGGCTTTGGGGTTCAACAGCAACGAGATGCAGTTATATCAACCGCGAGCGCCACTTCAAGCCAAAGGAGTTGTCGGAACTGTTGTCAGAAACGCACCACATGCCTGTCACGGTGGTCAGCCAGTGATCATGGTTCTCCAACCCAGCATCAGCGTTAGGGCAACCACCAGCCACGAAGGAGCGGCCGAAGGTCAAGAAGCCAGCACAAGGATATGGACCAAGGCCACTGTTCTCGTGGCAACGCCGAAGGTTTCTGCGCAAGAGTCACCCTTTACACAACAGGGCGCATCTCTGGACACCGCTTCCGTCAAACCCGCGGTTGAACCCCTGAGGTCCCCAACAACTTCCCTAGCCTCATTTATGGCTGGGGAAGAATCGCTCATGATCTTACCGAACATAGCATTTGAGAATGTGCCGCGGCCATTATTGAAACAATCGCCGAATCTTCCTCTACCAATGGCGACCTAACTAGGTGCCGGCTCCCTACCTAAACTACCGACGTTCTATACCACCGACTGCCTGGGCACGAGACCGCCCATTTTCACGGGATACGGGACATTCACGTTGCTTTGCAGCTGAAGATTGCGTTTCGAAATAGGGGGGGGATGCCGTGGTTAAGAGAAAGAGGATCTACATCCAACCGCGCACATCTTTCATCTGGGAGTTTACTTAGCCACCGTCTTCACTTCAATGTTCCCCCGTTTCATTTGATTCCGAGCGCGAGTTTCGTCGAGTGTTAATGAGAGATTAAGCACATTTGATTGGAAATCCGGAGTTAATGGCAGGATTCCGGGGGTACTTTACGTCATGGTCATGCGTTTCATGTTGCTGTTGCCTGGCATGTAGTGGACAAAGTAGTGTACGTTGGTATGTACATGGGGGTCTAACTGCTACCTAGGTACTTCTTCCTTATGAGTGCTTTGCAGTTGGCTGCGACCCTATTCGGTCTCTCTTTCGGACCGATCACCGACCCTTTCTGCGTCCTGCCCGGCGTGCCGGCCTCAGCTTTCGGCCCCTCAGCCACCTCGGCCCCCATTGTCAAATCTAAAGCCCCAAAGCGATTTGTTCCTCCTATTAGTTATTCACATGTGATTACCCACGCTGGTATAACAACGTCAACATGACGTGGAGAACCGAATATCGTCAACAGGGAATCCGAAGATCTCCCGGTGCAAATCCACTGCTTATCACTGCTGCTTCGGTCTCTCCAATTAGGCAGCCTTCGCTTCCATGTAACTTCACGAAACGGCAAATAGAATGCCACCTTCTTCAAAAACATTGTATGTATCATGCGACGCATCACTATCCAAGACACAATAAAGCTCACCGGGGCTCCTTTTAGGGAAGGGTCCAGGTAGCACAGGCCGGCCAGTCATGCTAGATTTGGCAGCTGGGAGGATTCCTTCAGGTCAGCCAACCAGAACATGAGATGGCACAGCTGAAAAGGCACACGAAAGCCTATCCTGGTAGGGGACAGGAACGCAGCGAACCATCCCCTCTCTTTCGCTGTTTCGGAGATTTGACGAGCGACATGCTCGGTCGGGGCTAATGGGGAGGGGGAACTCAAGATGTAACTCGACCGTTACTTGATCTGGAAGGCCACCAGATAAGGGCCGGCAAATGACCCATGCGGGACGGGACAGGCGGCCAAGCGAAGCTACCAGTGGGGGTCTGGGGAACACAGGCCCGACAAGTTTGGCAGGGAGCGGCAGCTCGATCCAGGAACGGGAGTCGAAGGAGAGTTGGCTCAATCGTCCCTCGTTTACTGTGTGTTCGTATCTCGGCCAGAAAAGATATTACATGCTGTTGACGTGACACAACGGTTTCTCTTGGTCCTCTGCAATGCCGGTTGCGTAACCTGGTTCCGGGGACGGAGGGGATGATTAAGGTTGGATTGAAAGCTCTTGGTATGGCTTCCTAATTCGAAAGAGGCTCAAGTGAAGCCAGCGCCGTCTGCTTCATCGAGCGTAGCTTTGGGGCCTTCTTCCTAACCAACTGTGTACAAAGGTCCTCGCCGAGAATACCACCTGCCAACCTGGATCTCACCCAAGCTTCCCCAAGAAACCCCTCGACCAACCACCAACTCCCCGCGTGAGCGATCGGCACTTCGTCTCCCCCCATGCTCCTTACTCCACCACTCCCCCACTTCACTGCCAACAACGACTCTGGTTGCCGATCGATTGCGGGCCAATGCGATGGCGCCATCCCCCGTTTTGCCTGGCGATGTTGCATTGCGATATGGCATGCATGACGAGCCAGGCTTCCCCCCAGATCCTGCAATGCCGGTCTCGGTCTCGTCTCTGTCGTGGCTGGTTTTACAAGCCATCCTGCGCTGCCCCAAAAGGACCAATGTTGCGGAGTCGGAGCCCCGAATAGAGATCGTCTTGCTCGAATCGGGGTGCAATGTCTCAGAGCCCTTCTAGAAGAGGAGCGCACAGGTCGGGGGCGTTCTGGAAGGATAACTTACAGCAACGAAGGTGCAGCGAGGAGGAGGACAGACCAGCCGCACTGTAATTCTTCGGATCCAGGCCAGGCATTGTTCTATCGAGCCGAGTCTCTTCCCGCCGCCTTGGAAACAACCGCCAAGCCCCTTTTCCAAGAACAGGGAGAGTCCCGTGGCAGCTATCACAAGCGCCAAAACACTTTGTTGCGCATACCTCGGTACTCCCCTAATAAGTCCTAACTATCCAATGGATTTGCTTCTCCCTTCCTCAGTTGCCCCAAGTGGTTGTGCCCACATTCTCAAAGTTCGGAGTCACCCGCCCCATTCCCCCCCCCTCGCTCTTCCAGGCACATGCCAGATCGGACCACCCCGACATCTCGTTACAGAGATCGCCGTGGCCGACTTAAACCCGTTACGTTAGGTAACGATCCACGCTGGGTGTTTGCGGCTGTTTGCAAATCCTTGGCGCATCCGACGTGCGGCCTTGCTAGTCCTCGAAAGTCAGGTCTGCCCCTGAACCCTTGATCAAAGGCACTTGATAAAAAACGGGAGCACCCGCCCGCCTGCGCGGGACCCAGCCTACACCGGATCAAAAGCCCGAACCGGGAAGGTGTCTCTTATTTGGCCTGCCGTTTTCTCCGGCATTGGCAATAGGGGTGCCGGCAACCCTCAGATGTCAAGGAACTATCACATCCACGAGGCCGGGCCGCCGCCTGCCGTAACCCGGCCCAAGTCCGACCTTGGCCCAAACAGAGGCGGCCCTCCCCTGGATCGAAAGGGGCAGGTAAGCTCAGTAGTATACTGAAGGACGATGCTTGGAGGCTCAGGCACACGAGGTTCATGCGGGATTGGATCAGGATAAATAACACAGCTCCCCCTCGACCATCAAGCCCAATCTCATCATCAAGGTCAACACTTCACCTCAAGCCTCATTCTTCGGTTCAGATCTCGTCAAGATGCATTTCTCCGTCGCCCTCCTGGCTCTTCTGCCTGCTGCTATCGCGGCCCCCACCGCTGAGCCCATCCAGAAGCGCGCCCCGATCATCGCCGCCCGGGTTGGCCAGGTCGTACCGAACAAGTACCTCATCAAGCTGAGGGAGGGTACCAGCGACGACGCCCTTGAGGCCGCCATCGGCAAGCTCGGCAAGTCCAAGGCGGATCACATCTACCGCGGCAAGAAGTTCCGGGGCTTCGCTGGCAAGCTCGAGGCCGACCTCTTGGACCAGATCCGCCTTCTCCCTGAGGTGAGTTGTGCTCCCCGGGAACTTGGCGACCATGCCTTTGCTAACCATCACCCTCACAGGTCGAGTACGTCGAGGAGGATGCTATCTTCAGCATCAACGCCTACGTCTCGCAGAGCGGCGCCCCCTGGGGTATCAGCCGCCTCTCGCACAAGTCGGCGGGCTCCACCACCTACGTCTACGACAGCAGCGCTGGTGAGGGCACCTGCTCTTACGTGATCGACACCGGCATCTACACCGCCCACTCGGTATGCTATCGCTACCAAACTCCTCAACCGCGTGCATGTGATGCTAATCCCTGGCTAGGACTTTGGTGGCCGTGCTACCTTCGCCGCCAACTTTGTCGACAGCTCCAACACTGACGGCAACGGCCACGGCACCCACGTTGCTGGCACCATCGGCTCCACCACCTATGGTGTCGCCAAGAAGACCAAGCTCTACGCCGTCAAGGTCCTCGGCTCTGACGGCTCCGGCAGCACCTCCGGTGTCGTTGCTGGCATCAACTTCGTTGCCACCGACGCCCCCAAGCGCAGCTGCCCCAAGGGTGTCGTTGCCAACATGTCCCTTGGTGGTGGCTACTCGGCTTCCATCAACCAGGCCGCCGCCGCCCTCGTCGACGCCGGTATCTTCCTCGCCGTCGCCGCCGGCAACGACAACGCCAACTCGGCCAACTACTCGCCTGCCTCTGAGGCTTCCGTCTGCACCGTTGGCGCCACCGACAGCAGCGACCGCAAGGCCAGCTACTCCAACTACGGCAGCGTCGTCGACATCCAGGCCCCCGGCACCAACATCCTGAGCACCTGGATTGGTGGCCGCACTGTGAGTTTTCTCCCTTTTCCATCCCCGCGAGGATAATGAAGAAACCAAGCAATGCTAACTGGCTTCTCTAACAGAACACCATCTCCGGTACCTCGATGGCCTCCCCCCACATTGCCGGCCTCGCCGCCTACCTCCTGGCCCTCGAGGGCTCCAAGACCCCCGCGGCTCTCTGCAACTACATCAAGTCCACCGCCCTCTCGGGTGCCGTCAGCGGCCTCCCCAGCGGCACCACCAACCGCCTCGCCTTCAACGGCAACCCCTCGGCCTAAATCTGAGGCTGGGACGAGACACCACCTACCTACCTACTAGGTATCTAATACCAAAATGGGGTTGGAGGGGGCAGCCAGGGATGGGCTGCAGGATGATGTGATGACCTTGAAGAAGTGGGCCTTTGGGAAGGGTGCCACATGACGGAACCGTTGGGACGGAGGGAAAAGGGCGCGTCCGGGGAGGATGAATGGGCTTCTTGTTCAAAGTTATGACTTGCATTTTCAGGATGATTGAGTTGGCCAGCCATCGTCTTGTTCAGTAGATGAGGTAATGACATTTCATCTGCAAACCATGAAACAGCCACGAGTGATTCGTAACACCAAGGATAACAGCGGCACAGAGTTACATTTGACAATGCGGATGTAGAGAGACATGTAAGGAAAGACCGTATGACAGCAGCAGTCTGGTTGGCCACTACACCACTAAACACCCTTTCTTCGTTTTGCGGTGCATGATATAGGGTACCATGGAATATAGATAGTCCAAGATATGCGTTACTCCCGCTATTTGCTGCATGGCCGTCTCCTCGCCTACACCGCCCTCCTTTCTCCGTTAAGTAAAGGGAAGCCTTAGCAAGCACACCACCACCACTATCAAGCACACCGCTATTCCTGACTGGGAAAAGCGCGTGTGCCCCACTGCAGCAGTCCAAGCTGAATTCTTTGACAGCTGCCAGGTGGGCCAACAGCGCAATTGAATTCTTCCCCAAAGCCATCTTCACAGCAGTGTTACTGCCACAGCATTAACTTTCCGCTTCCAATTAACGGCCTGCTGCCGCCGAGCCTGTCAGGTATGCTTTCAGACCCTGATTCTAATTATCTAGCTAATGATGTTATTCTTAAGCAGAATGGAAGCAGCCGGATGGTCATCGCAAACGCCAGAGCGGCCCTGCGGCCCGCCGCCGCCCGAGAATACCTACGGCACTTTGGAGGAGGCATAGGCAGCCATCCAAGCCCACGCTTCCACCAACGGCTACAGGATGGTCAAGAACGGCACCAAATCTGGCCGAGCGCGCTTCCGCTGTGCCAAGGGTCGTGAGTACAAACCTCAGGCCAATCCCGAGACCCACGAATCCAAGCGCCGCAAGACCAGCACGCAGTTTACTGGCTGCAAGTTCCAGCTCGCCGCCCGGCCTCTCCCTGACGGCAGATGGGCTGTGAAGCTTCCTGACGGCCCAGCAGCGTTGCACAACCACGGCTGGAGCGACCCCACTGCCTTTGCTGGCGCCAGAGCTGATGCCCTCGCTCCCTTCGAACAGGAGGTCATCAAACTCTCGAACAGCGGCTCCCGACCTGCACAGATACTGGCTGCCATCCAAGCCGAACAACGGGGTATTCACGGCCAGGATATCATCAACCTACTTCAACGCCACCGTCGCGCCGAGCTTCGGGGCCGTTCTCCGCTGCAGTGTCTGTACGAGGACTACCTTAAGCCCGAGGCCAGCAAATTTGTATGGGAGGATACGCGTGACAGTCTTGGCCACGTCATATCCCTGACAATCGCTCCTAAGAGCGGTCTCCAGCTGCTTAAGCAAAACCCTGACCTCCTGCTTTTGGATTCAACCTACAAGACCAACCACCATAATATGCCCCTTTTCAACGCCTGCGGGGTCACCTCTGGCAACAAGACCTTTAACTGGGCTGTCACATTCATGAGCGGCGAGAAGGAGGGCGATTATAGCTGCGCTTTGGCGGCCCTGATCCGAATCCTTCAGAACGAGGGCATCAAAGTGCCTGGTCTAATTGTAACAGATCGCGAGCTCGCCCTGCTTAACGCCCTAAACAACAGCGCTTGGGTGTCGATTCCGCATTTGCTATGCCGATGGCATGTTAACATGAATGTGCTTGCCAAGGCACGCCGCCACTTTCCAGCAGCTACAAAGCACGGTAGCCAATATCGCCGCCATCCGACCTTTAAGGCATTCCTGAAAGAATGGAATGCTCTCCTTGCTTCCGTTACAAAGGATGACTTCAACAAGAACCTGGCCAAGTTCAGAACACCGGGCCGGCATCTAGATGCAGCTGTAGATTACGCTGTAGCAACATGGATCGAGCCTTGGAAGGTTGGTAGCGTGGTCTTTGGGTGCCTATGGTGTTGTCGACGGTCGCTAAAATTAACGCCCTACAGGAGAAGTTGGTCACGTTTTGGGTTAACCAAGTACCACACATGGGCCACACCACTACTCAAGCAGTGGAATCCTCCCATGCTGCGATCAAGAAATACCTTGTTTCTTCTAGGGCCGACCTCAAGAGCGTATTCGGGCGTCTAATGCTGTTCTAGCAACAACAGCGCGCCAGCCTTGATATTGAACATGCCCAAGCCACCAACAAGGTCAGGGTTGACCTAACAAGTGTTGTCTTCAGTTGGATTCGTGGGCAAGTCTCGCCGACTGCTCTGCAGCTATTAGCGAATGAAGTCAGCTCTCTTCCAGCAAACAATGGTCCCCTGACTACAAGCTGTACCTGTACAATCCAGGCCACTTACGGGCTCCCTTGTCGGCATATTCTATACCGACATCTGACTGGCGACGAGCCAGTGACCATACAGCAGATTCACAAGCATTGGTGGTTGTGGCGGCCGCAGGAACAACAGCATGTTGGCGATGATGACAGTAGAAATCCCAATGTTGAAGTGGTTGGGATTATGCCGATGCCAGACATCCCGTTGGATCCTCGTCAGGTGAAGGGCAAGGGCCGCCCTGTTGGGGCAATTGCCACTACCTCTGCTGCTTCCAGGAAGAAGGGCGCTGGCGTCAACAGCACCAAGCGGCTGCCGTCAGCATTCGAATACAACATCGAAGACGAACTAACCACGGCAGTACCGGCGCCGAAGCAGCAGCAGCAGCAGCAGCAACAGGCCGGCGCGGCCTCAACGAAGCGATTCGGGCCAGCGCCGCCGCCGCCATTAACAGCGCCAGCAGCATTGGGATTAGGGCAGGGGCGAGCTATTGAGGGCAGCAGCAGGATAGAGCAAGTTCAGCAGGGACTTCGGGGTCGGCGCCGTGATGCCGAGTGGAGCGCCCAAACGCAGACTTCCGTTGAGGACCGCATTGAGGACTGTATTGTGGTCGCCATGACCTCGGTCAAAGGCGCCACAGCCAATTCCATGGTTACAAGTACAAAACTCGGTCTGCAGCACCTGCGCCAGGTTGGGAGAGACTCGTACGAACCCGGCACAGCGGCACCGCGGGCCTCCGGTCGATTCATCGATGGCCTAGATGCCCTGGATCCCGACATTGAAGATGACCATGATCGGGCGCTAGCGGCAGCCGAAGTAGCTGCCCGCGAGGATCAGGAAGATGCTGTTGCTTTGGGGAATTAGCCAGCCGGCGGCAGACGCGGCTGATGCTTTGATGAATCGTTAGCATATTTCAGAACAGCAGAAATACAGCAGAATTGCGTTATCTACGATTTGTTCGGTTGATGCTGTTGTGGTTGCTGCTGGCACTGTGGCGGGCTGCGGCTGGCCTGGCAGCTGTCAAAGGAATTTAGTTTGTACTGCTGCAGTGTGACATATTCGCTTTTCCCAGTCAGGAATAGCGGTGTGCTTGATAGTGGTGGTGGTGTGCTTGCTAAGGCTTCCCTTAAGTAAAACCACAGGACGACTTTCCCTTACTTCGTCTTGGTAACGCGTGCTGTGTTTGACTTGCCGTTCCATGACGGAGTAAATGTTCTCGCTTGTGAGCTCTCATCTCCAACCCTCGTAAATCTATCGACACCATAACTCATGGGTCTAAAATAGCTATTTCCAGTCTCTGCCGTCACGTAGCCCTCGTGCAGTTCACACACAACTTACACAAGAACGATTGGTGACTCCGGCTGAGGTCGCACTTCCCACCAAGTACGTACGTGGCCGCTCATTGTGTCTGCATACCTACCTATTCAGGGAGCACCAAGGGTTGCTGTTGGTTTCTGCCACCGGTCGGGTCTTGCTGACGTCGGGTACCGGCCACACAGCTTCCGTGATTCGTTCGCACGTTGCACGGAGGCCTACAATCTTGTGCCCCAACCAACAACCCCGCGATTTCCCACATGTTGACGCGGGCTCGTTCTTTTTATTCCAACAAATTTCCCTTTTTCGCAACTGCTTGCTTCCTCTTCTCCTCCAACAGTCTTTCTGAGCAATAACAACGACGACGACAACGACGACGACGATGGATCTCGCAACTTCGCTCCTCAACTGTCTCTGCGGCTGTGAGCACAACAACGCCCATTTCAACAGCAGCGACAGGCACGACTACAGCCAGAACCACACCTACGGCACCATCACCGAGAAAGCGCCTCTCCTCGAACCTCCTCCGACTCCCACCCACCCCACCACTCCCGTAACCACCCATGCCACCCAAATCCTAGCCATCCTCCTGCACGCCCCCATCCCCAGCCCCAACAACAACCCAACCGCCACCGACCTCACCCCGCTCCTCCTCCAAACCACGAACCCCACCCTCACCACCACATCCTGGACCTCCCTTCTCGCCGAACACGTCCTCCACGGCCTCGAAGACGCCCTCCAAGGCGACCACTCCACCTGGGGCGACGCCCTCCGCGAGGCATACGCGCGCGCGTCGGAGCTCGCGCGCGCCGAGCTCGCCTCCCTGTGGGCGTACGCGCAGGACCATCCCTACGAGGTGGCTGCGTCGGTGCTGCTGACGGTGTTGGCGCTGGGGGTGTTGGGGAGGCTGGTGCCTGGGTTGGTGAGGGTTTTGGGGTTTGGGAGGCTGGGGCCGGTGGAGGGTAAGTTTTGTTCTTCTTCTTGTTTGCTTTTTTTTTTGTTCATTATCTACCTTATCTATCTGCCTGGTGTGGCAGAGGTGTGCTTGGGGTGGTTTTGTTCGGTTTGCTGACGGTGTGCGATGTGCCTCTAGGCTCGTTCGCGGCGTGGTGGCAGCAGTTGTATCGCGGGTATGTGCCGAAGGGATCGTTTTGGTCATTTTTACAGCGTATGGGCATGACTTGGGACTGAGTAGGCGGGGTTGGATGCAGGTCATAAGCAGGGACAGGGATGGTGTTGATGAACAACGTATAAAAGGGGGAATCATGTCTTTTTTCTCTGTTGGCGTTGATTTCTTTGCTGAATGGACGAGGGTAGGGTCATTAGGTATCTATTTCCTAACTCTATCTAACGAGCCCGCGTCTGTTGTTCCCGACGGAGCTGTATCGTACCGGAGCAAGGGAAGGGAGGCTCCCAAGCAATAATCCCAGAGTCAAACCCCCAGATTCAAACCATAGTCCAACGCTGACGATGACATGACAACCAATGTCACTGGAACCAGTATATACGCCTCTATTTCACCGCTTTGTCAGAAATCATCTTCACCAGAGGCCAGCCCTAATCAACGGCGCCCCATTGACGCGAACTTGTATCCAGGAATAAGTCGATCGCCAGTTTCGTGGGTGACGAGAAGAATCGCCCATTGTCCATATGGTTCTTGGATGGTGGAAGGATTTGCAGGAACTCAACTTCCCAACTCATTTCGGACGAGACCAGTGCCCTCATGATTGGGGGTTCTTCCCGTCAGACGAGGATACGAAAACCACGTGTAATTTCTGCCAAGGTCAGAGGTAACACAACACTGACGGGCTGTGGTTACACGAAGTTAAGGCTGCGGGTACAGATTAGGGGTCGCACAAACCAGCATCCCGGGACCCTCCCTCTACCCCTGCATGAACTTTGCACATCCATGCCTCGAATGTTGCAACCGGAAAAGGCTGCTTCATATGTACATCGTTCAGTAAACCCTGCCCCTGTTTCCATCTTGCTCCTTTTCTTATTGTACTTTGCTTCTTTTTCCTCCTCCCGGCTCTTCGCAGTATCCGTTGTCCAATTTTTTTCTTCCTTTCAAACTTCACGTTCAGACTGGCTCGGCGATTAGTGCGAAGTTTATAGCCGACACCAACGGTTCCGTAAAGGCGAAGAACGAGGTCGGAACAAGGCTCTAAGCGCCCGCTTGGGCATGCTGACAGACGTGTGCAAGAAAGAGGAATAGCCTGGCATGCCTGACTCGACCCCGGCAGAACAACTGGCCGAATGAACCGTATTTCTGCGACGGTCCGTGTTGATGGGAACGGCGGCAAGTCCTCGCGATCCCCTGCTTCTCCCTTGTCACCCCCCTGGTTTGGCCCCCAACGGTTCTTCTCTTCTACCCTTTCGGGAAGACTTGTCCAGGAAGTGGACGGGGAGGGTGCGACACAACCGCGGGACGCTTGAGCAGTTGGGGCGACATTGAAATAATGAATGTAACCTAATGCTAGCGGGTGTTGGGGGCCAAGTGGTGGAATTAGAATAATAATTCTCCAAAGGCCCTATTGAAGCCTCGTTTTTCCTCCTCGGCTTCTTCTCCCTTTGCAACTCTTCCGTCGCGACGCCCGTTGACTACCCGTCTTTCCCATTGCGGCACAACCGGGGCCGGACCGGCCGCTCGATTCACCTTTTGTGGGTTCGTGTTTGACGATCACCCGGCCCGGCGTCCGCAACATGAAGGCATTCTCCCTCCTTGTCCATCTCGGCCTCCTCCAGGCAAGCCTCGGCAAGAAGTGCTACTACCCAAATGGCCAGGAAGCCAGAAACGCCTACCCCTGTGATCCGGATGCCGAGCATAGCACGTGTTGTTCTGGTAGTGCGTGGGGCAAGTCCTGTCTGGCAAACAAACTATGCGTCACACCGGGCATGAGGTTTGCCCGAGGATCGTGTACGGACCCGACGTTCAAATCGCCGGCATGCCCTGATTACTGTACTAGTAAGTATCTGCTGGATAAGCCACGGCTTAGGACAACGGGTGCTGACCCAGAAATCTAGACCATCGCACGGGAGTCTGGGATGTAGTCAACTGTGTCAATACCACTAAGGTTGACACGATCTACTGTTGTTATGGAATGGAAAACTGCTGCGAACAAGGCAATGGCCGATTTCAACTCCTGCCACCGCCTTCACATACATGGGCTGTGTACAACAGTGACCTAACGCGGTACGATGTCGTCACGCCGCTTTCGACGGCAACATCTTCCGCCTCGATGAGCACGGCAAGCACCAGTTTGGATGCGTCGGAGACGTCGGGTGCGTCAGAGGCGTCATCGACAACCAGCGGCACCTCTGCGTCGACCTCGGGGTCGGAACAACCTGAAGAAACCGACGGATCAAGCCAGGGGCAGTCGGGAACCGACTCATCCTCACACTCACACGAACCAACGGGGCTATCCACGGCGGCTCGGGCGGGCATTGGCGTCGGCGCGGCGTTAGGTGCTATTCTCATTATAACCATGGCCTATCTCGCCTGGCAATTGAACAAGACGAAGAAGGCATTGGCCGCAGACAGCCAGTGGCAAGTGGTGACCACATACCCACCCGCAGCGCCATCCAGCGCCTACTACTCACAAGACCCGGCTCACAAACACGAAGTGCAAGGCGATCTGGCAAATCAGGAGTTGCAGGGTCAGCATTATTTCGTCGACGGGGACGCCAGTCGCGCCGAGCTGTCGGCCACACCTTCTGTCAACTGTCCTGAGTCACCTATACTCCATCATCCGGTTGGGCGGCGGCGACAATAACGGCAGTGAACTTGACAGTATATAGTTAATTTGTACATAGGTGTGACGAACCTACTCCAGGACCCTGTCCTGTTAGGGTTCAGCTTCGGTTGAAGGTAATCTCTCAAGGGTGCTTAGGTTCGGTGCAGCCAAAAGGTGCACAACAAAGGCTTGTCTCAACAGTAGGCTTCCGAGCTTGTAGCGAACTGTAGTTGTGATTGCTAACTGGAGAACTCCCAGAGCTCTCCAGAACGAGTGACTATATACCTGTCTGATTCCTGAGTGCTCAGTGTGCTCAGTCCAGATGAAAAGCTCAGTGGACACTGAGCTCACTGATCTTCTTATTCCTACTAAGCACTCTCCTCGTATCCTGATTGGCGTGAGGCCTCGGTGCTCAGTCTGTTCAGCCTGGACTTAGCGTACTGAGCTCACTGATCACCCCAATCACCCCAATTACCCTAATCACCGTCATCACCGTCCCGGATTCCTGATTGGTCCTTTTGCTGATTGGCCCGGGCGTCCCGTGCCCCGCGGTCCCATCCGCTGGCATATTCGTGACAATAGGTACCTAGATCTATACCTAGACCTTGAATGCGGGCGTCAGTGATACCGATACTTACTTCATTGACTAATCTGAACTAAGACGCATCCTGGAACCGTCACGATCGTGTGACTCAGGCACCTACCCCCCCAATCCGCCATGCATTTGCGATGGCTGTGTAACAATCTCGAGGGCTCCAAAGGGCGAGCCAGCAAACAAAGGAGCTTGTAGTTACCTGGCGAAGCTCTGGCCATGTTTTGTCCCAAAATGGACCCTTTGTTTGACGCTCGTAGCCTCGCTGTCAATAGGGGGCTTGATCAAGCTGAACTACTAATGAATAACGTTCTTGTTTCTCCCCAAATGGATGTCTTATTTTCGATTGTGGTTTCCCTGAAATTAAGTGTAATATCGCAAACGAGAATTAATTTAACACATTTGATATCCAGTTCTTGATTTTCAAGAACGCACTTCTCACACCAGCGATGGAGATGGCGAACAGCGGCCCAAAATATCGCGATGAGATTCTAAAGGTAAGCCCCCGGAACCTAATTCAAACCCCGATAGTAGGACCTCATGCTAACAATATACCGCGTAGATGATGTTCGTGGCAGGGGAAACTAGGCAACCCGACGTCGAGACAACCACCATGGTCGAGAATATCGTCCGTGACCAAACAATACACATGGTACGAAAGAACATACGCCACCCCCTAGAACATGACGACAGCTAACCTATCATCTAGTTGACTGTAGCCGGAGATTTAGCAGCCCACCGGGGGCAGACAAAGTTCACTCTAGACGACATCATCTTCCAGGTGCGAAACGACGCCGAGTGCCTCGCCAGGCTCCGGAACCACATGCAATGGAAGCAAATTCGAAAGAGGGCGAAGGTCAAAGATGACGGGTCAGCGGATGACCTCGACGTGGACGACGTGAATGACATAATCGAAGACGAAGGCGGTGATGACGATGCCGAAGCACCTGGAGCAACCGAACCCAATCCCGATCCTGCTACGCACTCGAAGAGTGATGCTACAGCAGCCATAGCTAACGGCCCTGTAGTGTCTATTCCACCACTTCCCTGGTCGATATTATACATGTTCCCTTATGCAGCCGACATCCCCTCTCTGGCCACAATAGATGATGACGACGGGATCGGAGGAGAGGACCCAGGTCCTTCTTCTGGCAGCACCACAAGTCACTGGTTTCTCGCCTGCCTCATGAAAAACGACGAACGGACGCGGGCCATGACAGCGGAAGAGTACAGCGCCTGGTCAGATTGCAGATCAGCCTCGTTTACGTACCGCAGGAAGAAGGCCTTCCGGGAGTGGTGTGGACTTGGAGTCATAACCGACCACAGGGCCAAGGATGATGTGTTGGAAATATTGGGGTTCTTGACCAGCGAGTGGGTGCAGAAGCTCACTGAACGGGCTTTGCAAGTCCAACAGCAAGAGGTCAGGGAGTCCGCGGGTGTCAACGGCAGAACTGGGTCGAAGAGGAAGTATGATGATGGACCGTTTTCGATGAGAGGCGGTGGAGGGTGTGAGCCGAAGAATACTAGCGACGAACCGGTAACAAAAAGCCCAATTCAAATACGGCATGTGAGACAGGCATTCGAAATACTCCAGACACCACTGAAGAAGTACACAGCCATGTTAAACGGATCACAGTCAAGGGGACGGAAGAAGATGAGGATATTTTGAAGCAGGGTCATAAACAGAGTAACCCCTTCTGAGAATACAAGCTAGACATCGTACGTAGGCCGGAGTTCTATTCTATGAACACGTCTTCTAACCCGCCCTGCAAGCTCCTTTCGTGAATCATAACTAAATACTTCGTACCATGCATGCTACCCACAGATTACCCCTATTACCCCCCAAAGCCAAAACCTTGAAAACCACACATCCACCCAGTGACATGACATTACTCAATCCTCATTAACCCTAAACAGCGCCAACGACATAGCATCCGCCAAGAACGAGTCATTCGGCTTCCTAACACTCAACAGCCTCGTCAACCCTCCATCCCCCCTACTCGCCGGCGACGACGAGCCCGGCGTCGTGGACGGCGTCGACCGCGGGTACCTCTCATCCCCACTGCTCACATAATCCTCTCCATCGCTCAGATATGAGTAGTTCAAGCTCCCATCCATCCCTGCTGTCGGCACCGCCAGCGTGCGCGAGTTGCTGAACCGCCTCGGCCGCTCGGGGCCGACGACGTGGGGCGGGATCGCGGCCGCCGTTCCCGCTCCCACTCCCACTCCCATCCCCACTCCCGGAGGCATTCCCGACTGGGACGCGCGTCGGACCGCGTTGGTCGCGTTGCTCCGGCGGAGCGAGCCTGGAGTGGGGGAGAGAGACCGGCGGTGGCTTGCGAGTGGGTTGAGGTTGAGAGACTCGAGCTGGGCGACGGGCGCGACCGAGGGCATTTGCGGGACCGGGCCGCCGACGAAGGCTGGTGGCGGCGGTGTTTCCGGCCGTGGACTCTGGCCGCGAGGGGGGAGGGGTGACTTGGATCGCGGACGGGGTGCCTCGAACCGTGCGTTGGATGTGGATGTAGATCGTTCTCGGCCGCGGGCTGAGTCTTTGCTCTTCTCGTCTTTCACAAGGCTCCAGAGTTGTTGGAGCCACTTGCGCTTCTCTTCGGGGCGCATGGAGCGGATGGGCAGGACCTCGGCGCCGGCCATCTCGCGGGTGGGCCAGGGAAAACTGACAGCCATTTCTCGGAGGGTTAGGCTGTTGAGTTGGCGCAGGATGATGCGGATCTGGGCTTCGATGTTGGATTCGTGGGGGAAGTACCAGTCGTCACGGAGCTCCAGGCGGTCGGCAATCTGTGTCATGGCACCCACCAACCTAAGGGCGTGTTAGTTGATATTTCATTCCGTTCGTGTGATTCGGCAGGGGGAACTCACCATTCGATAGCAACCTCGTCCGGCACAGCCTGTGCCTTCTTCAACAACCAACCCAGCATCTCGGGGGATCCAGACTGGTTCAGGATAGGAATACTGCGCTTGTCATGCTCACGGCCCTGCAATTTCATGATAAAATCGTTGTACTCTTTCATGGCGCTGATCTGGAGTCCCGCAAACTTGCCACTCTTGAGCGCATGGCAGATCTCGTCGCCCAGGGCAAGACCGGCCTTGATACCGCTGTTCAGGCCACGGCCCGGCCAGAAATGCACAGTCATGGCGGCGTCACCGGCCACAGCCACAAGAGCATGCGGGCGAGCAACGAACCGCGAATCTTCCAGGGGTAAGGGTTGCACACCCTCCCGCACCGCCTGGACGACGATGGGAATGCGCACCAGGTTGATCACTTCCTCCTCCTTAAAGCCAAACAGCTTCAGCCCGTCCTCGATAGACTTCCAAAGGGGCGAGTTCCGATCCTCCGACGGTGCAAACACACGCCCGGGCTCAAACCCTTCCGGAATAGTCCCATCAGGGCGACGGAAACAAGCCGGGCTGCCGAAATGGATAGGCTTCCCATCGACACCCACCATCTTATCCCACTCCTCCTCGGTCAACTGCATGTTGAGGTACCCCCGCCCATCAAAGTCACTAGCATTCAACAGGTACCGCGTCTGGCCCAGGGTCAAAAACATGTTGAGCGACTGGGTCCAGGGCAAACCCCCCTTGGATCCCCGATCAAACGCCAGACCAAGCGCGTAGCTCCTCCCGCGCTCCTTCTCATACCCACGGAAGTAGTTCCCGCGAACCCACGACGCGGCGCCGTCAGTGCCCAGCAACACATGGAAGTCGCCACACTTGCCCGCGGCCAGCTCTTCCCGCGTGACGCCCTCGGCATGCAAGTGGATCAAGCCGTGGAACTCGTCGGTCTGGCAGCGGCTCAGCAGGCGGTCCTCGACCTTGCGGATCTGGATGTTGGCGGAGCCGGGCCACACGCGCTCCGGGTGGCCCTCGAACAGGGCCTCAAAGGTGCGCGGGGTGAGCAGGGTGGTGACCGAGTCCTGCAGGGTGACGACCTGGTCGCGGCGGCGGGCGGTGGGCGGGTAGTCGACGGTGCCCGTGTCGGTGACGACCCAACGGCGCTCCCAGACGTGGACCTCGACGCGGCCCTGGCCCTTTTCGGCGAGGGAGATGGCCGACGCCAGGCCCGTGGGCCCGCCGCCGATGATGCACACGCGCAGGCGGCCGGACGGGTACGGGTAGCGCACCATCTCGCCCGGTGGCGGCGGCTGCACGTCGCGGTGCAGGGTCGGGTCGAAGAAGAAGTCGAGCACGGCCCGCGACCGGTCGGTGAAGCCGCTCTGGGGCACGCGCGCCTTGATGAGCATGAAGCGGACCGCCTGCAGCAAGGGGGTCGCGGCGAAGTCGGCGTGCCGGTTGCCGTAGATGCGCATCTGGATGGCCCACGCGATGCCCGGGACAGTGCGGTTGGTCTCATCGCCCACGATGGCGCGCATCTCCGCCATCTTGGCCTGCCCGTCGATCACCATGACGCCCATGCGCAGGAGGAAGATGCGTGCCCGCTCCAGCTCGGTACGGTTTACCTCCGGCCCGCCCCATGCCTCTTCGTATACCTTGGGGAATGAGATGAGATCTGACGTGTTGTTGAGGTCGGGGATTGGCGGGCTGGCCGACGCTGCTGAGACGGGTGGTGTTGTCACTGGCGTTGATTTGTCGCTGTGTCGGCGGAACCCGCGGAAAGCCCCGGATACGGAACGCTTCTCACTGCTCGGCATGGTGGTGGCTTTGGGTGACTTTTTCTTCTTGAGGGGTGCGAAGAACGGCACGCCCCGCGGCTCGGGAGGGAAACCTGGGGATGGGAGAAACCCTACGTTCTGAGGGTCCGGTGACCCAGTTAGTGACCTGGAAGACAGGATGCTGGGCATGTTGAGGGACCTAAAGGAACGGTAAAATATCGAATAAACAAACAATAGGCCTTCCTAGTCAAACTGGGGCTAGAAGGCCTTAAACATAAAAAGTGAAGAAACATGAAATGGGGGACATTAAATGGGATCGGGTATTCAAAATAAAGAACATGTGGACGTTAGGCCCAGAATAGGCAACTGACCTTAAAGCAATAACCACGTTTTAACGACGTACCGCTGCCTGATGTGGGCTGTGACTCCTGTGCGCCGTCGGCGTTCGAGGCCCAATATGGTCGTTTGAGTGGTGAAGGCAATGTGATTGGCGTGCGGCTGGAAGCTTGTGGTGGGAGATCGCGAGTCAAAAGTAAGGAAAGTGAAAAGGTGGCTTGGGCCTAGATTAATGCAGGCAGGGGGGCTTCCTAGCATTAACAACATCATGCACGGTTCTCTGTTCTTCTGTCCCCGGTTGTGAAACGGGGAGGGTAAGGGGTGCGGTTTCACAGCGGCGAGGAGCCGGGGAACCGTTGGACGATGAGTGTCCCGCGGGAACGGCTCTGGGATGAGCCGTTGATAGAAACACATGCAGGCTGCTCCAACAACCCCCTGTAATGGGGCCTATTTTAGGTTGATTCAGACACACGAGAGCGGCTACGCTGCGCGTGATTCGTTTATTCTCTGCCCCCAGGACGTGCATATCTGACCTGCAGCCTCGCTCAGGTCGCTTCTCCATGAATTTCCACATGGCACTCGTGACTGACCAGTAAAATTGTGGCGGTTCCGTGGACAGGCAGCCGGGATTGCTTCCGGATTTGGATAGCCAAGAGTTGAGATTCGCTGTCGCAGCGTGGCTGTCCCCTGGCAGTGCTCTCGAGTCACTTGGCACGAGGAGAGAGGCTTGACACGCTTGGCCAGCACCGCCAGTCACCACCTGAGTCAACAGAGAATAGCTGAAGAAACCCGTATTCTGTGCCTGCACGCCATGCCGACGGGTCACGCCAGGACCAACAGGGCTTGGGTCAAGTTGGAGTCGAGGATTGAGGATCATGTTGATCACCCTGACACCTACCCATCATCAAGTCCAAAGGTTCCGAACTTCCGATCGATAGCGTAAGCTGCACTCACACAGAGGAGTACAGAGGAACACACAACATCGACGACGGCCAAGAACTGGCACCAATCTCACTGGGCGGTAACAGAGTTGCACCAAAGGAACCACAAATGCAACCCTGACAAAATAAGGCAGATGGCGGAGGCCACTACGATTTGGCTATGTACGGCTGATAAGAAGATTTTCGTACCATAATCTCACGTTAGATAATAGTGTAGACTCACATCTGCATCGGTACCTCCACACTAGTCAGGGACTGCAACGGTGCATCCACCCGATCGAGACTAGGAGCCGTCTTCCCTGGCTGGATTCAATGCTTTATTTGTACATATTCTTCGTGGGCATGCGGATACAAGTCGTTCTAGAGAATCCAGCAGCCAAACATTGTAACCGAATAAGCACCAAATATTCTCCCCCGGCCATCAATCCCCAACCCAACCCCTGAACCGTTCGAACGCGCTCAAACTGCCTCCTCTCATCGCATCCCATCCACGCTTTGCGAATCACTGCACAGTCTTCACTCATTGCCATTCCTTTTGGGCTCCGCCGTCTCGGCTGACTCCCCACTCCTGAAGCCATGTACTCCCTACCCAATTAAGCCGCAGTCTTGATGTCATACACCGTTGTGCAACCAATCTTGTTGCACGAGTCCGGATCGCTACACGGGAAGGATACCGTGGCGGTGGGCAGCGCCCCGTCGCATCCCACGGGCCGGGTCACGACCTGAGTGGTGGTGCACTGCGGCACGAAGCAGGATTTGCACGCCGTCGCGGTGCGGGTCAGCGTCGGGCAGGTGACGCAGGGCTTGGTGACGGTCTTTATCACGCTAACCGTGTCGGTAACCTTGGAGGTGCTGACGCTGGTCGAGACGCTGGTGCTGATCACCGTCGACGTGACCGTCGTCTCGCTGATGTAGCTCTCCGTCTTGGTCACGGTCTCCGTCTCCGTCTCCGTGGTCGTTGATGTCACCGTCAAGGTCGGAAGACCCGGCCGGCCTGTCCTGATGGTTGACGGCTGAAGCGTGACTTGGCCGAGAACGGCGCTATCACCAAAACTTCCTGTTAGCTCCTGTTCATACATACGCGACCTCTACTTGCATTATGAAAGGGAGGCGAGGGGAGGAGGGGGGACTAAAAGCCAAGTCATACCTGGCCAGGCCGAGAGCGATGACAACTTGCGACAGCATCTTGAAGAGTTCGGATTGGGTTTTGACAGGAGCGGATGGGCACAGAGTCGACAAGAACTGGCAGTGGGCAATGGTGTTTGATCTTCAGCGTGGGGTTGGTTCAGCTCTCCTCGTGGTGAAGATATCGTGGAGCTCCGAGATCTTTTATCTTTCCCCAGACTCACAGTCCCCTATCCCTGACTACCCCGGATTTACCGACTGCACCAACCCTTTCCGTGGTGACCTTGGCATTCGTGTTCAAGTGCCATTCTGTATATTGAGTTATCTATCACGGAGCATCTGTATTTGGGCGTGCAACCCCCAGCGGAACCGAAACTGCTCTCCAGGATCGATAGTTCTGGATTATTGGGGGGATTACGCCTGTCCTGGTTCCTGGGACCATGCACAGTTTGGGCTTGCCTTTCCGGTCCAGATCACGGTTCGATTTTAAGGGAACCCAATGACATGTTGCTATCTTCAGTGTTCTACATAATGCAGGGTTATTTATGTCGCAGTGACCCCTTGAATGGCGTACCATTCAATTTGGCGGATGAATTGGACTCGTCCAGTTCCCCGGAACTTGCTATTTAATTAATCAACAACAGGCTATAAATATCGATGGACATGCCAACGCTAACCCATCCAAACTTCAGCCACGGAAGGGCCCGACAAGCTCTTCCCGTGTTTATGAGCTTGGCACAGAAAAAGGACGACCGTGAACCCCAGAGTGTGCTGTTCGGCATCTTTCAATGGAGCTGGACCAGTGGTTTGCATCCTCATACCATCGATTCTGTTGCTGACATATTCCTGACTTCCACAGGCCGAACCGATATTACTGCCATGAAGTAAACACCGCCTAACTCTGGTACCCCCGGCTCCCGCCCGTTGCATCTGCCGAGCACCTTTCCCCAAACCCCGGCCCCCTTCCGACTCGAAGAGCGCCCACTCTCGCCAGTCAATGGCTTCTCAATGGCTTCTCCCCGTCCATGTCGAGCTACTCATCGTCACCAAATCCCGTCTCGGCTTGTTGTAGTAATAGACCTTTCTGGATGACCCTGTCGTGTTGTATGTCCTTCGCGATCTATTTTCGCTGGTCCGAGTGTGACTCTCCCGCCCTGACCCTCTGGTACCGCGGACCAGCATGCCCAACATTGGTACCGATGCGGCCATGATGGTGACAGCAGCTTCGGCGCTTCTCCAAATAACCAACGTCACTCTCATCGTCTGGTACTCGGTTAGCCCCCAGGAGCGTACACTTAACGCTGGAATAATACCAAAGTTGCACTCACGGGGGAAATCCCGCCCTCCGAGCTCGGGGAGAGAGGAGCACTTGATGAACGCAGACGCAGCGGCACTGTTGTTGTGAACGTTAGGAAGACGGGATCTTGTTCGTCCTCGGGACCGAGTCGCTTACAACACGCCCATGCTCATGACCAACGCGACACCAATCTTCTCCTTAGTTTGCATGTGAAGACCCATTATAAGTTCCCATGGAATGATAGCAAGAACTAGGTCCATTACCCCGGAGTATGCTGCGATATGGTGGCGATCGAATTAGCCTTCTCTTGCGCCATGGAACACAGAGAGTGCCGGCTCACCACTGGTGAAGACGTTGTACGTTATCAACACGTTGGGGCTCCAGCAGGTTCCCCCGATGAAGGGGTGCCATGACTTCTCTAGCGGCATACACCCACCCAAAAGAGCATTGCAGTGGTGTCCAAGAGTAGGTTCATGGGCACCAAGGCGAACCAGATAAAGACTTGTGTTTTGCCGTAAATGCCGTCTGAGATCATCAACAGGGTAATGCCAAACGAAGTCTTGTTCCCTGCTGCAGCACAGGTGGTTAGAGTAATGCTGATTTGCCCAACGAGGTACATGTCGTTCAGATTCCGAAAGGGTATCTGCCACACATGTTTGCCATATCCCAGGTCGATGGCTATGTTGTTGCAGATTGCACTGCCGACCAGGGCTAGCTAGATTCGGCATTGGACCGTTAGTCCTCTTTTTCTTATATTGAACATCCAAAGCTTGGGTGTACTTACCCAAGCTGCTATGAGGAAATAGTCATCCGCATGCAGCCTCCGATGCCTGACGAACTTGCAATACAACCGTAATAACAGAAAAGCTAGCGCTGACCCCGCTAGTAACCATACTGAAACTCTTGTTGTTGGCCCGAGGTCATCAAACTGTGCCTGTCCACGGAAGAAGCCAGGAAACGTCGAGTTTCTTCCTCTGGGGCCCGCATTGGAGTCTTTGGATAAGGATTTCGTGGGGAATGTCGAGTTCGCCATAACTTCCTCCACCATGTGTCTCAAACTCCAGTTAAACGTAGCAAAATATTTGGATGCTGAAGAAAACGCCGAGCAAAATACCTAGGTACCTACTTTCCAAGATGGAGAGTTGTGGGGGCGGGTGCAGATAGAATCATGGGAAGCTGGTCTCTAGCATGTGATAAATCTGAGGACGGATCGATCGCAGGTTGGGAAATTCGATGCCTGAAATACACATTAATGATTCGGATGGAAAGCCGGCAGTTGGGACGGTACCAGAAAAGATGAGTCGATCCGGGGCGTTGCTGAAACACCCCTACCCATCCGGGTAGTTGACCCAAACTCGGCGGCAAGCACCATGAAACTAAGAATAGAAGTCAATGTCTAAAAGAATATATGAAGTGCCTTACAAAGACAGAATAAGGTTGCCGTCCCAGTGTTGGTGAACTGGGGAGAGCTTGAGAGCTCGTGCGGGTGGAACATCCTAAGCCCCAGCCAGGTTGTTTTTATTATAAACAAGGATCTAGTAGTTGAAGGGATTCGAGTGTTTAGGTGTGCATGACCTTGTAACAGTAACCCGGCGGACGGGATGCCCAGAGCCGCTGAAGATCGCCCGCGATATATCGAGGTATAATCGGTCAATCATACAGACCCAACATGGACACGAGCAATGCACCAAAATACATGTTTGAGCAGAAAGCTGCTATTGGTATCATGTATATATATTATCAAGGCAAACCACAGTATACAAAGCCCAATCCCCAGCCTAATTCACAACAGCTACATTACAACTTCACGGCCCCTTGCTCCAGAGCCTTCCAGTCCGCTGGACGAAACGGAACATATGTCCCTCCCTTCAACCAGAATAAGACATCGTCTTCGACCTTGGAAGGGTCAACACCTTGCTGGCGCAGAACATGCTTCTGCTGCTTGTTTGTCCCCGTCGTCTGCGCGCCCAATTCCTTGACTAGACGTACAAATAACGGTACCGCGTATCTCGGCAACTTCTCCATTGCGTGCGAAGCCAAGCTAGCCAGCGCCTGGGCATTCGCTTTTGGAGTGTCTAACACGATTGCCACACATCCGGCTCGGCCGTCATGATGCGGCAGCTGCACGCCGTAGACGTTGGCTTCTTGAACCGTCGGGTGCAGGCCGAGGATCTGGGCGACTTCAGCAGTAGACACATTCTCGCTTTTCCAGCGGAATGTGTCACCAATACGGTCGTGGAAGTAGACCCTTCCATCGCTATCCCATCGGAGCACATCGCCTGAGCGGAACCTAGACTCTCCATTAGCTGTGTCCTAAAGATACCAAGTCGAAGAGGGGCTGAAAGGGGTAGGCACTCACCATGCATCTCCTTTCCGGAACACATCACGCATGATCTTCGAATTTGTGGCCTCTGCATTTCCATAATACCCTTGAAACCTTTTCTTGATATCGTCCGCAGGCAACCTGACGATGAACTCGCCGGCTTCACCAGTTTTGGCACGGTGGCAAAACCCCGTCTTAGGATCCCGCCACGGAAGCTCGGTCTCATTGTCTACCCGGACGAGGGTCGTCCGCAGGCTGGATAAAGCCCCTGATACGAGACCAAACCTACCAATAGCTCCCTTTGCGAAGGAGTTGCGAGAGGTGTTCCAAAGCCCGGCAGCGCCTTCAGTGGCAGCGTAAATCTCATAGATTGTCTGCAATGAGATATTAGCCTGTCATCCAACTCAACAAGACACAGCAGGCCACAGCTCACGTCAATGCCAAACCGATCCTTGAACCGATCCCACACGTCTGGGCGGAGGCCATTACCCATAGCCGCGCGTACGCAATGCTTCTTGTCAAGATTCTCGCCCGTGACAGGATTGATTTCAGGGGGCGCTACCGTAAGATACCGACATGTCTCGCCCACGTACTGGATGACGGTCGATTTCGTCTTGCGTACTTCCTTCCAGAACGTTTTGGTGGAGAAGCGACGCCCGATGGCCGCGGTGGCCCCAAGAAGCAGCGCGCTGCCTACTGCTAGACAGGAGCCGGCGCTGTGGTAAAGGGGCATACACTATACTTAGGAATTAGATACGATCCCCAAGAGGGCCTGGCCAGGTAATTGAACCATACCGTGTAGAAGACATCGCTTGGCTTCGCACTCGTTCCCTTGGACGACATATTGGCAGCCACGTAAACCTTAGCCCACGAGATGATAGCAGGTTTCGGCATCCCCGTCGTCCCAGACGTGTAAATCAACATGGCCATATCGGTCGGCTCCCTTTCCACCCTCACCGCATCCGGGTACCGGACCGGTTCCCGCCCCTGCGCTTCCACCTCCAACTCGGGCGTGAACACAACGAACTCCATACCGACAACCTCCCGCCGAACGTCCTCGGACACACTCTCCGCCACGCGCGGATCCACAATCGCCAACTTCGCCGTCGACGCCCGCAGACAGTGCGCCAGCGCGGCACCCTGCAGGTTGTAGTTGATAAACGCGGGCTTCGCGCCGACCGCCCACAGGGCAAACCACAACAAGACAAACGTGTCCGAATTCTGGTAATCCAGCGCCACGACATCCCCTTCACGCACACCCCGGCACTCGCGCAACCAAAGCCCATACCGCAACACCGTCTCATACGTCTCGGCATAGGTAACCGCCCGGCCCTCGAAGAGGAGGAAGGGTTTCGCCCCCGTTGTCTTGTCGAGCGCCTGCGCCTCGAGCACGTAGAAGACGTTGAGGCGGCCGGCGCGCCCCGCGCGGAACAGGCGGAAGAGCGTGGCGCCGAAGATGCGGAAGAAGAGCAGGTCGTGCGCGAGCGAGAAGCGCGCGTTGAGGTAGGCGGCTCCGGCGAGGGCGCCGGCACCGGTGGCGGCGGCGGCGGCGATGGGGACGGGGAAGACCATGGTGTGAGGTGGTTAACTTCCAAACTTCGAGTACGAAATCTCCTGTGGGTTCGTCGAAAGTCCAAGTGGGATGGCCGGTGAGTCGATGGCTTATATGCGGATGGGTTGCCATGAAGATGTATTCGACCTGTCGCATCTCCCCGTGATAGGCGAATGCGCCATCATATTGTCTTTCGATGCTGCAAGGGTGATTCCGCTTTGGGAAGCAGTTGGGTGTCGCCCCGTTGTCTCGGCGGGTTGGGGAATGAGGGGAAGAGAAAGATACCGAGGCACAGTGCAAGCGACCAAATCAAGGTTTCATTCCTGCAGCCACAACGGTCCCGGCCCTTGTCGTTCTCTCTCATCTTGAGCGGTACGGTGGATAGGTACTTTGCACCCCGGGATTTCTAAACGTATTGACCTACCTTATGTACCTAGTAGATCTTGTAAGTTGTAATGTTCACTTGGGGAAGTTCGTTATGATGTCCTCGGGCTTTAAGCCCCGGAATGGTTGCTCTGGTCGCTAACGAATGGCCTGACCGAGTTCTACCCGGTAGTCAACCGGGTTTGGGGGCGTTGAACATACCGTGTATTTACTCGGAGACCTGTCGGGTTCAACAGTGCTAGAAAGTCCCACACCGGGTAGACATTTTGCAGGGTTCTAAACAACATATCTGCTCTCCGTCAACACTACTAAAAACCACATTTGACCGGGGGTTCCGTGTATAATTATGTCTGAGTTGAGTCACAAGAATAATTGTCAAGACAGTTTCGGTTCGAAAGCAAAGAGTAACATTACTAAAAAAAAGCTCATAAATTCGAGACACCGACAGCCACTAACACAGATATTCATGGTCACACGGATCGTCGGGCACTACAGTGATGGTGACAACCTGCGCCGGCCTCGTCGTAGTCGGCTTCGGGGTCAGGTAGGTGATGAAGGTGGTCACCACTGTTGGTCCGACGGTGACGACAGTGGTCGCGGTCCGGGTGCTGGGCTGGCCCCCGCCATCTGTTTCGATAGCGACGCACTGCTCATACCAAATGCTGCGGGTAAGAAAAGGCCGTGGTGTTAGCCATTGTCTTCTCGTTAAAGAAGCCAGGGATCAAGAGCAATAGCTAGGGATAGAAGATCTACTGGAACTTCCACTCTGGAAGGCGAAAGGACTTACTTTCCGTCAAACTTGCAATATGCCCCCGGTGGACATATTGTTGGCCCTGTGTACGTTTGTCCACCACCTAGAAATCTTGGTCAGATCATGCCTGTCCGGCCTCCAATAGTGTGGTGTTGTCCCTTACATTGACCATAAAGCGACTGGGTTGCCGACGGTGGGGCGACACGTGTTGGTGTTGGTGTTGGACGACGTGTGAACCATTGGGCGGTTGCCGCCTCCAGGAGGAGACACGAAAGTAGATACGACTTGAGCATGGTGTTTGCAGATGATGTGATGACCGAGGCGATGAGTCGAGAGAACAAACGGGGAACACCGGGCTGGATGCCTTTATAGACAGTGAGCCCTGCCTTGCCGCCGGAACTCCTGGGAACGCCAAAGCCTAGGCCCGGACAAGCACATACCCAAAACCCGGGTTCCCGTGTTCGATTATATTAAGTTCCCATAAAGGTGGGAGACGTGGGATGGGGTTTATATGGCTCGGTACCACAAACTTGGAAGCCCGTGTTCCAGCCGCTGCAGAAGGATGCGTGGCTTTGCAGACCCATTTGAGGGAGGACAACTCAAGTGTAGCTTATAACAGGGAACCTAGTATGCCTTTGTGTACAATCTGTCTTTACGTCTGTGATCTTCCCATCACTGCTCCACTGGTCCCGTCAAGCGTGATGACCAACGGCGGAGATAACGTAAAGGTCCAATTGGATGGTCCAGGAAGCTTGCTGCTATGGCAAGAATATGAACCATGCTGCAGTTCGACCCCAATCGATATCGAGCCGCTGCTATTTTGGGCTGCTGGCTCGGTGGGTAAGGCGATGGGGTAGTTCCGGATGATAGAGTGCAGACCACCCGCGGCCGGCACAGCGGGTAAAGGGCGAATGTAGTGAGCCGTAAGATCCCGCGATGCCTTGCCGATGGAAAGGGAATGATTGGCTATGAGGGGAACCGTGGTAGAGTGTATAGTGAATTAGAGTGAAGGCAATAAGAGGTGCAGACCCAAGCTGCCCTTGTGCTTTAGTTTTCTACGCTGGTCGAATCTATGCAATGCCAAAAGGATGACACGAGGCTCTATAGCGAAGCTCCACGATGCCCCTCAACCTCACAAAAGGCCTTGAAGGTGATGAACTCATCGTCATCGCTCGAAGACTCCGATACGAGCACACACTCGGCGGTGGCGCCAACGAAGAAGACATAGCCTTCCTTGACCTCTTGCACACTCGGCCCAACCGAGATCTTGCCCTTGCCGGCGGTGCAAATGATGATGCTGGGGCCATCCAAGGGATCAAATGTGGCTTTTGAACCGTTACCCTTGAGGGTCGAGCGCACCACACTAAACTCCTCGATTGGGGGGTCGTAGAGGGTGACAGCGGACCCGGAACTGTAGGCGGCCCGGTTGAGCGTGGCATACGGGTAGTCGCGGGGCTCCATCTTCTGCTCGTCGATGGGTGCGTAGCTGTATGTCAGCATGTTTACGAGTGTGTCGACATCCTTGAACTTGGGAGTGAAGCCCGCCCGGACCACATTGTCGCTGCTCGCCATGCATTCAATGATGTCGCCACTGACATAGGCGTGGATGTCGTCGGCCTGGAGGAACAGGGCTTCTCCTGGTTGCAATGTCACGAAGTTGAGGAAGAAGAAAACGAAAAGACCATAGTCGGCGCCGAACTGGCCGTGGAGGCGGTTCACCAACTCGGCAAGAGTTGACCCGGAAGTGGCAGCGACACCACCCCCTGCGAAGTTAGCCCCGGCACCTGCCGCAGACTCGACAAGGATCTTCGCAGCAGCAGCCATGTCGGCTTCCGAAGACGACATGAGGGCGCCAAAGACTTTCTGTAACGCTTTCTTGTTCCGTTCCACGGCCTCCTTGGATTCATCGTCCTTCGTGCTCTTGACAACCTCAGCAAATTCCTTGGCTGTGTCCTCACCGACGAGCTGGCGAAGCGCGGGGACTGAATCCAGAAAATGTGTTATCTCGCCTAATGGGCGGAAGCCGCAAAACCCTTCGAAAGGGGTGATGGCAATGGCCATCTCGGGCTTGTGGTTGTCATCGGGGTAGTTCTTGGGGTCTTTCGCGTGAAGCTGCTCCGCCAATTTCTTGTTGGGATGGGCCTGAATTGACAGGGCTTTGTTGACAGAGAGCACCTTAAAAAGGAAAGGAACCTTGTTATCATATCGGGCGGCGACGGATGGGGCGAGGAGCGCTGTGTTGTCCTGGACGAGGTCGAGGAGGGTGCGGCCGGTGGTCACATCTTTGGAGGGGTTGGAGGGGTGGGTGCCCATCCACAACTAAAAGTCGCTGTGGTCAGCTTGAAGTTTCTATGCGGAAAGTAGGTAAAACATACCTCCGCATATGGCTTGTCATCTTGGATCGAGAAGTCGGCCGAGGGGGTCGCGGCAGCGAACCGCGCGACTGCAGACGAATTGCCCTTCTTCCCCCATTCGTACGAGTTGGCCCCGCATTGCAGGCGGATGAGGGGAACTTGCATTGTCGGGAGTTAATCTGAGCTTCCCCTGGGGGTTCAAGCGCAAATGTTGAGTTGGGAAGCGAAAACCCAGTGATATAGGCTTCGTGACCTGGCGCTCGGTTTGTTGTTTTCCTGGAGCTGAACCCCTCGCATTTACGTCACAAACAAAACGGGCGGGGTTGGGATGGAACACGGCGTTGAGATCGCACTGTGTGATAAGCACCAAGCGCCGTCATTTACACAGTGTAAACCTCAACGAACACCTTCCCAGAAGGGAGGCTCTGGAAATACAGGAGCTCTCCAATCACACACGCGCCTTCCATCAGGCAGGATGAATGCTGCGGCTCACGGACGTTGGTGAGGCGAAAACAATAGAAACTCGGAAAAACATCATCCAACTTGAAACTTCCCAGGGAATATATCCCCCCCTAAATCCATTACATCAGAGCTGCGGTCGCCGGTTCATAACTAACTTATCAATTCACTCCGGTATTCGTACCTGTCTCATCCATCAATCACCCTTGTCTCCTGCCTGGTATTGGCGCGGCACACAGCCTGAGATCAGCACCTGCGCCGAGACATCCATCCCGGGGAGCCGCAGCCATCCATCCACCCACCCACCCCAAGTTGTGAGTTAACTCGGTTTTAACGAGCAATTGAAGGATCTGAGACGACGGATCCTATCTACTTCATATCTACCCATTCTTGTCCGGACTAGGTTCCCGGGGATCCGTTTCTGTGCCCCGCTGGCACGGGGGTAAATATACCTTACGAATACCAGCAACACACTGGCCGGAGTCCCATCGCCAGAGACCGTGGCGACGCGAGACGCGACGGAATTTACTAGACCCACGCTCGCCCGTTCATCATGTCCTCACGCAATCGCAACTCACGGGGACCAAACCGCAACAGTGGCAACGCCCAGGGGGAAGAGGCTCATCTGTGGAGCCAAGTTAAGGATGACATCCGGGTCATGGTCGACGACATCAACGCGAGCAACGACTCGATCCGTGCTGTAGTGGCGCAGGACAGCTACATGGCCAAAAACAAAGACGGCGTCGATATCACCGTCGAGGAACAGAAGCTCGACAGCTTGCTGCGGAGCGGCGTCAAGGGGTCAGATCTATCTAAACAGCAAATCGATGCGCTGATCGAGCGTGTCACGGTCCTGAGGGCATTGGTCAAGGCTAGGGAAGACGCAGAAGCACAGGCAGCGGGGCCATCGGGCTCATCCGGGCGGGAGAGGCCAGGCGGGTTGTTATCCGCCTCGGCGAGGTCCGGGTCAGTGCGGGGGATTAGTGCGCGTGAGAAGGAGCGAGATCGAGATCGGGACCGAGACAGAGATCGTGACCGCGACCGTGACCGTGACCGCGATCGCGGCGATCGCGGCGACCCGGGTTCGGTGTACGAGTTCGACGGCTCGGGGGACTCGCCCATGCCGTCGCCGGTGGGAAGGAAACTGGGAGGAAGCGCTGGCGCGGGAAGCGACCGCTCAGTAAACCGGGATAGCGTCCCCCCACGAGGCGGAGACCGTGATACGCCAGGAAAGTCGGATAGTGTCCCGCCGGAATCCGGAGGGCTTACCGCCACGGCGGCCCAACGGGCGAAGATCACTTTCTTCAAGGGCCAGGACGTGGTATTCAAGCCGAAGCCAACAACAACCACCGACACCACGGAATGGATGCTTGGAAAGGTGCAGCAGGTTCTCGGCGAGGGCAAGTCACGGCGATATAAAGTCCAGGATGCCGACCCGGACCTACCACCGGACCAACGCGTCGAGTATCGCACCAGCGCCAGCAGCATGATCCCGATCCCGGCTTCTGGCGTGGAACTCCCGGATCTTGACAAGGGGAAAACGGTGCTCGCCCTCTACCCTGATAGCACCACATTTTACAAGGCTGAAGTGATGGGGACAGATGCAGCCACGCACAAAGTCAGCTTGCGTTTCGAAGGCGAGGAGAATAATGTTACACTGCAGCTGGTTGAAAGGCGGTTTGTGGTCGAGTATAGGAATTAGGTCGAATACCATAAGAAGGGTTAGGGCATGGTTTGTAAAGGTCAGAGGATGGTGAACTTCGACTTAAAAGATTTAAGGTATTCTCCGAAATCCTCTCACTCAGCTCTTTTCGGCCTTTGGGAAGCGGACCGTGACTCCACGAAAGACTCCATGATGTAACGAGCACAGACCATCAAAGTTGAAGGTTTCTACCTTGATTGGTGGAGAAGTCAGGGGTAATCTATTGCAGCTCCACCAAGCTTGGGGTGCAGGGTTTCGGACCATGCAGAAGCCATTGTTTCCCTGTCAGGGGAGAGAAAACGCGGCTCCGCGTTCACAACACCACCATTTGGATCTGCATCACGGGGCTCCCGAGACATCAGCCCAAACTCAAAAATTTTCCCATCTTGACTCTCGTTTGCTGCTTTGTTTGTTCCCACCCCAATACGTGCAATCGGCACCCTAACTGTTCTTACCGCAAGGTATGTCGCACTAATCTCCAGCCTACCGTTTCATTTCCGGGGACCGACCGCATCTTTACCGCTTTACGTTAATTGTCAGCCACGCTCATGCTAATACACATTCGCTTCAGTCAGCCCCATTTCGTGATTTTGCAGCTTCGCATCATTCAGCGACACACCCACACACTCGCGTGTCAGGAATCACCCCACGACTACTTTGCGACCTCCTCGCATCGGCCCCTTTCGTTTCGTCGAAATATTTCCCAACCACCGACCCATAACCCGACACCCACCAAAGTCAGCCAGATCTATTCCCCCAGACCAAGATGGGCGCCTCAATGTCTATTTCGAGCCTCTTTGGCAAACTCTTCGGGTCCAAGGAGGTGCGCATTCTGATGCTCGGCCTTGACGCTGCCGGCAAGACCACCATCCTCTACAAGCTCAAGCTCAACCAGACCATGACAACCATTCCGACCGTCGGGTTCAACGTCGAGGCTTTTACATACAAGAACATCAAGTTCAACATGTGGGACGTCGGTGGTCAGGATAAGATTCGTCCATTATGGAGGCATTACTACAGCGGTGAGCACAATCAGCCGGGAAGGGAGGGCTCGCGGGAAGCTGACAAGCATGGCAGGCACACAGGGTCTCGTATTCGTCGTGGACTCGTCAGACCACAACCGGATTGAAGACGTCAAGACGGAACTGCATCGCATTCTCAACGATCTGGAAATGTCCGACTGCCTCTTGCTGGTGTTCGCGAACAAGCAAGATCTCAAGGGCGGTATGTATGGCCCTGTGAAGCCTCCTCAATGTGCCGCCCACTAACGTTCTGGGGTAACAGCAATGGACTGCCAAACAATCACCACAAAGCTCGAACTCTCCAAGCTCGGAGAGCGACCGTGGTTCGTCCAGCCCGCCATCGCTACAGAGGGCGAGGGCCTGACCGAGGGTTTCGGTTGGCTTTCGGAGAACATCAAGAAGACGCCCAAGTACAGCGGGAAATGAGCGGTGTAGTCGACAGCCGAACGCGGTTCAACAGCTCGTTCCACCCGCCTGCCACACTATGGCACTACACAGCGCCGGCTCGACGACGGCTGCGAACGGACTCTTCCATCTGCCCCGACCATTCCCTCAAGCGAAGCAACACAACGATCACCCGAAGGTCAGCAACAAGACTCCTTCCATATAACGAATACCGGCACAGACCGCGAAACGTAACAGCATCTCCACGACGCCGGCCCGCCCGAAGGAGCAACTCTCGCTATTTACTCAGCTCCCGATTTCCCCAGCGGGCTGCAACCCCCCCGCCCTAATTTTATGTCCTGCCACACATCCTTTTGCTGGCCCGCCCACGCCACGCCACGCCACGTCTCTGCACCACACTTCAGCCGCGCGGTTTTCCCTATGTTCTGTCACGTCCACTTTAACGACCTCTTTATATCTTAATGCACGGGGCGCGGGCGCTGCACCCTGGCGCCCCGTTTTTGTCTTCATCTGTTCACCATAGCCGGAGGAACACTGTCTATACCCAAGGAGCGAAGCGGGAGGGAAGGAGGGAGAATTGGCAACGTCGGAGTTTGAGAACATCGGGAATGAACACAGTCTGGAATTGATGCGGGCCCGTGGTTTGTGTTGTGTGATTACGGTCTATTAATGTGAACTTTTGCCCCCCTCGCCCAGCGACAAACCGAAAGCTATTCTTGAAACGCTAGCAGCACGCATGCATCTATTACATCCCAACGCCACCCAAATGCCGAATCATAGAAACGTCACAATAGTTAACCCCTCCCATCCCAGCCCACAACTACCCTGCCCCTCTTCATCCAATGTATATCCTATAACCAGCCAGTCCTGCCGCCACCACCAACTACCCCTCTTTAACGCGCTTCCCAGGACGGAGCGAGTCGTCGGGCAAGCCACTACGCTTGGTCCCCGGCAACGAGCTGGTGCGGATGTCGTTATCGTCCTGGCTGACGCGGCGGTGCGGGTACTCGGTCTTGAGGCCCTCAAAGCAGTTGGCGCTGACGGGGTCGCCGGTGCTGAAGAAGGGGTGCTGCAGCGCCGCCGCCGCCGTCAGCCGTCGCTGCGGGTCGTACTCGAGCAGGCCCGCCAGCAGCTTGTACCCCTCCGCCCCGAGGCTCGCCAGCGGGCTCGTGCCCGACCCAGGGCCGGACCCGCCGGTTTGTTGGTTGATGGTGTTGTAGTACCACTTCTCGAGGTGGCTTACTCCGGCGTTGGCTGCTGCTGCTTGGCGTTGTGATTGGTAGTGGTGACCGTGGTGTCCACCGTGGTGGATGGGGGGCTGGAGGGTCGAGAGTTGGCTGTACTCGGTGGTGCTGGTCAGCAACGGCCAGCGCTCCTTCGTCGGGAGGCCCATAATGTCAACGATCTTCTGCATCTGGTTTCGCTGGAACGGCACCGTTTTCTTGCTGTCCATCTTGGCTTCCTCGCCCTTAAATATCGGTCGCAGCGAGAGCAGCTCGGCAAAGATGCAGCCCAGAGCCCACATGTCGATCGCCGGCGTGTAGTGCCGACTGCCAAGAAGCAGTTCGGGTGCTCGGTACCATATTGTGACCACCACTTTATCCCCGCCGTAAAGACTGTGGAGAGGCTTGTAGGAGAGACGGGCGAGTCCGAGATCGCCGATCTTGACCTCACCGCTCGAGGTCACCATGATGTTGGCAGGCTTGAGGTCGCGGTGCAGCACCCAATTCGTGTGGAGGTATTGACAGCCATTGAGCAGCTGGAACATGATGCTCTTGATGGTGTTGGGTGGTATCGGATGGCGGGGTTGTTGGGTGTGGTGGTGGATGATCTGCAGCAGGTCGTGTTCGGCATACTCGAAGACCATGAAGATGCACTTGTCCTCCAGGATGATCTCGACTAGCCGGATCACGTTGGGATGGTGGAGTTCGGAACACAGCGCCATCTCCCGAACGGCCGACTGCGAGATGCCCGTGTACGATGCTTGCTCCCCTTCCTTGTCGGGCTTGAACTTCTTGATGGCGAACTCGCCCGGCTGGCCGTGACGGCCCAGGGCCTTGTAGACGCGGCCATACGTGCCGCTGCTGATGAAGCCGACGACTTTGTACTTGTCTGTTACCCGCACCTTGCTTTGGTAGCCCATGGATCCGGTCCCGCGGCCCGTCGGGTCTGTGGCGACGAGTTAGCTCTCAGACGGGGGGGTTTGATATGTTGGGGTCGACTCCAGGTCAAAAACGGATCAAAGACGGAACGAGCGTGATCACTGACAAGGCCTCGGCTGCTGGTAGCTGACTTCAGCCCTCTGGCGTTTGGCCTGGTTCATGGCTGTGTCCGGGCCTGCTCCGAGCTCGCCGAAGTAAGGGAGGAGGGGAAAGGGACCGGCGGGTGCGTAATAACGGTTCTGCAAGAGCCCCGATGAGCTGGACAAACCAGACGGAACCCCCGGCCACTGAGGCCAGGGTCGATCGCCGGCATATGTCTTGGCGTCTCGGTGTCCGGTTGGATGGTAATGGTTGTTCATGATGAAACGGTCCAAGTAGAACGCGGCCCGATCAAGAAGAGCACCGCATGCTGCAGCATCGAGGGACGTAAAGTAAAATAACTACTCCAAAACACCCCCTCCGGAGTTAGCTCCCCCAAAGAGGCGAGAGGACCGAGTAAGTCAGAAACTTGACAAATCTCGGGCTCTTCGGGTAGCCACAGCCCCGTTACAGAAACGGGGGACCAGGTTGGCCCTGATGGGGGTTGATGAACGAGACACAGGACGGGAAAAGAGATGAAAGATGATGGAACCCGTAACATCCACATTACCTTCAAAGGCGGCCTGGACGCTCCTCTTCAATGACTGCGTTCGGGCAGCGGAGACCGACCCCGGCCCGGTAGCTGAGGAGGGCGGATTTGTGAGGCTCATCTAATGGCTTTGGGGTGGATGGGTGGATGGGTGGCTCGAGTGGGTTGGAGGCCAGCAGGGGACAAGCCCGGAAGCCAAACGCGACTGGACCCAGGATGGGGCAAGATTACCGGATGAGACGAGTCAGCAAACCGCCAAACGGATACGCTCAAGCGCGGGCAAATGCGGGCAAGTGCGGAGAAGTCGGGTGCATGAGATCATGTAGCGAAATTTCCGGCGTTGCCGTGTGCTCTCATTGCTGCCCAAACCGAGGAAGGACTGCGATGACGATTGGCAGGAGTGATGGATGGATGGGACACACCAGTTTTCCGGTTGATGTTGCGAATGAGACATGGTTTGGATGGTTTGCGCAGAGGTGGGGCTTCCATGGGTGTTTCGGAGCTTGGCGGCCGAAAGACAGCCCGTCCTAACAACTCCGGACCGAGTTGGCTAGAAAATATGTTAGTCGCACGAGTTCCCTGGATTACTTCGCCCCTTGAGATTCGGAGAGCAAATCGAGATCAACCAGGGAGGCACCGAATAACACGGTCAATCACGGCGAGGAGGCGCTGGCTCGGCATCATCAACACACCGATTCTTTTCGTCGTCTAAAAACGCAACGCTTGCTATAACGAACCGACCTATCTGGGACCGAGCTTCTCCAAGACTCGGGTGCCCTGCTCCTCCCATTCTTGCTTCGAAATCCACATGCTCTCCTTGTCGGCCATGATGTTGGCCAGCACTGCACCGCCGAGGAACACCATGTGCCGCCTCCGTGGCGGATCTTCTATCCTGACCTTGAACTTGCTCAGCCGCTCCGGGTTTCCTCCTAGCACCCTCGTGAGCCACAGCTGCTTGATTTCCTTCTCCAGACGTGACGGCAGACCGGGGTACATGCTGCTACCACCCGACAAGACGATGGCCTTGAAGAGGGACGAACGAACATCGACATCAGCGGACTGGATGGTGTTGAAGAGGAACTCGGCGATGCCTGGCTGGTCGCAGTCGACAAGGTGCGGCTGGAACAGGCACTCGGGGGCCTCGAACCGCTCTGAACCAACGCGGATAACCCGCCCGTCGGGCAATGTGTAGCTCTCCACCAGGACCGTCGTGTCCTCGCTTAACCGCTTGTCTAGCTCCAAGTCGTAGGAAACATAGCAGAGCTTCTCCTTGATCTGGCGCACCGTCTCGAAATCGGCCGTCCGGTTCAGCGCGTATCCCCTACGCAGCAGGAGGGCGATGAGGTTGCGTGTGACGTCGCGGCCGGCCACGTCCAGGCGGCGCGTGAGATGGTTTAGAACGACGGATTCGTAAACGGGGACGATATGCGTCACGCCGTCGCCAGAGTCGACAACCACGCCGGAGCTGAGACCTACGCACAAGGTAATGGGGTTAGCGCGACAGTCCAGGGATAGGTTTCCGCATAACAACAGGCTCCAGCGCTCAGACTCCAGGGGTCGCACCTTGGGCATACAGCGCCAGGACGGCCTGGATAGCAACGTAGACTCCGCCAAACTGGTACCGCTCAAACATGACCTCACACATCTGCTCGCGGTTCTTTAGAGGGTTGAGGGGCGGCTCGGTCAGGAGGATCTTGCGGCCGCGCGGGTCGACCTTCATCTTTTCGTAGAAGGTGTAGTCCCACAGATGCTGCATGTCGTCCCACTTCTTGACGATGCCGTTTTCCATCGGGTAGCTGACCTGAAGCATGGTGCGTGCGGCAGCGGCCTCGTCTCCGCACATAATGTCCTTGATTATCATGTCGCTCCCGCCCTTTTCTTCGGTACGGAGGATCGGCCGGCCGACGATAGACGGGTATTGAAACTCGGGGAAGTTTTGGGCGGCATAGCCGACCTTGAGAAAGCCGGTACCGCCATCGAGAACTAGAAGAGAAATCAAAAGAGGTTAGCTCTAATCCGGTGTTCTGTAGTGCTTGCCCTCTGCTGGGCGCCATAATGCGGTCGCTCGTTGGCAGATCGTCCTTAACTATGGGGGGGAGATCGTCCTTACCTATGGGGGGCGGGTTCGCCATTGTCAAACCGCGCAGCAGCTACTGGAAGCAAAATGAACAGCTGGACAGAGAAATGGTTGCGACCGGCGAGCCGCTGGGTGTCGATAACAAGCTACGGCGTGGCGATCTCGGGTTGAGGTGGTGGTGGGGTTGCGGCGGGCAGCACCTCCTGGAACCCTGGCAGCTGCCTCTCACAGTGCGTCAGCAACGCTGTGGCTGGGGATGCAGGGGACTGAGGCCGGCCCCACGTGATACCCCGCAGCGCAACCATACAAGTGGGGTTTCCATGAAGCAAACAACACAGCTACGGCACCGAATGCATCGATGAGAGTCGACAGGCTCAAAGTCCCGGAGACTTGACCTAACCGCCAAAATGGCCACCCACTTCATTAGACGGACGACCAAAATCTTGGTTCTGAACCCCAACTCATCCAAGAGCATGACACATGGCTTAGAGCAAGGTATCAGAGAAATGGAGCTCTCACAAGTATGCGATGTCGCCCGGCCCACAGCTTGACGGTTTAGCAAAGAAGGGAACAAAAATACCCAGCTAGGCAGCTAACATGCCGACCAGTCCACCGAAGTGCACACTTACACCGCCCCCGACGAAAGCCCTGCAAGCATCAACGATGGCAACGACGTACACAATAGCGCCAAGATTGTAACTCAGAACTTAGACGAAACGGGGCTACTCAAAAATTACGACGCAGTGCTGGTGGCCTGTTTCAGCGTCCATCCACTGGTTGGTATGTTGGCCGATAAGGACGGCGAATTCGGCAAGCTCGCGGTGACGGGTATTTTTGAGGCTAGCATCTTGACATGCTTGTCGTTGCTGAGGCCCGGGAAGAAATGGGGTATCGTGACGACGGGCAAATTCTGGGAGCAACACTTAACCGAAGGACTGGATAACTTTTTGGGGATTCAGTCTAATGTCTCCAATGCCAATTTTGCTGGGGTTGAAACAACAGGTCTTAACGCGGGCGACTTTCACGGGGGTGTTGATCCCGAAGTTGTGCGAGAAAAGTTAATGGAGGCTACCACGAGGCTCCTCAAAAAGGGTGATGTTGAGTGTGTCGTCATGGGCTGCGCGGGCATGGCCGGATTGGAGGAAATCATTCGATCTGTGGCCGTTGACGAATATGGCCAAGAGAAAGCCAACGAACTGTTGGTCATTGACGGTGTGAGAGGAGGCATCGGGTTATTAGAGCAAATGGTTCGCAGCAAGCGCGCGTTTCGGAAACCATGATGAGGGTCCATTCAAGAGGCAAGAAACACATGTACAAATATTGCAAACCCACCCCACTGGTCCCAATCAGACACCTTACGTTCCATCGTTATCAGTCGGTGCGTCTTGTCAGCCCCAGACTTCATCGCATCCCTCTCCCCTGGTCTCAGGCACGTTTCTCCCGATAAATGCCGTCCACAAAAGGGCAAAGCCTGCGAAGATGAAGTAAACCCATCCAGCACCACCCAAAGCGTCGTTCAAGGCTTGGTTAACAATTGGGAACAAGTACGCGACGAGGAAGGTCGCAATGTAGTTTGCCCCCAGCGCCCAAGACTGAGTGGCGCCAACAGCTTCTGGGCCGACCAGTTCCGAGGCCATGATGAAAGGCACGGGGCCAAGGCCAATCGCGAAGAAGGCAACGAAGAGGAGAACGGCGACCGCCGACATAATCTTCAAACCAAACCTAATAGAGAGGGCGAGTGCCAACGAGCTCGAGCCTTGGCCGATGACGGATATCAGGAGACAAGTCTTGCGGCCGAGTCGGTCCGGGAGCGGTGACGCGGCCATGGTCGTGCCCAGATTGATGACCGAGATCATGATGGTCAGCAACGCCGAGCTGATCGGGAGAAGATCGTTGAGTAGCGATACGGAGTACATGATGATAGAGTTGATGCCACACAGCTGCTGGGCGAACATAATACCAACCACAGCAATGATGGCCGGGCGATACAACGGGTCACGTACGACTTGGACAAACCCCAGGTGGGCCTTCGGTGACTTGGAGCCGGGGGATGACGGCGGTTGTAACCCGGTGCCAGCCTCGGCCGACTCCATGTCCTCCGCAGCAAGCAACCGCTCGCGCTCGCCGGGCGGCCTCCCGTCACCGGCACCCCAGGCCTCCACTTCCTCATCGATATTGCTGTGCTTACCCCGAATTCGCTGCAGAGCGCGGCGGGCATGGCCGATCTCGCCCTTCACATTCGCCGTCCAGGACGGACTTTCCGGAACAATCAGCAGGCCGACGGCCTGGGAACCCGCAATGATAACACCAGCGCCGAAAATCCACCGCCAGGCACTGTCGTGGCTCATGAAGTACCCCAAGGTCTGGGTAAACAGGATACCAACGTTGATGCTGATTTGGGTGAAGGCGCCAAAAAAGCCACGCTTCGTAGGCGGGGCCACCTCGCTGATGTACAACGGTACGATGACTGTGCTGGCGCCAGCACCGATTCCTGTCAAAAACCGGGCGATTATCATGACCGGAACCGACGCGGCGAACGTCTCGATGGCAGACCCAAAAAGGTAGAACACGGCCGTCGCCTGCATCGAGAGCCAGCGGCCACGGCGCGATGTGAAAGGGCCAGCAGCCAGCGCCCCGACCAGCCCACCAACTGTGAATACGGCCGAGATGGCGGCGAACGACGCTGCGGTCATGGGGATACAGTCGGCAGCAGTGGTTGAGCTCGTGCTGGAACCGAAAAACATCAGCTTCTCCGTGAACGACGGCGCCGTAACGGACTTCGTCTGGCAAGTGATGACATCTTGGGGCGCGTTCAATTCGGCCTACCGGTGTTGGAAGCACAACGTTAGCGAAGCCGCCCAAAATTCACATAGAAGACGGAGGTTGTGGTTTGGCATCCGCCTCTCACCAAATGGTAGCCAAACTGGAGTGGGCCAAGGGTGGCCACCGCCACGAGCAACACCAGGTACGGCGTGACATCCCCAAGCGCCGAAGTCATCGCAAACAAAGATTTGATTGTTGAGCTAAGTAAGTCGCTAATTGACAGGCATGGTGGAATATGGATTAGATTGATGAGCTGGGCTTAGCATGAAGGTTGAGTTGCACAGGCAAGCAAGCAGTCTGAAGTCGGAAGCGTTCCAGACCACCCGGGCAGATTGGCGGGGAGCTGAACTGCAGGGTATCAGCTGTTGGTTGGTTGCGAATAACCAACCACACTAAGCTCGGTTATGCATCTAAGCGTTCGCTTTCCCAGTTCATGCCTCAAACAAAGCATCACCCTAAAAGGTGTCTTGCTTGTAACCCCCCGCAAGTGCCTTTTTGACCGCCGCTGCAAGTGAATCGAGTCCCTCGAGGTGCGACGCAACCACGTCGTTATCATTCTGGGCATACAAAGTGCCTCCCTCACCCCAGATCCGCCGCAGCGTGACAAGTGTCGCGCGGGGATTCTTCTCCTCCCACAACTTGGCCTCGAACTTTCTGATCTCATTAAGCGGTGTCAAGGTCGTCCCCCATTCGCCGCCGCTTTGTCGCTTATACTCGGCCAAGACCTCCTTGGGCGTGACGACGAAACTCTGAACTTTGAGCGCCTTGCCGAAAGACGCATCGGGTGATTTCAGGGTCGCGGCCACGAACTTGCCAACACTACCAACCATGTCAGCGTGCATGTTATCAGCGTTTGTTTAAGACGACTCACTCTGGCATTGTGCAAAATCCAACCTTGCCGTTGCCATCCTCGATCAAGTACGCGTGCTTCTTGGCAGGGACGAATCCGCCGGCGAACTCGAGACCAGGGGCGGCGTCCACCCACATGTCGAAGTAAGGGCCAGTCACCACGTATGTGACCTTGACCCGCTTCAGGTTCTCGCGGATGTACTTGCGCACCTGCAGCTTGAGCTGATGAGGGGGCTCATTTGGACTCTTCTCATTGTGCTCGATGTCGGTGCCAAACTCGGATGGGAGAAACCATTGGACCGTCTCCGAGGCTTCGGCGAGCCTAAGGAGGTTGATCTGGTGTTGAAGACCGCCCCTGCCTACCGCTGAGATGACGGTGTCGATGCCATCGTACGCAGCCTTAACATCGTCCTCGGACGTGAGGTCGCCAACGATGATTTTGAGACCCTCCGACTTCCACTTCTCCAACTGCTGAGCCTTCTCTTTCGCGCTGTTAGTCGATGTAAAAAGGGTCAATTGCTGGAAGGAGAGCTTGGTGCGGAGGAGGGCTGTCGTGATGTAGCGCCCGATGGTTCCCGTGCCGCCGAAAATGAGGATCTTGGATGCTGTAAAAGACGACATGGTTACTCAATTTCGGCGTAAACGTTCAAGCACGGATTGTGATGTGTTGGTGACTATCTCCCTGGGCCCCGTCCCGACTTGGTGTTCTTCAAAAGTCAGTGGATGGTGCCTCAAAAGATGTGAATTTTATTTCTAGGTTTCAAGAGATTTTGAAGAAGTTGCGGTGGTTCACTGGATGCCTCAATTCCCAACTTTCGCAACCCATCGCGCCATGCTGCCCCTCATCGAGACCCCGCCTTGTTTGTAATTCAAGGGCGCGCATATCACCGGCTTCCATCCATTCCGGCAAGGGGTGATCCACTAGGCTGACTATCTCGCGGGTGTACCTCACTGATCAAGCCGTTTCCCCGTGGAACTGGCACCTTATCCGGAGGTGTCTCGGGAGATACTTTGTCCTGGGAGCTCGCCTATTGTTTTTTTAGAGCATGTTTCGTTGGAATCTGTGAACGACTTTGTGAGGTGCAAGGTATTGCTCAACCGAGCGGTTTCATTCCTTGGACTGGGAACTTTTTCAACACATAGCATATGGTTTCCCCATACGATGCTTGACCGTAAACCGTGAGTTATTGGGACTGGGGCTAGGTATTGCGAAGAAACCGAAAGTTGTCTCGGACGTTTATAGAGGCTCTCGTTCAATTGTTGACTTGAGTGTTTGGTTCGGTCCTCACACATTGAGAGTGGGTATCAACCCCACCACGCTCTTGCGGTTTCGCGTAGCTCATTGGCCAATGTTCGTTCATCGCGGCAGGCATCCCAGACAATTTTTTTGCGACCAGCGCTGGAAGAAACTCGAGGGCTGCAAACTGATCACCCGACGATTCTTCTAATCGAGGCAACACTCGCCGCCCATCATGTCTGCAACTGCTGGCGGAAGCTCTCAAGATACGATAGCCACCAGCAGTCAAAAACCCGACAAAAAGCATAAACGGTCAAAGTCTGACCACAAGAAGAAGCGGGCGCGGGAGGAAGAAGATGCTACGGTAGTGGAAGAAATCCCGAGGAAGTCGAAGAAGAGCAGGAGCGCAGATGCAGAAGACCGACTAGCCCAGCCCGAACACATCGAGGCCTCTGCCGACGAGGCCGTCAAGAAGAAGAAGAAGAAGCAAAGAGCTCCTGAAGAGGTCGAGAATGGGCAAGATGGGATAATAGCAGCCGACGAGCCGAAGAAGGAGCGCAAGAAGTCAAAGAAGCGCGCAAAGGATGTCGAACAGGCAGGAGCAGAACCTATGGATGTCGACCTGCCCGAAACGGCTCCGCCGGAGGAGGCTGGCGGGGCAGAAAGGAAACGCAAGGATAAGAAGAAGTCTAAAAAACAAGAGCTGGACAGGGACGACGAGATGAGGGATGAGCTGCCTGAAGCGGATGCCGGACCTCAAGAAAAAAAGAAGCGGAAGAACAAAACCACACAAGAGATGCAGTCCACCCAAGAGTCGGTCGCTGAGGTGTCATCGGACTCTGAGTTCCCCTTTTTCACCCAGACCATTTCGCTTTACGTCCCGTTCTTCCCCATCGGTTTCGACAAGCCTCTAACAAACGTCGCCGCGCAACATCTCGACCCGCTCTTGAACCATTACTCTCCTCTACTCCGCGGCGTCCTCCTCAGTTACTCGAATCTCAACCTTTCCGACAGGCCAGCCAAAGCCAGCATCACACACCCGCCAACAGACGAAACGCCCGCCCTGCTGCACTCGATTGACGAGTATGCTGTCGGCTTCGGCTGGTTAACATTTGACGCCCAACTGTTCGTCCCTTCCCGAGGCAAATGGATGGAAGGCGTTGTACAACTCCAGAGCGAGGGCCACATTGGTGTAGTGTGCTGGGGCAAGTTCAACGCCAGCATCGAGGCGAAGCGTTTGCCCGAAAGCTGGAAATGGATCGACTTAGCCAAGGGTGGCGCACGGCCGAACGCCTTTGCGGCATCTGAGGAGAATGAGGGCGAGCAGGGGGGCCAAGAAGCCGAGGATGTTCTCGACGGCGAGGAGCTACAAGTCGTGGAGCAGATCCACACCACGGGTTACTGGGTCAACGGGGAGGGCAAGAAATTGAGCGGAAAATTGCGGTTCCGCATCAAAAACTTTGACGTCGGCCTGGCTGGCGACTACGGTTACCTCAGCATTGAGGGCACTTGCCTCGACGACGATGCCGAGCGGGCTCTTGCGGCTAAGGAACGTGACATGGAAAAGGCGCGGCGCGCGAAGCAGAACCCCGGCGGCCTCTTGCGACCTTTGTCAAGACGGGTGCCCGAGTTCAGCATGACCAAGTTTGGGCGGGAGGATCAGGAAGAGGACGACGGGCAACGGGCTGTCCTGTACAAGGGTAGCCGCCCCGGCACGCCCGATGACTAGGTGTGGTCTGGCCTGACACGCCAATTGTCCTCCCCGCCTTCTTCTGCGCGCAGCTTGGCGCGGAGCCCCGGGTTTTGTTGATTTGCTTGAGGCGTTTAGATGGATCGGAGTTTGGGTGACGCATGAAAGGCCAGGAGCGAGTCGGCCGAGCGGTGTGGAAGATCGCCAGTTGGCGCGCTGATAGGGAACCAAGGCGGCTGCCCAAGGTCTGGGTACCGTAACTGGACACCTCCTGCTTGGAGTGAAAATAATGTGGCTGTTTTCACCGCTGTTCATGCTTTCTACGTAATGGGAAAATACAGTTTGCCGATCCATTGTAAGCGCTCTAGTATGCGCTACAGGGGGACTGCAAACAACCATGTAGATGTGTCCACGAGCTTGCCTCTACCGCGCAGTAGACTGCCTGATCCTGTCTCGCCGGCGAGCCGCCTGCTCGAACGGCCTACCACTGCGGCCACTCTCAGCCAACTTCAATCACACCATCTTGCTGCGTCCAACCCGTCTATCACACAGATGGCTTTCGGTGCCGACCTGCAAATCTCATCGCTCATCCCGTGCATGCCGTTTTCCTCCGGCCGCTAACCAACATTAATTCCAAGCCCGACGACTACGGGTGCTTTATAAGGCATCAAGTACTGTCAATCATACAACTAATGCTGGTGTAGAGCGGCCGTGGCCAAAAGGCCGACCATCTGGCCTCGGTCAACCACAAAGATCCCGATCTGTTTGCTGGGTCAGCTGAGCGATCGCGATAATGATCAGTGATCCGAAATGCGAGTAGGTTATGCAAACTCTTCCCCAAACCTCCAGAGTGGCGTGAATGTTGCCTTCGCCCTCAGCCTAGGTTGCCTCGAGTTCATGCTTAAGCCTCCTGGCCGAGAGTCTGGCCGGCGCCCGGTCTGTCGGCCGGCCCAACCCCAACATCCCCCAGGTCCGCCACCGGCAGGCCACCTGCCCAGGCCGTGGTAGGGCCAGGTACTACACAATAGGTTTTGCTTCCAAGTAGTGGAAATTTTCTTCGGTGTGGCATAGCAGTTCGCAGAGATAAATACGCTTGTCCTCTGAGGGTTTAGTTACCCTTCCTCTCTTCACCCTGCAGCAACAGCCTGTTACTCGGCTTTCGCTAGACAATTTACACACACAAACTGCTCTGTTTTCCTCCTCACACATCAGCATCAAGCTCTCCAAGAACTCGTCTTCACAAACACTCCACAAGACCGCAATGGAGATTGTTCGCGCAATGCTGGAGTGCATGGCCCGCCGACGGGGAAAGCAGCAAGGGTACACGGAGCTCGTCTATGATGACAAGATGGCGGAGCTGTACTCGGACAACGAGCCGTACCACCAGCACGACGCTATGAGCTACTACGGCGGCGATGCCACTCCGGACCCCATCACCGACTACGAGTACGACGAGAAGGCCGGCTACCAGGTCCAAGACACGCGCGGCGTCGAGGACGTGGCGCGCGAGGTGGCGGAGCTGCTGTGGCGGGCCGAGTGGAACGACGACGCCCTCCAGACCGATATCTCCGACGTTGTGGGCGACCGGCGTTGGAACCGCAAGATGGTCGAAGCCTGCCTCGACGACGTCATCGAGTACGTCGAGCAGGGCCGCTTCGAGATGGGCAATGCCATGTGCGCGGCGCTGGACCGGGCCACCGACATCGCCGACGAGGAGTTCGCCTTCCCTCGGCGCCACCCACAGTCGCTTGACGGTTTCATCGCTATCGTCTCGGTCGGCATCCTCGCCGAGCTGCAAGGGGCGTGGGTGCTCGAGCTGCTCGGGTTCGGCGAGGTGCGGGGGAAGGAGGAGCCCAACGACACGGGGGAGGTCGCCATGCTCACGTCGGATAAGATCGTCTTTTCACCTAGGCCCCGGTCCAACTCGTTTGCCGCTTGGTGGATGAGAGAGTATAACGCGTACATCCCGTGTGACTCGGTTTACACGTATCTGAAGAGGATGGACATGATTGAGCTTGCTCTATGAATCAAGGCCCAAGGCCATCAACAGCAACCGCTTTTCTTCGGCTCGATTCATGGTTCTTTGGGAGTTGGAGCGGATTGGTGAGTCAAGGTAAACAGCAGAGCCGCTACAGGCAACCAGATTGTCACACATGCTTGGGCGGAGGGTCTGCTGGGTGGCGATCGGATATTCGCGCCGGGAGGGTGCTGTGAGAGAAGTGGATGGCTGTACGATAAGCGCGGAGATAGTCAATGACAACAAACGGAGCAACAGAACAAATTCAATACTTGACGTGATCATTTGCCTCATGTGCCCACACAGCATGTTGTGCAACCATGCGAGGGAGGATTCGTTCCGGGCTGTCGGGCAGGCCTGGGGTGCGTGACGGGGTATTCGCAACGTTGGCTGGCTGGATCGCAACTCATGACGCCGAGTGGATGGATTCGTTTGTGTTTTTTTTTCTTCTGCTTCTCGATGACAGCCTTGATGTTCGACCGTCATCATCCACCCGATGCCAAGCGGTGTGCTGGCGGGGACTGGCAACTCGATCCCGATCCCCCGATGCTTCAGCCGTTCAGCACGTCCAACCCCTGAATACGTCACAACCACGGGTTGGTAACATTGGTCGAGACATTTAGCCCTCTTCCGAAGAGAGCAAACATTGTTCCGGAATAACTAGCCAGCAGACAAAATGCAAAGTTCTCGTGGGAATTGAGCGGATGCAGTCGGAATTGGCCAGACAAGGTCATAAGATCAGTCCACCAACACCTATTTCAGGAGGAGGGGCGCACCACGCTGGAACGTGTCAGGCTTGAATTGCTGAGCTCCACCCGCTTATGGTCTGGCCCAGCCCATACCTTGGCGAGTGTGTCCACACCGTTGTATTCTCGCTCTTGTGCGTCTCGGCCGGGCGGCCATTGGAGGCGCCCTCGGCACCTCACCATCGTCTGCACTCCCCAACTAGTGCCAATGCGGTTGCAGGGAAGCTTGCCATGAGAATTCCAGGGCACAATCCCGGTTCGTGCCTATGGAAATAACGGAGGGGCTAGGACCCACCACGAATTACCGGCGGCAATGGCTGTCTTTGTCGCTTCAAAGGTACCTCATCTTATCAGCCCCCTTCCAGCTGAAATGATGATACCCAACGCCAATATTGTGCAAGCTGGGGGTTCTTGCTGGCTTGATATGGATAGCTTCGTGCCCGAACTGTCCCAAAACTCGGTTGCGTTCCTGTTGAAGAATCCCGAACACACAATCAGCAAACGGCAGGATCCCAATGTCGATTCGGTCTCCGGCGTACCGTGATCAACCACCATACAGCGGCTCGGGCTCAGTTCCCGGCTGCTGTCCCCACCACTGGCAGCTTCTTTGCGTACCAGCAATGCCAAAGAGAGTTCGAGTGACGACAATCTGACGATCACAAACCTTTCGGAGCGCCATTGACCGTGGAATAAAGAGCCGCAACGTTTAGTCGAGACGTTGGCCCAATTATTCAGAAACAAACTTCCCCACAGCCCTTCGACTCAGCCTCTCCCAGTCTCGCAGTATCCCACGTTTGATATCCTTGTCTCTCGATCGATACTCCCGCCCCTCAACACGCGGTTTTGGGGGCAACATATGAGCAAACACCGCTCGACAACCAAGAACGCACCCCTGTGCTGCCAACTTCAACTCCCCATCTCTTTGGCAGTCTCACGCAATTTCCCGAGCCCACACCCGGACAGCCGCATCAGGTCCTGTCTACCTCGCCTTCTCACCTATCCAACCCACCCAGTCCCGGTAAAGGTCACCGTTTGCGAGTAACCACAACCATCATCATCACCTCGAACCCCCGCTTTCCAATGATTCGACTGTCCGCCCTCTTGAGCCCGAAGCAGCACACACTTGGAAGCCTCTACCACAGTCTACGACCGGGAACATGAACCTCCGCACCGTGAACATGGCGAACCCAATTTCAATAGACACACTCCTCGAACCGCCGACGTCGTCAGTGCGCCCCTACCCACACCACTGCACCGACCTCGCGCTTCAAAAATACCTCCTCCTACACGAGCAGCACGAATCGCTGCGCCAGCACATCGACGAGCTGCGGCCGACGACCACGCGCCAAAACTCGTTGTACACGCCCGTCTCGCCGAGCCCGGCCAGCTCCCCGACGCGCCGCTCCCTCTCGCCCGACATGCCGCGGCGCCAACCACCCCAACACAGCTTCTCGCTGCCCGCGCGCAAGGCCTCCTACCCCAGCAGCCACCACGACTCAGAGCATCATCATCGCTACCACAACCTCGAAGACGGGTCGTCGCCGCTGGCCGAGGTGGCGGTGGAGGAGGCCAAGCTGTGCGGGGTCACCGAGGGCATGAAGCGGGCGCTGACGGAGCTGCTCAACTGCGAGGCGGTGCGCGGCGACATGGCATTCCGCACGTGGGTCCAGTGCCGGCTCATGGACACGGAGCGGGAGCTCCGGAGCGGCAGGCGGCGCCGGAGCGCCCCAACATATCCGTGATGGGGTCGTCATGGGATCGTCGCCGGTGTCGGGCCGAACCAAAATGGCTCATCCAATCCCAAAGGGATAGGATGGTGAGGTCATCCCCGGCTGCGAATGGCCAGTGGACACCGTGACCAACCTCCCTGGGTACCTTACCTACGCTTTGTTCTTTTTTTTTTGTCGGTGGGCCTCTTTTGGGTCGGGTCGGGCCATGGAAGACAGGAAGAAGATCCTGGATTTTCGCATCCTATTTTCGCTTCTCTTGGATGGCATATTACAGGTATTTGTAATTAGCCCTTGAAAACTCATCGCATAGTTTGGGTTGGAGTTTGGGTTTCTGTTCTGTCTCTGCTGGCTTTTTTCAGGAAAGAAGCGCGAGATGGGCTCGCGACGGACATTTTTGGTTTCCAGGCTTAAAGGATTGGGGCTAGCAAGCAAGCACAGCCGAAGCATGAACATTCAGGCGTGGGTCGGTTATGATTTCGATCAACGATAATTCCAATGGGTCTTGAGTTTTTTTTTCTCTTTTTTTTTCTCATGTGCTGTTGATGGAGTCCTGCTGCCAGGACATGCATGCATGTGTTGTGCGCGCAATTGAAACCTGTTGAGGCAACAACTGGCCGAAGTTGGCATCTTGGCGAGACTTAGAGCTCAACCCTAACCCGGAGCGATGTGGGCTGTTTGATTCTCGCGGCAGGCAACCTGCGCGATCGTGACATCCATCGCGATCCTCTCGTCTTCGCCGCTCCCTAATCGCGACGCTGTATTATGCAACAACATTGACACTTAGCGAGGCCCCAGCATGTCCGTTCTTCTCGAAACCAGCGCGGGCGACATCGTAATCGACCTACTGGTCGACTACGCGCCCAAGATGTGCGAAAAGTAAGACGGAAGCAGCTTCATCCCACTTCATTCCATGACCGCGTTGGGACTATTCCGCTAACCAATTCCTTGTTACAGTTTCCTAAAGCTCTGCAAAGTCAAATACTACAACTTCTCCCCGATCCATTCCGTCCAGAAGTCCTTCTCCTTCCAGACTGGCGACCCTCTGGGTCCTATGGCCCCCCAATCCGACGGAGGCACCTCGATATGGGGCTTGCTCTCCGATAATGCGGCCGACCGAACATTCACTGCACTTTTCCATCCGAAGCTGAAACATCTCGAGCGAGGCACCGTCAGCATGGCGACAGCACCACACCCGTCCGACGCGGATCAACGTCTGGCTGGCTCTCAGTTCATTGTCACGTTGGGTGACAACACAGATTATCTAAACGGAAAAGCGGCCATATTCGGGAAAGTGGTGGAAGGTTTCGACGTGCTTGAGAAGATCAACGACGCCATCATTGACGAGCGCGGGCATCCACTTGTCGACATACGCATCAAACACACTGTGGTTCTCGACGACCCTTACCCTGATCCTCCGGGATTGCGAGAACCCTCCAGCTCGCCAGCCCCAACAAAGGCACAGCTCGCCACGGTGCGCATCGGCGAGGATGAGGAACTACTGGACGAAGAGGCCAACGAGGAAGCAGCCGCCGCGGCCGAAAAGAGGAGGAAGGAACGGGAAGCTGCCGCCCAGGCGCTGACCCTAGAGATGATGGGCGACCTGCCGTTCGCTGAGGTCAAGCCCCCAGAAAACGTCCTCTTTGTCTGCAAGCTGAACCCCGTCACGACGGATGACGACCTGGAATTGATCTTCAGTCGCTTCGGCAAGATTCTAAGCTGCGAGGTGATTCGGGACCAGAAAACGGGGGACAGCTTGCAATACGCCTTCATCGAGTTCGAGGACCAGAAGAGCTGCGAGGATGCCTATTCCAAGATGGACTCAGTCCTGATCGACGACCGCCGAATCCACGTCGACTTTAGTCAAAGTGTGAGTCGCCTAAGCGACGTTTGGCGCAACGAGACGAACACAAAACGGAAGAGCGCCGCCCGAAGAGGCGGTGGTGGTTGGGGAGGTGTCAAAGAGTTGGAGAAGCGCCGGCAGTACCGCAACCAAGACCTTGAGCCTGAAGACGACAGGGGTTATCGAATGGTGCACGGGATGGAAGACATCCGCGGCCGCCATGGAAAAGACGAGGATATTCCGAGAAACGGCCCGAGAAACCAGATCTCTGGTCGAAGAGAAGGAACCAACCAGCGGCCAGAGCGCTCGCCGGAACGATATGGCCATGGATATAGGCCTGGGCCTGTTGACAGGAAACGTGATGTGGAACGGCGCAGCCGCAGTCCCAGGAGGGATCGCTACAGGGATAGCGGGCATGACCGGCCGGCACCCGCTGGGCGACGCAGGGACGACAGGGAATGGTCCCGCCGAGATCGACGAGACTCCGATCGTGATCAAGGCAGCTGGAAGGAGAGGGATAGGTACCGCGGACGCGACGATTACGGGGGCAGATGAGCGACTCACTGCTGCATTCTGTTTGCATAATGCAATGATACGTCGCGCGTTTTCTCGTCAAGGTCTGGGTCTGGGTCGTGCAAACGGCAACCCTTGTCGTCCATGGGTATGACCTGATATGCACCGTACCCTCTTGGTTAGTTTCCCTCGTTATCCCAGGTTACCGTTTGATCTGACCAAGTCAGACGTCAAAATCTTATCAGCGCTTCGTTGCTTGGCTTGTGTGTGGGTGAGGACGACTGGGTCCTCGTCCTTTGACGCGTGACCAGTGTCGCTCGCAGCGCCCTCAACGGCACGTTTTCCGAGCCCTTGCCTACCAGGCGCTAGTGGTGGCTGCATGGCGATCAGCAAGGCCACCACGGCGAGGAGGCTCTTAGTCCAGGTCTTGCTGTGAACGGCATCTTCCGGGACAGCTACACCCGAATGCAGTCGCCTGTGACAAACGCAATATCTTACCCTGTTTGCCGCTGCATTTTAACACGGTATACGAGTTCAATCAATCTACATACGTGGCGGGCTGAAGCCGTGTGTGGGTAAGGCGCGTTGCTTTTTGGCCCCCTCGAACTCGGGCCGTCACGGTTGGATGATGATCTCCACGTTGTATTACTGAGCAGGCGATATCCCGATACCTCATACTTCTCATACCACATGGGACACGTGTTTCAAACGGATTCTCACGGTCGTAGCCTATGGCACTCGGGTTCGGGCCGCATCGCTCTGTCATGGTGGCTGTCAACTTGGACCGACCCTCCTGCGTCAGCACCCAATCGGCATCCACATGCAAGCCCTCAGGGGTCAGAGGTCAACCTCTGGAGCCTCCTCTTTAACAACTTATTGCCCTGTCTCCGGCCGTGTTCCCTCACATCTCGCCTGCAGGATATATTAAACCCCCGGGCTGATACGCGCTTCAGCAATCTGGTCTGGACAAAGGTTTGGACGTTTGGCTTCCTCATGGCCCAAGGTGGTGGTATCGGCAACTCTCCCGCACGTCCGGCAATGAGTGCTGCCCTAGGGGCGTCGGAGTGGCTGCTCTGAATGCTAGAAAGATCCACGGCGGGCCGTCTGCTTGCGCCCACACTAAGTGGCAGTGGCGGTCCCAAGACGACAAGGGGTGCCGGAGTACGCTACCGCCGGTTACCGCTGCATCATATGCTGTCCATGCCTGCTTGTACTCCCAGGTACCCTCTCACCCTGCAGATGACACTCTTTGTTCAACTCTGCGGACCCCTCGCCAGTATCTCAAAGGCGCGACATATCGGTTTAGCGTCGTGGAATCGACTCAAGTTAGTCGTTCTAGAAGCCTCGAAGTTTGCAACCCGAGTCTACGTGACCTATTTCTCGGCCATACTGAAGAGTCGGTGGTTGTCGACTGACCATTTGTGATCGATACCTACCACGGTCAAAGCCTGTCTGCACGTATCTACTTTCTCGGCCCGGGGCCGCGGAGGGGTCCCGCGGAGGGGTCCCTGCGAGGTGTACCCCAGCCCCGATTCCGGCCCTTGCGCATGTACCACGAGGCTGGGTCCTCAAACACGTCCTTTCCCACTTGGTTTCGCGTAAAGAGAAGCCGTGCGTAAAGTGTCCGCCCACCTGCCTCTCGTGGAGGTCTCGTGTCACCATGATATCCAGCTGATGGGCCTAGCCCACCCTCTGTGCGCGAGATGCCGACTCTCGTTGTTCACCTTGTCAAAAGGTCAGGATCTGCCGCCGTTTGAGAAAGTACATCGCGTGTTGGTGGGCCTACCCGCCATCCATAGGAGTCGTGCTGGTTGGAAAACATGGCAGCCAGGGCTCAACAATCAACATGCGGGTACATGTGGGCAACGGTAAAACATTGTCCGTTACCCCTGGGCACAGCGCGAGCGCGGCAGCATTCTAATTGGATCGAAGCCAATTCTAGTGCCCCCCTTGGCCGCGACAGAGACATTTGGGCGTTCCGTCGGAACGCTGCAGGTTCAGTGGCAACAGACGAGACTTGACAGCATGTCTCGTCATGGGATAACCCTGCGAGTATCCGATGGTGGAGTCGTCCGCAAATCCTCCGCGTCTTCTCACTCAGCGGAGTACCATGTTTGTGCGCAGGTGCGGTGTCTCGACTCAGCCTGAGGCTTCCGCGGCCGTTGCCATGTGCTCTTACACAGTATTGCCGCCACCACCTGTCCGTCATCATGGCGGCTCGGTCCCCTTTTTTGATGCGCGCAACGGGCTGGCCGGGCGGTGGTTCGCCACTCAAACTCAAAGGGGCAAGTGGCCTGTGGCACGTCGGCTTCAACGCACCCACGTCATGAGTGTTGCCGGTTGACATGGTATTGGCGGCTCCGAAGAAGCTGCAGCCTCGCCCTGCCGGCCAGCATTACCGCCACAATCAGCACAAATCAGCGGCTAGCAGTCATGAAGACCATCTCGTTTTAGTTTAGCTCTGGCCTTGCGGACAGGATATGTTGACTCAGGTGAGGTGAAACCAGGCCGGTTACCCGTTGCGCAGACTCCAACTTTTGACACGGTCGGCCCCCCTGGCGCGCGCTGCGCCCTTGACTTTCACGGGACCGAGAGGGCGCCAGCATTCGTTCGGGCAGAGAGCCTGGCACCGGTCCGAAATCAAGGCTCCGGAAGACCAAGGTTACACGGCAATAAACTGGAAGCTTGTGACACTCACCTAACGCAATATATCCGCAGCGTACGAAAAGGTTGACTCTGAACACGACCACGAGGATGATCCGCAACCTGCAGGAGTATGTACATACAGAAGTCGAATGCAGCTAGTATCATGCAATAAAAACTCCCCGTTTGCAACACCCGGAGTGCGGGCCACGCCCCCATCCTTTGCCAAATCGGATGACTTCCCCCCACGGGGAGGCGGGAATGGAGCAGTGCAGCAAAAGATCGCTCGGATTGCATTCTGGAACGATGGGATCGGATTGCTCGCATGAAGAGCCGACAAGGGCCTGAGCTGTCCCTGAATACGCCCAGCGGGGCCACAATGTGCTAGGCTCCTTGTATGACTGGATCAAGTTGCTGGTGCTTTCAAGCTTCTCTGTTTCTCGGGGCTAATGGCTGAAACGCGAGCCCCCGATTCGCCCGCCCCCATGAGTTGTCGAGTATACAATCATGTACATCCATGGATACACCACAGCCCGGCGCTGTACCCGATCGATCCCCTTTCCCTGGGATCCGGTGGCGCCTGCACTATTCTCTGCACCCGGCTCGTGTGCTTTTTTCGGAGGCACCGTCCGGTCATAAGCTTGCGAATTCCCGTTGGCCAGATTTTGCATGAAATCCTAGCGCCAGACAGCAAACTGCCGGCGCCAAAGATGATATGTGACCAACCGCCCCCTACTACATACTGATTCTTATTGCGTTTGATATAACCCTGAGAAGTCGGCTGCGTCAGCCGCTGGGCCAGGCGAGGGAGGCAACGCGTTTCGTACCGTACAGTACATATTATCCCTACATATAGCGTATCAGTGCCTGCTTCCCTAAACCCAGAGGTACCCTGAATCAAACGATACCAAATCATCCTGTTGTTGGCCCTGGCTTCCGTCTTCGGCCGCGCAAAACAATCGGTCCGCGTGCGAGAGTACCAGACCGAATTTCCTTTTTGGCCGAGCGGCACTGTTTTTGTTGGGAGACAACTAATTCTGTTCTATTCTGCGGGTCTCGCCCACCGGCAGCTTTGTAGGGGCATGAAGGCCCGTGGGACGTGCCTTGTTGCCGCTGTCACACGTTCGCCCAATATCTCGTGGCACAGTCCATCGTCTGGCTGAACCGATGTGGTCCAGATGCGCTGTCCGTTGGCCAAAGTCAGGGCCCTCAGGGTGTGCTGATCTTACTAAGTCAAGAAAGTGATGTGAACGAATAACTTAGGTAGATAGTTCTCTGTAACATGATGTTTACATATCACTTGTGATGAAGTCAGTTAGGTACCCCATGTCCTTACTTTTGTGAAATGCCCCTCCTGTCTCCTCTTCAACCGCGACCATGCCTCTCAACTTAAACGGGGATGTCAAGCTTTCAACCCGGTTCCTCTAACCACCAAGTGATGACATGAGGATAACTCCCGGCAAGCCCCGATTGGTAGGATTACAAGATGTCCAAAGATTGATAATGTGAGGCAAATGATAGCACCCACAACTTCGCAAATATCTTAACTACTGTAACCATTCTAGGCGGAAACGGAGTATCCGCTTCAAGCTTTCCATTCAACTTTGTCTGTGCTTCTTACATAAATGTATTTTAGTAATATCATACCTTGCTGGTTCATTAGTAGCAAAATCTTGAGGGCCAATGATGATGATACACTAAGGATGGGGGCGAGGGAGGTGTGTCTATATGCAAATATCCGCATATGCCACAAATAAGCCCAGACCTTGGGGTGAGTGTGCATGGGATGGATCCCTCTGCTGCAATGGCGTGTAACTACCCAAGTACTTTTGATGGAATGGAAACGGAGGCGGATCGTGGATGGAGCAACTGAGGTAGTACAGCAGCTGCTTCGGTCGCTATGGACACCACATTGGCAAAAGAAAGTTGGGAGATCCATGGTGCCCAGGGGCAAACGGCCAGTCTCCACTGGTAAATGCCAACAAGAAGTTGATGCGGGAGTAGTAACACGACCCCTTATATCACCAGAACACTTGCATCCTAACGTGCTTCTTCCTTATCTCTGCTTCCCCAATTCTCAGATTCTGATGTTTCTCCCTAGCTTGACGTTGGGGACTTCGTCGATAAGACAGCTCAACTCATCATTTGACGTGGATCGTCGCGACTCGCCAGCCGCCACATTTGAGGTTTGCGCTGTTGAATTCACTCCTGGGTTCACTTCTTGATTGGACTCCTGTTTTTTGTCTTTAACCTTCCGCATCTTGGGAAGCGACTATCAACATCAACAGCCTTGCACCAGCCTTGCACCAGTTAGAACAATCAACCACAGATCCCAAGCGATAGCATTCTGAAAAAGCCCCCACTGGCACATCGACAGAAGGAGGACGCCACGGGCCAACTCTTGCCCAGGTTTGCCCCTGTTTGTACGGCTCAGGTATGTCTCATACATTTTCGTTCTGATGGCGTCAACGAGTGCGCCATCTTGCCCCGAAGGCCATGGTACCGCATCTTCTCGGCCGGGTAGTGCAAGACCAGGAGAGGGGCGAGTGTGCGGGGGCACAAGGCGCCGGGGAGGTGCTAGAGGTGCCAGATCCCGCCAGCTCTGTTGTATATGTCGCTCATGTGCTCAATCAGGTCTGCTGGTGTCAGCTCCGAACGCGGGTACACCTTGCAAACACTCTCAACCAGACCCTCTCACGACCCAATCGAAGTTGTTTCCCTCGAACCTTGGGTTTTCACAAGCTGGGGTCGCGATCACTTGTGTTTAGCTTGCTCCACAGGCTTTGGGTATCCGGTGCTCCTCCCATCCCTCCCGTCTGTCTGCCGCAGGCGCCGGGTCGCCACTCCGACACTTTCAGCTTCGATTCTCGTTGCGGCCGATTCAGAACCCAAGAGCCAGGCTCAAATTAAATCGAGTTGGGGGATACTACCAGCAGCGGACAGCAGACACATCACACTCCGAAAATAGAGAGAAGGAAGACAAAAGGACACACTCGTCGACAGTTGCGCAATGGTGTCCCAGGCTTGTTACAGCACCCACGACGGGAGACGATATAGCCGTCAGTACCCGCTGTATTTCTCCTCACCCACGGAGCGGCGGTTCCCATTGTCCTCGCACGACACACGGGCAATCAATATGGTGGACCAGTTGGATTCTGAGTCGGCACCTCAGAGGAAACGCATTGCTGTGGCAGTAAGTCCATGTCCCCACCTCCTTCCTCACTCCCTTCCCCTGCATATGTTCCCTCATATTCTTATCCATGCCGCCGTTTCTGCCTCCTTTGCTTTTTCACACCTGGCTTTATCCCCTATTGGGACTGGTCGACGCCCTGGCTTGGAACATCGCAGCTGACCTGGTTGTTTTATGCCTAGTGCGGTCGCTGCCGCAAACGAAAGATCCGATGCAGTGGTGATCCGGGCCACGGCCATCCATGCACTAACTGCAAGAACGCGGGAGTGGAATCATGTCAATTCCTAAGGGTACGTCCTCAACTCTTTCAGTTCTTCAACGTGCTCTTCCTTCCAGCACGGGCATGTTTATGTCCTGTTTCTGACTCGGTCTTTGGTAGGTGTCATCTCGAGAAGCGCCCCTGCGCCATGAGAACGGGGAATTTGTTTACAGCGTCGGAGATGCTCGGGCCTACGCCAGCCGAACCCCCGTAACCCATGGGCTCCCATACCCCCACGACTTGCCAGGACTAAACTCGGGCGATGGGTTGGGTTCGTACCGTGGCCCTGGGTCAGGGTACCCATATACACCGGCAACCAAAGCCTATTATCCCGCCATGCACGCATATGGTGCTCCCTATCCCGAGGACTTCGAGTTCGGACTTGGAGTGGCATCTCCGCCAGTGATGCACCCGGAATCTGTTGGTATGATGCCTGGCCATTGGAGCTCTGGGGGGCCGCGGGCCAAAGCACCTGTGTTCGGCAGCATGCCGTACATGGAATCGGAAGGGACCTATGGTGGTTACGGCGGCTCGGGTTTGCTTCACCGGCCATCGCACTCGGCGGCCTCGGACTCTCCCAACTTTTCCTTTTCAGGCGTCGCGGCGTCACTACCGCTATCCAGCACGCCAGGCCCGGACCGATTACTGCCTAACCCTACCGGACGATCTTCTACTCTGCCCTATCCGGGGCCCATCAAGCCACCACCGACTTCCAGTCTCGCGGCGAGCACCCTCGCCGACGTAGCAACGGCTGCCAGCTATGCGGGCGGTTTCGAGACGAACGGCCTCTCGTTTTCCTCGGCCACTAGCAGCAGCCTCTCCAGTCACCCATCGTCCTCGTCTCGCTCCAACTCGGACAGCTACTCCGGACCTGAGAGCCTTTTTAACGAGCAGGAACGCGGCATTCAGAGCCAGGGTTCAGCGTTCGACATGGGTGGTTACACGGCCTCCCCTCACCGCAATTCCGGGGTTGGTGGTTCGGGGAATGGCCACGGTTATGTCCCCGGCGAGAGCTCCCATGAGGCCGCGGCCCATCACCACGCCTCTTCACAGCGCCACATGCCCTCGAATTACATGAGCGATTCCCCCTCGAGCCCCATCGCCCACCGCCATGGCCAGGCTCTGGCGTCGGGGAGCAGCGCTAGCCATGCTGCGCACGCAGATGACCGGCATGTTGCTGTGGCTAACCGTCATTGACATTGGTTGGCGATATGCAACGTCCCGGGCCCGAAGGTCGACGGCCATGACGCCAGAAGCTCCGGGTTGGCTGATCCCCTGAATTGAACGGACGTTACACAATTCGAGCCCTGCGCATCCTCGACCTGCATCCCCGAGTCAACAAGCGAACCCAGGATGCATGTCATCGGTCCCGGTCTGGCGACATGTTTCTCGCTGCGTTGGGGCCTGAGCTAGCGTTAAGCCACCGCCGATCCCATGCATGGTTGAGGTCACACAGCGGGATAAGAAGCACCTGCCAACGCCCAACACGAGTTTCCGACGCGCAATGGCTATCGAACCAGCCCGTTTGGCGGAACAGTTGCCGGACTGTGTGGTGTGGGAGGCAGCACAGGGCAGGCAGACAGTTCCATGCTGTTGAGACACCGCTTGACCAACGGACCCAGCCAACCGCTTTTTGTTGTTTTCAATCTTTGCCAACCATAGACGTTCCCTTTTTCGTGTGGCTCAAATCGGCGGGGTTTTACTAGTGTGCATGCACGTTTGCGATCGAAACATTGCGGCGTTTTCGGTTCTCGGTGCCTTGGGTTTACACTCTTTACTTAATCCATCCCCATAAACGACGCCGTGTTCTAGGTAACTTGGAACTTCCGAGCCTCGACAGTCGGCGGTATCTCACTTTGTAGGTTCGAAAGGAAGGGTGACGGGCGAAACCGGCCGTTTGACTGGCAATGTCAGCTTCCCACGCCATACGTTGATCATATGTTCCCTTCAACACGATGCGGTGTTCTCACCTGCTGCTGACCCCGGCCTCGTGTTCGTGTTCAAGTCTGAGTGGGTTGCATTTTTTGTAGTGTGTTTTGCTGCCATGGTGGCTCTTTCATGATTTTGGATCCGGGGCAAGGGTGCTTTGCAAGGAACAAGCGCAGTAGAAAAGTTTGGGGATGGTTACAGGCCTTTTTCTTTTTAAGTTGTCTTTTTTTTTTTTTTTTTTTTTTTTTTTTTTTTTTTTGGATCACGGCGTGTGCCTAAGTGGAAAGAAAAGATGGTGTTTCTGATAGTATCACAGCAATCATGGTCTCCTCTGACAGCCCAGATTTGGGAAGAGTTCCCCTCCGCGGCCTGTAGCCCCACAATTCTGCCGGACAAATTCACACCGCCTGCTTTTTCTGCCCATGTTGTCTGGGCCACTTGGTCGAGCACTCCATCCTTTTCCACAACTTAGACATCAGACATCCACTTCGTTGCTCTCAGTTGCTCAGCGCGTGCCCCACAACAGCCCACCAACAATTTCGGCCTCATTCTTTTTTGACGATTCCTTTTCGACTTCTACAGAGCCAATCAACATTCCTGATACAAATTAGTCTCCTAGACGTCGTCATGGCGGCCCCGGAGGCTCCCACGCTGATACCGCCCAGCAGCGGCCTGTAGACGACTAACGACACCTCTCAGGGGGGTCCCGACCTGTCCGATCAGCCCTACAATACCCTGGAAGCTCTGCTAAATGCCCTCAACGCTTGGGGCCGCACGAGGAGTTTCCGATCCTGAATTTAAAAGACTCCTTCAGTGGTGAAGAGTAAGGGCCGGCTTAGAGGTAGTGGTCCTTTTGGAGGACTGGTCACCACGGCGTCTGGGGCACCGCCGTCAACTGCGCCGGCGGCCCTGCAGAATTCGACACCGCCGGTCCCTGGATCCCGAGATAACCCGCAGCCAACAAAGCCATCAGTTCGACGCAACCGGTCTGAATAGGAGGAGGCCGGCGTGACCGAGGTTGAGGAGGCGGCGGCAGCGATGGCCGTCCGGCCGGCCAAGCGGAAGGCGTCTGCGTCCAAGATGGCGCTGACAGCCAATTCGTCGAGTACACCGGCCGGGATGGCCGGCCACGCGTCGCAGGCCACGCAGGCCACGCAGGATTACATCATTGTCAAGCAGCATTAGGCATCAGGACCGGATAGAGGTGGATTCAGCAACACCATGATTTTCACGGGTATGATATATTAGACTAGGAATGGCTTCACTGCGAATTGAGCTGATTTGCTAAGCATTCGAGCGGCTCCGTTGTGGTTGTATGCTGTCCATGGTGTGCCATGGAAATTTAGGCGGTGTGCAAAGAGTGGGGCTACAGGCCGCGGAGGGAAAACCTACAGGCCGCGGAGGGGAACTCTTTGGGAAAGGAGCTTGACGTGGGATGGCGTCGTAACCCAACTGCTGAAGCAGTGATTATTACCAGGACATGGTACATTATTGGATGTTGGAATGGAGGCTACGACGTCGGTCCGTGTAAACTGGGGCGATGGCGATGAACCGTCAAACGGAGCTTGGATGGAGTCTGGCGAAGTTGCACACAAGAACCCGGAACTTCCACGTCGAGATGAATGCTTGGCTTGGCACCGCACTCCAACTGTGGCACTGAAAAAGCGATGAACCTCCAACCCGTGACTTTTCCCTGTCATCGATAAACAACCGTCATAAGGCCTGGCTTCGCCATCTTCCCCATGGGTACCCAAATAAACCCCCAAGTCTCCCGCTTTTGCTGGCAGAACTTGCAGGTGGACCCAAGCCCAGTCTTCCCAGACACCGAGCTGCTTCGAGAGGAGGAGGTGCAGGAAACCATCTACAAGCGGGTATTTAGCAGCGAGGTTCCCTTTCGTCCGCCGCGGCGATACCAGGTCAAAATCTTGAAAGAGTTGATGGGCCAAGGTCGAATCTTCGATTGAAGACTGGGACCAGCATGTGGGTGCTGCACTGCTGACCTGCGACGGTCGTCCGTTCCAGGAACTGAGCCCATTCGTTGACAGTGACACCAGAGGAATCTCTGACAACCTCACCTTCGCGCTGTCGCAGCTGCTTTCACAACCCCTACCGTCCGAGACGGACGCCGCCCGGCAAAGAGATCATGTGACATACCACCTCTCCCTTCTTCAGGTCCCGCCAGCTGAGGTCGACCCTCCACACATCCATCTTCTTGAGTCCCGTTCACTCATCTCGGCTTCTGGTACCACTGGGTTACGTACATGGGAAGCAGCCCTGCATCTTGGCCAATACCTCTGCGCCGACCCGTCCTCCGTCAAGAACAGGCGTGTTCTTGAGTTGGGGACTGGAACAGGCTACCTCGCGGTGTTGTGTGCCAAGTACCTGGGGTCCGACCATGTTATCGCATCCGACGGATCAGACGAGGTTGTCAACCACTTGAGCGAGAGCTTCTTCCTTAACGGGCTGAGCGGGTCATATAAGATCAAACCCATGCAGTTGGGATGGGGACACGCGCTGGCAGGCACAGAAGTGGGCGGAGGAGGGGTGGACACGGTCTTGGGCGCTGACATCACCTACGATGTAAGTGTGATTCCGGCACTAGTTGCAACTCTGGAGGATTTGGCAGGGCTTTTTCCGGCCTTGTCTGTCCTGATAGCCGCGACGGAACGAAACAGGACGACCTTTGAGCGCTTCTTGGAAGTCTGCGGGAAACGGGGTTTCACCGTTGCCCACGAGTCGTATCCAATTCTGCCGAGGAGCGAGCAAAACGGTCCATTTTACAGCGACGCAACTCCCATACACATATGCAAATTGAGAAAATGACAGCAGATTATGGTTGACTAAACATGGGTTCGCGTCGTGAATGATATTGTCGAGGAACTCGACGAAACTTATGAGCCGATTCCCTCATGAGATTGGCAGACGACTGGCGGCTTGGAGGAGGTGGAGCATTTCCCCAGCACGGACCCACTTACCACTACCGCCTGACAATTTAGGCCAAAGCTCGAATTAGGGCTCGCGCACAATTCATCCAACCGGACCGGAATTTTTTGAGCTCCACCCTGGCGCAGCGCCCCGACCCTGCAAAAATCACCACCAAAGCGAAAATCCCACTTGAAACCTCTCGGATTTCGAGATCGTGGAAGCATCGCCAACATCGACAGCCATCAAACCGCCAAGATGGCCGACTCCGACTCTCCGGTCACGCTGCGCACGCGCAAGTTCATCCGCAACCCTCTGCTCGGCCGCAAGCAGATGGTCGTGTGAGTTTCCCCCTAGTTTCCCGCCCTGCCCGCGCTCCCGAAAACCCCTCCCATCTTCAGTACGCCGCGCGATAAATTGTCATTGCGATGGACCGGTTTGCGAAGATTGAAACGCCATCGATCGAACCAAGGGGGATCTCGGGACGGCGGAATTGCTGATTAATGGAAACGGCGCGCTGACCGTTGGTTTTTGTTGTTCACAGTGACATCCTCCACCCCAACCGCGCCAACATCTCGAAGGAGGAGCTCCGCGAGAAGCTTGCCGGCATGTACAAGGCCCAGAAGGACCAGGTCAACGTTTTCGGTCTCCGCACCCAGTTCGGTGGCGGCAAGACCACCGGCTTCGCCCTCGTTTACGACTCCCCCGAGGCGATGAAGAAGTTCGAGCCTCACTTCAGGCTGGTTCGCGTCGGCATGGCCACCAAGATCGAGAAGGCGAGCAGGCAACAGCGTACGTCCCCCTTCCCCACATCCTGGACACCTCAAGAATTGATGGCAGAGGAAGGTTTGCTTGGTTGGAACTGGCGATGGCTGACAATCTCTCCTCCCAACAGGCAAGCAGCGCAAGAACCGGCAGAAGACTCTCCGGGGTACCGCGAAGGTCAAGGGCCCCAAGGCGAAGAAGGAGAAATGAGCGGCTGGCTTTTTCTTTTGGCGTCGTCTGTTATACCGGGTATCTTGGCGGGCGGGACGATGGCTATGGCTTTGTGCATTACCCTGGACTGCTTGTTGCATCCGGCCAATATGATGCCGTGAACATGCAACTGGAATCCATAATGGAGGCGTGAGGGGCTCAATGATTGTGGCAAGACCAATAGCATTCAATACAGGGCGTCGTCGGTTACCAAGCCAAAGTCGCGTTTCGCCGTGATGGAGAGGTCGCGTCGCGTTCCGGCGCAGCCGTGACAGGTGTTTCTTGCGTCATAGATGGCATTATAACACGGAAGTTTCAGGGCCCCGAGGTTCAACCAACAACCAAACGACTGGAAAGTTCGTTCTCGCCTGCCCAGGTTCGCCGTCTCGCCCCCCACGATGTCGAAACCCACCACACGATCCGAGGGGCACGGCCGCTCTTTCGAGCTACGCGAGTTGCCCTAACTATTCACCAACTCGACCGATAGTCTTTTAAGGTTATAGAGGGCAGGGCGCCTCCTCACTTTCCCTCTTGCTCGGTCCTGCAATTATAAACCCTGTGGCATGGCTGTTTTGGATCATTGGGGTGCGTTCACATCCATCCCACTTCCAGACATGGCGAAGATCGGACACCTTCAGATATCCTCTCGGACTTTTCGCATGTTTTCTGCTTGCGGCCCTAGGTTTTGAGTGTGGACGCGCTACTGCATTCTCTCGGGTTCACCGCCTGGTGGATCGAGGGAGAGGCCCCAGCCAACGTTACAGACAGGTACAGCCACACATCGCCGAGGTGTCAGGTATCTGTGAGGTTCAACCCGGGAGACCAGCCAACCCCTAACTGTGTCATTCTCAGACGTGGCGAGGTTAATGTCAGCAAGGCATTGGCCCAAAAGAGACCTGATGGTAAGGCCGATACTGGGATCACAAAACACAGCTGGAAACGCCAATTTATTGATGGTCAGTTGAACGAAGCCAATCCAGTTCCGTCGGGAGCCAAAATGAAGCTGAAGAGTTTCGGTACAACCGGAAGCAACGAATAAATGTAATTACAACGGTATAAAACACGATTGTACAAGTCTAAGCCATACTTGATAAGACCTTCTTTTTCGCCCGCACAAGAGAACTCAATGCAGCGGTTGTCCGCTTATCGGTGGTTTGTTTCGACTGCGAAACAGTAAACCTCTCCGGCGCTGCTGTGTCTTGCGCAGGCGACGCTGCTGCTGGCATGCTGACTCCACGGCGAGCCCGCGGCTTCCTAACCCAGCCTGAGCCGGTGGGCATGCTGATCTCCTCGTAAGTCTCATCAATGCTGTCCTCCGCGTAGTCCTCTTCAACCTCGGGCTCCGGGCTGCTAGTTAGAAGCGACACGACCTGGGATCCCTTGGGGACAACAAACGGCGAGCTGCGTCCACTGGAGTTGGCACGAGCGGCACGGTCGGGACTGAGTGACACACGTTCGTTCTTGATGTGGGGGGCTGGGGACGCATTCGATGTTTTCTGTTTACGCTTCACTTTTCTTGGTGTCGGCTTTTCGATGGGTTTCTCGACGAGTCTCTGGGCGAGTTTGGAGGCAGGTTTGGTATTGTTGTTCTCGGACAGCCCAAAATTGCCACGATGCCGTATGGTCCCCTCATACCCAGAGTTTGGCGCAACATTGGGTTTCAGTGTAAACTTTCCGGCGTGTTTGTTGGAAATTTTGGACCCGATGGTTGAGGCGGATGTCCACATGTCGCTCAGGGATGGGATGGAGGAGTCAGATAGGTCCGCTTCTGAAGTACTTCCGCCGTCATGTTCTGCTTCTCCCCTCAGTATGTTCTGCTCGTCATCTGTGCGGCCTATCGTTGAACGGGACATTGTGGCTGGGCCGTCAAGATCATGTAATGAATCGTGGCCCAAGTCGATACTGAAGTCGGGATCTACTTGCCTCCCGCTGTGAAGGCTGCCTGTCTCAGAAGGGGGGATATTTAATGTCGGGTACGCCACCTGCCTTTCGTCGGGGGGCTCTTGGGTGGGATCCGAGAATCCATAGAACGGTTGAAGTCGGATTGGCTGGGAGTCGGAATTGTTGGATGTTAGTTGTGACGGGAGTTGAGGACTGGTGCGGCCCTGTGCTCGCGAGATCTCGGACGCGAGGAAAGTTGAGTCGTGGGCCATTTCTTCCAGCTGCTGTGAGGGGCTATTCAGATCCAAGCCTGCATTATCCGTGATGTGAGTGACAGTGGGGTCGACATCCTTCCGAAAACCAGCATCGCCAATCATGAGGCTGATTTCGTGCCGGCGGTCCTCTGGGATGGAGGTGACGATAGGTGCCGGGAGAACTGAAGTCTCGGATACCATACTCTGACCACCATCATATGGGGCGCTGATCCCTGCCTGTGCAGCATTGACCCCGTTCCTTTCCACTTGCACTACTTCGGGAGTTACAGATACTCTATCATCGGGGGATTTGAGTTCTGCGGCCCGGATTGCATCACGAGGCACAGGATTTTGCTCGGCGTTCGACAGCTGGTTGACGGGAGACGTGGTCCTGGCCACTTCGGGCGTAGGCGAGAGGATGCGTGGCTCAATCATATCGGCAAAATCCAAGGTCCGGTACCCTTGTTCAGCGGCAACGTCATGCTCATCGTCCATGCCAGGCAGTTCGAATTTGTCATACACACGGTTCCCGTCATCATCATAGACCTTCTCGTTGTGATCAAGGCTCCGGTCGCGCTTCGCAAGACGAACTTCCAAGGCGTTGTCATCGAGGACGCTTACGATGACACCAGCGAGGGAGGATATCTGAGGCTGCCAGTTGGTGGCTCTGGAAAGAAGCCACTGTTTCCATGTCACAACCATCCCCGCGACAGCCTGGCCAGAGTGGAGAATCGGCAGAGTTGAGAGATCCTCAGGGAGGGGTGGCATGTCCTCTTCGTCCATATCTGGGGACGGCGCTTGTTCTTCCTCTGCCTCTTCGGGTTGTTCATCATCGTAGTTAAGGACCGTGTCGTCAAAGCCAGGGGCTTCGCCGTGATTGGTGTAAGATTCGTCATTGCCGTAACCAGCGTCATATCCCGAGCCCCCTCCACGCCTTCTTTTTATGTTGGATCGGCTAGCTTCATCACGAAACTCTTCCCCGTCCCGCTGTTTCCGTTTTGACTGGCCGCCTCGTTTGTTCCTATCCCCATGGAAGTATTGCTGCTGTGGATCCCATCGTTGGACAAACGGAAACGGTGGCTCGCTCAGCTCGACTCCGTCCTGGCAACACTCCACCGCGCGGTAAACGATCTGGTCTCGCCATGCTTCCGGTTGATCTTCCACTGCGAGTTCTCCCTCTGACTGACGAGCTGAGGTGTGGCCCTGGCACGCTCGATTTGAACTATCGCTGGCCGGCCGTTCTACAGTTGAGGTATCCGCGGTAAGCGTCGGTTCGGGGTTCGCCGCGGTTTGTTGCGCTGTGCCGATTCTCTGTAGCAATGCTATCTTTTTGGCGGCGACTGATTCATGAAGGTCTTGTGTGCCTGATGGGGGCATGACCCCCCCCGCGGCAAAGTTCTGCGCAGCCCGAGCCGCTCTTCTTCGTGCATTCCGTTTCTGTGTTGCGGTTGTGCCTTGCCCTGGTGGCACTGAATTTTGGGTCTCTGACGAGGCTCCGTTGTTTTCTGAGCGTACTGTGGCGTGCCGCCCCTTGACACAGGCGTTCTGCGTGGCCTGATTTGGGGCTTTGTGAGATTCTGCCGCGCCACCCACATCGCTGTCAAACGAGTCATCATCGCTGGAGGACTCTGAGTCCGAGTCCGAGGAATCGCTGTCGATGTTGTCCTCACTATCGGAGGCCTCATCACTGTCACTGCTGTGACTGTCATCAGAGCGCTCCTCACTGTCGCTGCTGTGATCGCTATCGCTCGCGTCCGACTCACTCTCGCTTTCGCTCACGCTCTCGCCCTCACTCTCGCTCTCACTCTCGCTCTCGCTCTCAAGACCTGGCACGGACGACTTTTGTTGACCCAGATCGTTTAGGTCCCTCAACTCATCCGGCGCCTTCGAGGATGCAACCTCGGGGCCGCTGTCGCTCTCGCTGGCACTGTCACTTTCGCTGCCGCTGTCGCTTTCACTGTCCCTCTCGTCTTCGCTCTCACCATCACTTCCAATCTCGTTATGCTGCTTGTCCGCAATCCCCCCACGATGAAGGGAGGCGCCGGATGGCGTTTGATCGGAGTGAGCTTCGTCGTCAAATTTCGTGTGGACCGGGGGTTTCACGGCGTGGCCGGACTGTCGCATGGCTTCGACAATTTGGGCAGAGGTGGTTCCTGCAAGGATCGAACCGCCCGGAAACCCGTGCTGGTCGTAGTGCTTGATTATCGAAGCCACCGACTCTGCCTCGCTCTCGCTGTCGTCCAATCCATTGTCTGCGCTGATGATTTTGCTTGCGGGGCGAATGTGAGTGGGAATAGCGGGCACGGTAGCCGCCAATCTAGACGGTCGATGTCGAGTTTCTAGCTCAATGCCTGCCGACTTTAGGTCACCCCTATGTTCAGCTAACGCCCTTTCGCAAGACTCAAAACGGGCTGTTGGGAAATCGGCTCGAAGTGCTGATATCTTGTCAAGAGTTTGCAAGTTAAGCTCTGCCGCTTGTCCTGGGGCGGAAGAGTGTGCCGCCTTGTTTGGCCCCCTGCCCGATTTGGGCTTCTCGCCGTATGGTTGTTTGTTATCCGCTCGGAGATCACGAAGTTCACTTTCAAGATCAGAGCCGCCAAGGCTGTCTTCCACGACAAAATCTGCTTCCTCATCGGTCTCCTCGTCCAAGAACTCGTCGTCGTCGTCTTCGTCCCCGTCTGCTCCATCGTATTGGAAGTCGTTGAACTTGACATGGGTATGCCCTCGTCGGCCAGCCGTTCCATCTTCGCCATGCTCTGTAAGAAGTAACCTCGGTTCCTCGTTTTCGCCTTCTTCATCTTCGTAGGTGATTCTTCGGCGCTTAAGGGGCGGGATGTCGACGGTGGGTCGGTCTCTAGGGGTCTTGAGGCGCGGGCGGCCAAAGGCTACACCATCAATAAGATGCTTGCCATCCGCCGAGATTTGGTCTCGGCCAGTTAACCGGCGTTTCCGCCTGTCCCCGGTATCCAGTGGTCGAATGCTGCAGCGAACGAAGGTTAGCGTTGATGATGCAGCGCAAGAGAGACAAGATGACAGTCCGTTGGGGAAGTGGGAAACTCACAAGACTTCCTCGTCTTTTTTTAAAATGACAGAAACTTGCTGAAAATGGAGGCAGTCAAAGCCGCGGCCGTCGAAATCGCGGAGCTCGACAGCGTAATCTTCGAGGCCCCAATCATTGCTCTCAAGGGGGATGATCTCGTTGACTTGCTCTAGCAGATGGGCGATGGTTGGATCCGTGTCTAACTGTACTGCGAAAACTACCCGGACCTCAGGCAGCGCGTGTCGCCGGATGACCAGCCGCAGGCGAAGGGTATTACTGTCGCGCATGTTCGAAATGTCGAGTGAGCCGCGTGGGCTTTGCGCAGGCGACCGGGCGGCCGAACTTGGGTTGCGGGGGAAATGCCGGTTGATGGTGTTAGTTTCGCACCATGAAACAGGGAAATGAACCAAGTCGCGCTTCGTTCTGGAAAAAAGATGGTGACTTGAAGGGAGGGGACTTTCTGGGCAATTGCGGCGGTTTGAGAGCACCTGGATCCTTATCGGGTTGCTTATCGATCGCGACCACCGCTGCACTGATCCCAAAAATCCCCCTGAACCCCGGTTCAGGCGGCATCACACCTAGTCAGCGCCTGCTTGGCCTTTGGGCTTGGCCTTTCACTTCTCGTTACCATGACATGTTTTGGCCCCAGCTTGTTTGTTTCTCGATAAATGATTTGAAGAACACGCCAAGTCTATACAAAAGGTATCTATAACAAATACAAGTAGATTACAGGGGCATCTGTCGTGCTCGTGAGCGTTCAGCGTGGCAGATTTGCCATGTCTAGCATGTGACCCATCTTCTCGATCTACGATATGGTTACAAAGTCAGTTCCAGGAGACAGAATCATCAGTGAGCGGGCTGCATACCTTGGTCTTCAGATAACCCTCAACCTCGGGCGCCCTAAAGCCACCCCTCCCTTTCCAAGAAAGCGGCACCATGGCGACTCTTTCTTTGACTACTATCTCGCGGTGAGGGCCCTCGACAGCGCGGACCTTGTCCGGGTTGTTGGTTAAGAGGCGGACTTCGTTCTGCCCGAGGTCGCGCAGCATTGACGTGGCCAAGCCGTAACTCCGGGCGTCGGCCGGATGGCGCAGGAGCAGGTTCGCTTCGACGGTGTCGGACCCCAAATCCTGCAAGTTGTAGGCTTTGAGCTTCTCTCCCAGCCCAATTCCGCGACCCTCTTGCCTCAAGTAAATGATGATGCCGCCGGCCTCGTTGCTGGGCAGAGACATCAATCTTGCCGCCTCGTCGAGTTGCTCCCCACAATCGCAGCGTGCCGACCAAACCGTCTCTCCCGTGTAGCACTCACTGTGTATCCTGACTAGCGGTGGTCCCGGTGCCGGCTCTGAAGTGTTGTCCTGGCCCTCAGGCGCAACTACCGCGAGTCCGCTTGTCGTTCTCCCGGGAAATAAGCGACCGGTGTAAGCTCCTCGCACAAGGCGATCCATCTCAGTTTCCCCATCCCTCACGGCATCCAGAGATTTGCTCCGAATCTTGCCACCAAACACAATGGCCAGATGCTCTTTACTGTCCACATTGTTCGTGTAGAGATGCAGAAACATCTCAGCCCCGGTAGTTGTCGGGATCCGCGCGCGCACTATGCACTCGACCTCGGGTAGTGTCTCGAGAAGCCGCGGTTGCTTGGTGCCGCACCCGCCTGTCGGCACTGAGCTGTCGACCGGGATGCTGCGTGGTTCACGTGTGGCTGCTGCGGCAGCATGGTTCGGTGTGGTTGTTCCCGGTGTTGAGGGTGGTGTGAATGCCGGGGAGAGGAGTGAGTCGGGCGGGGGTTGTGTTGATGGCAACGATTCTTGCGCAATCGCCGCGTCTTCACCGTCCTTGGCGGCTGCCGAAGCCGGATCTTCCGCGGACAGCGAGAAGCCGGCCTGTTCGATGTCTCCGTCGCTCTGCGATGCAATGTGTGCGTTTGGCCGCGGCGAGTAGAAAGGTGGTAAGCGGAGCCCGTCCGACTGTTGTCCCAACTCGGAGCCCGGCATTGTGGGAGTGATGCAATGTCGCTGCGCCTTCCGACTGGGCGCAATCTGGGGTTCGGCCCGCGAGTTAGGTCCAGCGTTCCGCGCAAGGGGGTCTCGGATGGGCGCGAATAATGGGTATTATGGTCGCATTGAGTTCAAGGAGAGAAGTTTAAGAATCTGTCGTCTTTCTCAGGGGTCAAATTGAAAGTTGGGACGGGTTGACCGGGCGAAAAGCGGTCGCAGTAGGTATTTGGCATACGTTAGTCAGGTCCTCGGTTTCTGATGTGATCCCGCCGTGTTTCTGGAGAATCCGAACCCCACCTGCCCCGCATTATGTCTTGCCTCCTGCCCGCGCGCCGAGGAAAAACTTCGGCTCTGGAACTCTCCAGGCTCCATGGTGAGATCCATTCATGTGCTCCCCAACTGCCCCACCATTTTTGTGATATGGAAAACCGAGGGAAGGAGAGCAACGACGGCGCGGACTACTATCCCGTGGTCCATGATAAAACCAGGTAGGAGGGACGCTGATAAATTAAGACCAAATTTAGCTGACTGCAGGGTATACTGTTACCCGGTTGCGTGCTTCCGCAGCTCTGGTGCCGATTAATGCGAGAACCCCCAGAACGCAGGACGACTTGAACACAATTGGCCAGATGCCCAGATCAGATATTGGGATGCAATGGCGTTGATTCCCCTGGCGATTCACTCACCTTCTCGGCCTTTGAACAGGGGACAAGGCGAGACGGAGTGTTTGCGTCTTGCCCCTTTAGGACAGTGGAGATGCGGATCTTCGGCTATGAATCCGGAGGCACCCTTCAACCAAGGGCTTAGCCTACCAACAAACCGTGTCGTCCCGGGCGGGGCCTCACTCGTCGACATCCATGCCGACGGCGCTCGATCTCCTTTCAGACTGACGACTTATGCCATGTAGTGTCGGCTGGGTATGGAAACCTTGGCCTCCGGAGCCAGCAACACTGAGCAAGTTGACACGGCTCATGCCGCCCCAGTGAACGGAAGGTAAGCTGCCGGCCGGTGACCACTACGGTTTTTGTTATGGCTTTATAAGAGTGTGGTTTGCAGAGCATTTTACGACTTGAAGGGGTCGCCGCCTTTTCACCCTCGTCGAGCTGAGCCTGCTGGTACTTGGTCCTTCACTGTTGCTCGCCTCGTCGTGCTATCTGCTCATACACCATGCGTCCCTCGTGTCTCCTCGCGGCCCTGGCCACCGGCGGTCTCGTGTCTGCCGCGCCCAGCCCCAAGCCGCCGACGCCGCCGGCGCCTGGTGATGTGAACCCTTTCCAGGGCAAAACCCAGTTCGTCAACCCGGCGTGGGCGACCAAGTTGGGCCAGACCTTGCGGTCGTTCCTACGGAAGGGTGATCTCGTCAACGCCGCCAAGACGTACAAGGTCCAGAATACGGCCTCGTTCGTCTGGGTTTCCAACCGCGCCGGCCTCTCCAACATTGACGACGCCATTGCCGCCGCCCGCAAGGCGCAGAAGAAGACAGGCAAGAAGCAGATCGTGGGTTTGGTGCTCTACAACCTTCCCGACCGTGACTGCAGCGCCGGCGAGAGCGCTGGTGAGTTCCACAGCGACGAGAACGGACTTCAGCTGTACAAGGACGAGTTCATTAAGCCCTATGCCCAAAAGGTCGCGGCCGCCAAGGACCTGGACTTCGCCATCGTCCTTGAGCCTGACTCTCTAGCCAACTTAGTCACCAACATGGGCGTTGAGCTCTGCGCCAACGCGGCCCCCGTCTACCGCGAGGGTATCGCCCATGCCATTGCGGAACTTCAACACCCCCATGTCCACCTTTACATTGATGCTGCCCACGGCGGGTGGCTCGGCTGGGACGACAACCTGCCCCTCGCCGCCAAGGTCTTCTCTGAGGTGGTCGCCCTGGCTGGTAAAGGCAAGAAGATTCGTGGCTTCGTTACCAATGTGTCCAACTACAACCCCTTCAACGCCGTGGTGCGCGAAAACTACACCGAGTGGAGCAACTCGTGGGACGAGTCTCACTACGCCACGTCGCTCGCCCCGCACCTTGAAGCCGAGGGTCTTCCAGCCCACTTCATTGTCGATCAGGGTCGTGTTGCCCTACCCGGAGCCCGGGAGGAATGGTGAGCGCAACTGTTTATGTCTTGCAAGTATCCAATTGCTAATATGTGCTAGGGGTGAGTGGTGCAACGTCGAGCCCGCCGGCTTTGGCCCGGCCCCGACCACAAATACCAACAACACCGTCGTCGACGCTCTTGTCTGGGTCAAGCCCGGCGGAGAGAGTGATGGCGAGTGCGGCCTGGCCGGCGCCACCAGGGCTGGAGAATGGTTTGACGAGTACGCCCAGATGCTTGTCAAGAACGCGGATCCGTCGGTTTTCAAGTGGTTTTAGACAGCGGTTGCACCGTAGCGTTGGATTCATAATAAATTATATGTTCAATCATGACCAGTAGCAACCTGTCGGAATATCTACGCCAGAGTTACGTCCCCGCACGGGGACGTGACGGAGAACAGGGGTGATCTGCCGCTGGGGCAGTCGTCACGTTGGTCTTGGACCTCGGGGACGATAACCCCAGCTGCAAAGTCTGCCCCCGCCTCATTCCGGAGAGAAGAAGAACATGATCCAACTGAACCACCAATGTAGCACGTCCCTCCAGAGAGAAGGGATTTGCCCTGTGTTTCTAACGTTATCGCGATACCTGGTATTCCCTACATCAACCGTAAGCTCGACAAAATCTCCGTGACGTAAGGCCAGACTGCGATTATCCCCTCCAGGCACATCAAAAGACCGACATCGGGCATCGCCTTACAGACTACAGTTGTACCCATTCTCTCACATCCACCTAGCAAAATGACGATTCACGGACCAAGTGCGGGATGTCCCCGCCCTCCACCCCTTACTTTCCTTCCTGTGCTTCTTGTTGAGCCTTTGGTGGAAACTTCAGCTTCGCTTCCGCACTTGGTCCCCATCCGCCGTATCCTTCAGCGGCCCCCATGCCGCCCAGACCCGTCGATGATCCCATCGCAAGCTTACCAGCAGGCTGGTTCCCCGCAACTCCCGGCCGATCCTTGGCCCACGCTTGAAGTTCGTCCTTGGTCTTCCCTGTGTACTTCAACAAGTCCGCCTCAGAGATTTGAACATTGCGACCGCGTTTGGCGTCGACATAACGCTGGTAGAGGGACTTTTTCTTCGCCTTCGGCTTGATCTCGGCGGCTTTCTCAGGTATCACGGTGTCGGTTGCCGGACCCATCAAGAATGCGGTGCCGCTGGAAGCTCCGTTTGACATGGTCAAATGGGTGTGGCGCGTGGACGCCGTACACAGTGATTTTTTTTTTGGAAAGGGGGTCGCTTGAGGTAGTAATCTGGATCGTGCGGTGATAATTCACAACAACCAAGTTGTTGGAATCCGGAGGAAAGGCAAGAGGCGACAATGAAAATATGGGCAAAGAATCACGGCTATCTACGAGGGAACCTAAAAGTCTGGGCGCTGACCGGAAGGAGAAAGAAAAGGTCATTGCCTTCACCCCTCTTTCTTGATAATCAGGTAGGTCAGGTACCTACCTAATTCACCTAAGAAGCCGGGCACAGCCGGCTGAGGCTGAGTGCATCGAGGGCAGGTCAGGCGGATCGCTGAACCCCACACTCCCTCCTACCTTACCTTACCTGGTAAGTAGGTACCTAGGTGGGTGAGCTAAGGTATTTCCACATGTCCTTTTTACACAAGGCTTTGACCGAGCAAGAGAAGCGAATAAAGGCCGTAAACGGACATTAACCCTCTGGGATGGCTTTGCAGTCCAGGAACCCATGACTACCTTATATTTCGGAAGGCACGGAAAGAACTAGTGATAGATGTATAATACGGTTAGCTGATAGCTTTGTCAAGTGAACTAAGAAATGAAACCTACCTCGAGTAAATGGACGACGCTGTTGGAGTTAGAGTTGGAGTTGGACTCGGAGTCGGAGCCGGATCCATGCTTCTTGCTATTTCATCAAACTAGGTATCTATTTACAGCTTTGTTTGGGGATGAATGACGTCTATCCTCTAGGCGATGCATTTCGGGTCTTGACACCCCACGCTTGAAGACCGCGCTGTGGCAACCACAATTGATAATTGGCTGGCCGGTCATCGTTCGGTCTCACTCTCAGGCCGCCACACGCCTCCGAGAAGCGAGAAACACGTCCCCGACAAGCCCGATTAGCCACTAGCACGTATCAGAACTCGCCGAGTTACCTATGTTCCCATGAAGACCGGATCTTAGAGACCACAGGTTCTTCTTCCTTGGGCACAGCCAGTTCATCATCCCAGGCCACTTGACCCAAGCAAGCACTCTGTACGGAACTCAATTTTGAACATTGCCCAATTTTCAACATGTACATCTAATGGACGTTTTTGTCGGTGTTCAGGTTTCTGCAACTGGCCGCGGGAGCTTCTAACTTGGCGCAACAACCCTTGGCTAACTTACGTATTTTCCGGAGAATGGCAACACCAATTCAGCCATCCGGAAAGAGACGATTCATCATGCGTTATCAGCCACCTGAGTGCGTTTGACCAAGTTGAGGGTCCGGTTAAGCCGTCCCTTTCCGCGACGGAACACCCAGAAAGCCCTAAATTAGCGGCAATCAACGCCATAGCATGGGATCAGTGCAAAGTTGACGGCGTGGCCGACTCCGGAAAGGGCGGATTCATCATGGGTTTCTGCCGAGATCCTTAGTTCACCTTATTCGGGCAGGAAACTAGCATCGAACTTTACATGACACTGGAGGACGGCACGCGCATCGAGGAGATGCAGTATACACGACACTCCACCATCATTGACTGTGCGGACTACGTCAAAGGTATATGAAACAGCTCCGATCATCTGTACGGTTTCAGAGTGTCAAAAGACATGCGTTCGGCAAAAGTGTGGTGGGAGATTAAGCGTGGGAAAGGCATCGTTACGCTGGACTCGCTAACCCCGCCGGTTTTGGCAAACAGGCTGCTCTGGTCCGCAAAGGAAAGCGTTCGACCCCAACGCCATGCTGCCGTTAGGCTAGGACCTGGGTTCTACTTCAACCAGCCTATCTCGGGAGGCCAAATGGTGGCTCGCGTGCAAATGGATAAAAAGATCATGCGCATTACCGGCCATGGTGCTCACACCCGCCTGTGGGCTGAGGATGGCTGGGCCAAGGTTTGTTGCGGGTGGCATGTTGTCCGTGGATATCTCGGCCCATACACCATCTCATATGTCCGGTTGTTCTCGAGGTTTCGTACCTGTCAGCTCAGCTCTTCAAAGACGGCCAACTACTCGTAGGCACACAACTTGGCGAAATATCCCGAGAGGCCGACCATGTGCTGTTCTGGCCCGATTTTACTGGAAATTTGAGCGGCAGCCTGGCCGACAGGTCAATAGGGCGGGTACTCGAGTTCGTGTCCACAACCAGCGGGAAAACCTGGCGTTTTCACCATGGCCACGACACCAAGATGTTTGAGATGGATTTCTTAGGGGGTAATGGTGGGACGGGTTTCGTGACCAGCGTCCAAGGTGGGGAGTTGGGTATGGATGAACGTTACGATGGGAGAGGCTTCTCTGAGCAGGCCCTGCTGCCAGAGAAAACCGTGAACTGGCAGATTTGGTTGGTTTACGGTCTTAACCTTCGTTCGAAAATGGAAAAACATGGTGCCAAGCTCTCTGTCTTTTATCTTTTGATACACACCAAGGGTATTAGGTAGAGGAGCATTCGCTGTGAAGAAGAGATGATGTGGATTAAAACCTGTCATTTAATAGGTACTTGACCTAGAATCCATGAATCATCACGTTTTGCAACAGAACACCGTCCATGCTCATCAACTACAAATTTATTAGTCATGTCCAACTATTTCCTTTCCATATGCCGAATTCAGGTGCTACGTGGGTTCATCCCTACACTACTGTTTTCACTTTACCAGCCCCAAGTATATCGCCGAACTTAAGCCTCCGATATAGAGGTTGATGACCCCGAGCACCGATGACCGAAACCTCCGGTTGCACGATGAGACTGCGGAGCCGCGAGGGTCTGGATGGCACAAACCAATGATCCGGAAACTAGGCCTAGCCTTAGACTGTAAGGATAATACCGCGGCTGAACAGAAATACCCTTTACACTTACTTAGATAGAGGCAGTAGAGGTATAGGGTCACCAACCATCCCGTTATTCTAGTCGTACGACATTGTACATGCTCTCGCCAAAGCTAGATTCTCTCAACAGAATCAACCAACTTGTAGCAGCCCACGAGCCCCTCTTGTTGAACGTTTTCATCAAAAAAGTCCGCTACCATGGTTCAGGTAAGGCGGTCTAGCAATGAGCCCATCGCCATCATTGGGAGCGCGTGTCGATTCCCGGGCTCGCTCGACAATCCATCGAAGCTCTGGGAGTTTCTGCGTGAACCCAGAGATCTGCTATCCAAAGTTCCAACTGGCCGTTTCAACATGGACGCCTTCTTTCATCCAGATGGCGCGCATCACGGTACCGGCAATGTCACCCACAGCTATTTCTTACAAGAGGATCCACAGCTATTTGATGCAAGCTTCTTCAATATCAAACCAGTCGAGGCTCACTCGATTGACCCCCCGCATCGGATCCTTCTGGGGGTGGTATATGAGTCGTTGGAGAGCGCTGGTCAGTCGATCGAAGCGCTGGCAAAATCGCAGACCGGTGTCTATGTCGGCGTCATGTGCGACGACTTTATGCAGCATGTTCGGCGAGACATAGACATTATGCCCGTGTATGTGGCAACCGGAACGGCTAGGAGCCTTATATCCAATCGAATCTCGTACTTTTTCGATTAGCACGGCCCCTCAATGACAATTGACACGGCATGTTCGTCGAGCCTAGTTACCGTCCACCAAGCTGTGCAGCTGCTGCGTAGCGGGGATTTGGACCTCGCTGTGGCAGCTGGGTCCAACATCATCCTCGGCTCAGAGCTCTACATTGCTGAGTCTAAACTCAAGATGCTCTCCCCAACTGGCCGGTCCCGGATGTGGGATGTCGGGGCGGATGGTTATGCGAGGGGCGAAGGCGTTGCATGTGACGAACCTATTTCAGGACCCTGTCCTGTTAGGGTTCAGCTTCGGTTGAAGGTAATCTCTCAAGGGTGCTTAGGTTCGGTGCAGCCAAAAGGTGCACAACAAAGACTTGTCTCAACAGTAGGCTCTCGAGCTTGTAGCGAACTGTAGTTGTGATTGCTAACTGGAAAACTCCCAGAGCTCTCCAGAATGAGTGACTATATACTAGCTAAACGATCAAGTACCTTGTACTTGATCTCCGTGATCTTTGTTGCCCTCATCACAGTAGTAGTAGTAGTAGTTTATTAACGCCCGGCGGGTCAACCGAAAGGGCAACTAGTATTACAATCTGACGATACATTTCCCAAGATATGTCTTAATCTCTTTGAAGCCCGTAAAGTTCATTCTAGTTCATATTCCGACAGTTACCATTTCACTGCGAATTCTCGTGGGTTTAGTAGGGCTGTTAGTAGGCTGGCTTGAAGGCGATTCTCCAAGTGTTCAACGTCCTATCTTCAGCAGCTGAAGCGGTGCCTGCTATTTGTGTCACGAGGTGAGGGGGTCGGCGCTGTCGGGTGTGGTGGGTTAGGTGATTTAGTCGGCCTGTGGTTCGTTCGTGTCGAGTCGGCCCGTCGCCATTGCGAACCGTATGGTTGCGCGAACGGCAGCCATGTCAGGAGTCCAGTCGTTCTTGTCCGACGGCGATTTCCCTCCTAGATAGAAGGAAATATTGCTTCTCTGAGTGTCTGTACATTCGAGCATCTTTCTTCGGTACGCTGTCCATTTTGTGCATCGGAATAGGAAGTGGTCCACTGTCTCATTTGCTTGTCCACATGCGCACTGGTCTGACGGTGCTACTCCGATTCGGTGGAGGTAACCGTTGAGCCTTGCCATGCCTGTTCTGAGCTGAGCAAGTTTGGCAGCCTCCTTATGAGATAGATGATCGTACAGCAGTTGGGTGTGTTTCCCTGGTAGTGCTGCGTCGACTCGCTTGGAATGAGCTCCGACTTTGTCTGGCAGGTGATTGCCGCTGTCTCTCTTGGACCGTGCTACGTTGAGGGTTGTCGACCGCATCCTGGGCATTTGTACTTCCGGAGCGGCGCCCTGTCGAGTGGCATGTTTTGCGTTCCCCTTGGCGATTTCCCAAAGCTTGTTTTCTTCTCTTGCAGGGAACCATCGTATTGATACTGTGTTTCCGTTCCTGCGTAGTTCTCTGATTGATTGGTATATCTGGCAGATGTGCCGTTGCCCGGACTGTCGTCGAGCGTGTCGGATCGCGAGAACAGCCGCTTTGTTGCGTGTTGAGAGCTCGATGCGGCTAGATCTAAACGTTGGCAGTGTGCCTAACGCTCGTTCGATGGCCGCAAGTTCCCCAGAGTATGGATTTTGTTCTGACCTTGAGCCAAGCGTAGAGGAGAAGGTCCCAAGTTTTGGGGTGCCGTATGCAGATGCCGGCAGCGTCGCAGCTCCGCCAACTCCCACCAGGCCGTTTCGCGCCGAGCTGCTTACGGCGATGCATATAATATCGTCGTTGGCATTCCGGCGTGTTGTCGTCGGCTCGTTAGTGACAGTTTGTACACGGTTCTCCCAAGGTGTCAATGTGAACGGGTTAATGGTTTCCAGCTCGTCCATTGCGATGTCTTTCAGTGTGTCTGCCACCTGGTAGAGTGGCGAGCGGTGGCTTTTCCTGAACTTTCGCATTTGAGACGTGTTTCTGCGTAATGGGTTGGTGTATGGCAGGGTGTGAATATCGGTCCATAGTTTGATGGCCCGTCTCCAGAACCGATCTTGTGCGCTGGCAATATGAGCTTCTGCTTCCGCTACGCTCGTTGCCACTGTGAGGAAGGTCCCCACGATGGCTTGCGCCGCCACTCTCTGGATCCTGTTGATGGGTCCTGCGAGTTTATTCTTGCATGCGTGCATCCACACATTGGAGGCGTAGTCTACCACGGGGGCAACTGTGCATGTAAACAGCTGCCGCGCCGTTGATGGGGACAGACCTCGGAGGCGTTTCAGTTCCATCGCTGCTTCCAGGCCTTTGGACGCAGCCCTCCAAATGTGTTCTTTGTACTTTAGTTTTGTGTCCATGAGCACGCCAAGGATCTTGACATGGTCTTGAGGCTTGACAATCTGCCCCTTGATGGTGAATGGTTGTGCGTCGGTCTTATAGATTGTGCGAGTGAAGTGTATGATTGCTGTCTCCTGGACATTGAAGGTCGCACCACTCCTTGTCTCCCAGTCTAGGGCGTCCCTGATGATGGCTTCTATGCCTTCTCGGTTGCTCTGCGCCGTAGGTCCCGTGATCCACGCTGTAAAGTCATCCACGAAGGCCCTCATCACAGATCAAGGGGATAAGTTGATGATCTGTGTCCCGTTCAGTGATCTCCCAGAGATCAGTGCGGGTCACTTGCACCTTGCTTCTATTGAGTGGTTAGTACTGTCGTCTAACTGATTGGTCCAGGGCACTGCCAGCATGCGGTCGCCTGCAAGCGGCCATAATCGTGACATTGCATACGTCATCCTAAAACGCCTTTCCGACGCCATCCGTGATGGGGATCATATCGAATCCGTTATCCGCGAGTCTGACATTAATTAAGATGGCCGCACCAAAGGGCTCACAATGCCCAACGAGCTAGCCCAAGCAGATCTGATTACTAGGACATACCGAAAGGCCGGGTTAGACCCAACGAAGGAAGAGGAACGCTGCCAGTTCTTCAAAGCCCATGGTACAGGTACGGAAGCAGGCGATTGCCGTGTAGGTTCTTTCTGTTTTTCTTTTTATTATCGTCAAGTTACCCCAACTGGCTGCCAGGCAGGAGACTGAGGGCATCAGCCGGGCGTTTTTCGGTCCAAGCAGTAATCAAGAAGGCCTACCCACCCAAACTCAAGCGAGCAAGCTCTATGTTGGTTCAATCAAAACAATCATCGGCCATACCGAAGGTACGGCTGGTTTGGCCGGGCTACTGAAAGCTTCGCTGGCTGTCCAACACAGCACCACCCCGCCCAACATGCTGTTCGACCGGTTAAGCCCGCCAGCGGCGCCGTTCTATAACGGACTGGAGGTTGCCACGCAAGCAAATCCGTGGCCCCGGGTAAATCACGTCCGGAGAGCGAGCGTCAACAGCTTTGGCTTCGGCGGCGCCAACGCCCATATCATCCTTGAAAACTACGACCCCGCGGCTGGGGTGGCCAAGGATTCTATCAGAGACACTAGCAAACATCCGGCCACCTTCACCCCCTTCATCTTTTCTGCGGCGTCCGAAACAGCTCTCGAGGAGATGCTACAGGCATACGTTGTGCATTTGACCGAGCAACCACAGTTCTCGCCACCCGACCTTTCCCACACGCTATATGCTAGAAGATCCGGCTTAGGGGTGCGAGTGGCATTACCGGCTTCGATGTCACCGGAACGCCTCGCCTGCTCTATTACAGACTACCTAGAACTCGTCCGTGCTCGTCAGAAACACAAGGGGCGCCTGACATCAGCATCGGTATCAGACCGATGACGGCGCGCCCCAGAATTTTGGGCGTCTTTACGGGCCAAGGTGCACAGTGGGCGGGCATGGTAAAGAGGCTCATCAAGAATCGATGTTCGTTCGTGATCGCATCCATGCTCTAGAGACCTCCCTGTCAAGTCTCCCCACAGCAGAGCAGCTCTCTTGGTTCATCTCTCACGAATTCCTCGCAGATGCACAATCCTTACGGCTTGATGAAGCACTCGTCGCCCAACCGCTGTGCACTGCCATCTAGATCGTCTTGGTAGACCTGCTATATGCCGCCGGGGTTGAGTTTGCAGCCGTTGTTGGCCACTCCTCGGGGGAGATAGCGGCAGCATACGCTGCAGGCATGATCAGCGCCGAAGAAGCAATCAAAATTGCCTACTATCGTGGCTGGTGCCTTCAGCGGTATGTCTCGGCTCAAGGGCGTATAATGGCTGTCGGGACCTCGCTCGAGAACGGGAGCGAACTATGCGGTCTACAGGAATTCGATGGCCGGCTATAGTGTGTGGCGGCTTGTAATTCCCCGTCTAGTGTTACACTTTCTGGTGATTCTGATGCCATCGATGAGGCAAAGGTGATCTTCAATGATGAAAAGAAGTTTGCTCGAGTCCTCAAAGTCGACAAAGCATACCACTCCCACTATATGACAGCCTGTTCGATACCATACGAACAGGCCCTGGACCGCTCCAAGATCGAGCCCCGGTCGCCGTTGAATAACTGTGCTTGGTATTCCAGCGTGCATTCTGGTACAATGATGGGAACAGCAGCGCATCTTCAATCCCTCAAAGGAGAGTACTGGAAGCACAACATGCTACAGCCGGTTCTATTTGCCCAGGCCATTGAGGTAGCTGCCAGGATGAACCAAGATGCGCCCTTCAACATGGCCATTGAGGTAGGCGCTCATCCAGCGCTAAAAGGACCAGCAACGGAAACACTGGCCGCCATATATGAAGGGAGCCAGCCGTCTCCGCCGATATACACGGGTACCCTGCAGCGTGGCACAGAAGAAGACACTGGAGCTTTGTCTGCCACGCTCGGGTTCGTATGGAGCCGGTTCGCAACGACCATCGTCGACTTCATCAAGTACGAGGCCGTTGCAACAGGGTAGCCGGCTTCACAGAGGCGCTTCATTCCCGGCCTTCCGACGTACAAATGGGATCATGATAGGGTGTTCTGGCACGAATCTCGAACTTCTCGGGCCACTCGCAACCGTAAGGAGGCCTTCAACCCCCTCCTTGGCAAGAGGGTCCCGGACGGCGTGGGCGACGAGATGCGTTGGCGGAACATTATACCGCCCAGTCAGCTCCAATGGATCAGTGGCCATCAACTCCAGGGTCAGATGGTATACCCGGCTGCTACCTATCTCTCCACTGCCATTGAATCGTGTGCTTTCCTTGCCGAAGGTCGACTCATCAACACGATTGAAATCAAGACTTCAAGCTAGGCAAGGCCCTGGCTTTTGATGGCAACAACGAGAAAACCGGGGTCGAGACTGTCTTCGTCCTCTGTAACATCGCCAAGCGAGGGACGCACCAGCGCTGCTCTCAGATCAGTCAGACCCTCCTGATCTGAACTGATTGATTCCCTCGGCCCTTGAACTGGATTGAACTGGACTGAACTGGACTGAACTGACATACAAATGCAGCTATTCGTAACCCTGCTGCCCCTTAATCGATCCCCAACCCGGACTGCTGCCCATCATGACTCCTCCGATGACGATATCGCCGTTCCTAAGCCAGTTCTTCAGCATCTGAAGCATCTCGATAGTCTCCCACTTCATTGCATGCCTCTGGGAGCTCAGAGTAAGCTTGGCAATGCTAAAGGACCTCTTGCAGTCAGCTGCCATGGCCGGAATAGCGAGAACGTCAAGGGCCATCTGAGACAGCTTTAGGAACTGAGCCTTATTACTGATCCACCATTCAGCCGGATCGACGTTGCCCCCAACCTTCATGTTGTAGTACCGGTCAATCTCGTCCCCGTTACCCTCTTCATCGGAACTGCTTCGCGATGGTGCGCAGTCGAGATCGAGGGTGGGGGAGGAAGACTGCTGCAACGTTGTTGGCATCGTCTGTAGCAGAGGCTGCGTAGCTGCTCTGTGCAGCAGTCGACATTGCGAAGTTGGGTTAACTTTAACTGGATCAGCCTCAGTGGTCGTCACACACACGCACACACACGCGCGTACAAACAGTGGACAGAGCGACGCGCGGAATCCGCAATTTGGCTCGAGACAGGGGGTGTTCTGGTCCGGAAAAGTAATACCCGACTTATTCATCCACCTCTCCACCATTAACACTCAAAATGAAGGGATTCGGCGCCTTGACCAAGGGCCAAAAGTACCTAAGGTAAAGATAACAATCAGATTATCAGATTTGTAAGGTGCCTCATCTGATCCGACTGATCTGAAGAAATGGCCGATCTGAATCGACTGGACTGCTCTGGATTGATAGATCTGATCTACAATCTGATGATCAGATCAGATTCTGATCTTTGAGCAACGCTGGGACGCACCAGATCACAGCGGATTTCACGTTCCACGCTACCATCGGTGTTGAGGCTGATCTGCTCTCCCGCTTAGCAACCGGTCACTTATCAGTCGCGTTGTACAAGAGTGACGCTGGTCAGGCTGCGGATACGCTCCATCGCCTAGTGCCGCAGCGAACTCCCGAACCATCTGATGTCGCCGAGGTACGGGAGGAGGATTTTTATTCCGCGCTGAAGGAGCTCGGCTACAAATATTATGACGATTTTCGCGGCCTGTCATGCCTGAAGCGAAAGATCAACTACGGTTCGGCGCACGTGGGTGTTCCCGGTCATACATCGGCTGCTGATGCGGTTTTTCTGCACCCGGCCCTGCTGGATGCGGCTTTACAGGCAAGCTTCCTCACCTACTGCCATCCCGTTGACAAGAGCCTCGACCAGCTACACCTACCTACAGGGTTAGGCAGTCTTTCGATCAATGCGTCTCTCTGAAGACAAGATTTAGTCCAAGGGGTCCAACTTCCTCTTGAGTCCTTCTTGACAAACAACCCACTGACTACGAACGTTATTGGAAGTTATATTGACGTTTATGGTCGTGACGGGAAAACACCCCTCATCCAAATACAAGGCCTCCGGGTGACGCCTCTGACTGAGCGGGCTAGTGATGCGGACAGAACATTATTCATGGAGCATATCTGGGGGGTGAGCATGCCCGATGCTGTGCTAGTAACAAACAGCCGTGCTACCCTGGCCGATTATGAGCTTGTTACAAACCTGGAACGGCTCTCCCTGTACTACATGAAAAAACTGGTTCACGATGCGCCACCAAGTCAGCGCCGCGGCTTGAAATGGCATCACGAGGCCATGTTTAACTGGTTCGAACACGTGCTCCGCCAGACGGCTGAGGGGCGGCAGCGATATACCAGCAAGGAGTGGCTTGGTGATACCTGGGATCAGATCTCGGCCATAGTGGGCAAATACCCTGCCAACATTGACATCAAGATCATGTGTACAGTCGGCGAGAACCTCGAGTCCGTCGTTCGGGAACAAACTCAAATTTAGGAGCACATGTTTCGGGATAATCTCCTGAACCGATACTACGTCGAAGCATTGGGCCTTTAGCGAATACACCGGGTTTCTGTCACGCACTGTGGCACAGATCGTGCATCGTTACCCGCACATGGATATCCTCGAGATTGGGGCTGGGACTGGTGGCGCAACAAAGGCCATCATGGCGGAGATGATTGGAAGCGCGTTTTCCTCGTATACATTTACCGACATTTCCGCCGCGTTAATGGAGAAGGCACAGGAGCTGTTCCCTCAGGTAACCAACAAGATGGTGTTCAAAACCCTCGATATTGAGAAGGACGTAGTCGACCAAGGTTACCAAGAACACTCGTACGATCTCATCATCGGCTCGATGGTCTTGCACGCAACCAAGAATCTCGACAAGACTCTACAAGAGACCCGTCGGCTACTCAAGCCCGGTGGCTATCTCCTTCTTATAGAACTCATCAGCAAAGACGTTGTCCGCACTGGCTTTACCATGAGTGGCTTGTCGGGTTGGTGGCTTGGCCAAGATGACGGCCGGCACTACTCTCCGTGTGTGACCTCGACCAAATGGCACCAGCTTCTCTTGGGAGCCGGGTTTTCAGGTATCGACACCATAACACCTGAAGTCGACATTCTGCCCCGGCCCGCATCCGTCATCGCGTCCCAGGCCGTTGACCGGCGCGTAAGCGTCATTCAGCAACCGCTTATGCACGCCCACGAGTCCAACGCTGTCTCGGCCGACAATGGGGACCTGGTGATCATCGGTGGGCAAAGCTTAACGACGGTGTTGTTGATTGACACAATCATGGATCTGAAACGGCACTTTGAGTTCCAGATCACTCGCTTCTTAGCCTTGGAGGAACTCACTGATGCTAGCATCTCTGCCACGGCCATGATACTGAATCTGACCGGACTGGACCGACCCATCTTCTCTGATGTCACGGATGAATCCTTACGAGCCATACAGAACATGGTCGACTATCAACGGACAATTCTATGGGTGGCACAGGGCTCTCGTGCTGACGAGCCATATATGAACATGACTCTGGGACTTGGCCGGTCGATAGCCATAGAAACCCCCGGCACCCGCATCCACTTTCTCGACCTTGACTTTTCCCAGAAGCCAGACGCAAGGTTGGTGGCAGAAACACTTCTCCGTCTGCGATTCACACAGGAAGAAGCTTCTGTTCGCGGAGTTCTCTACACAATGGAGCAGGAGATATTCGAGGAAGGGGGCCGTATCGTAATCCCACGACTACAGCCGATGGAACCAGCAAATACCCGATACAATGCCTCCAAACGATCCATCGTGCAGGCCAGATGTCCCTCCGAATGTCCACTCATTCTAGCTCGATCCAGCCAGACTAGTGGCTATGCTTTCTACGAGGCACCGCCCGAGCACTGTCTCCATGTCGACGCCGGTCACGTTCTGACCGATGTCGCAGCATCCACTTTGCGGCCCATTATAGAAGACATGTACGGTGTTGTTGGACTGGACCCTCAGGCCGACATTTAAGTCTTGGGATTCTCACGCGCCAACGCATCTCGTGTCGTTGTCCAACAAGAACACCTGGTCCGTTGGGCCAGCGCGCTACATGGACTAAACTTGGACACACAAGAACGACTCCTCGCCTCGTTAACCGCCGAGGCGAGATGTAGCCAAATCATGCTTGCTACGATGGCGGGGAGCTTGGTGGTCAACGAGCCACCTGTCGACTTAGCACTGCGGCTCTTGGATCACGCGGCTGAGCGAAACACGAAGGTGATATTTACTGTCCCAGCTGTAACCTATCTTCCGGATCTTCCCTACGAGAACGTGGTGGCATTGTCTTTAACTACTTTACTGATGTTTCCCTCTTCCTCGACTGCTCCGCAGACTCGGAAAGCCCCGGACTTGGCTCGCTCGTGGCATCGTGTATGCCTACAGTGGACGTGATCGTGTCTTGCGAAATCTCAAAGATATAGGAGAATAACTAGTACAGCCTCAAACATGCGGTGGATAGGATGACCAACATTGACCTAGCAATACTAGCGATACTGATTACAAGGGGCGTATCGACCCGCAAGAGCAATAGTCTAAGGGGGGAGTGAACTCTGTTCTTATCCCCTATAGGGATGGGCCGCCGCTATAGCAGTACAACACTTCCCATCTCGGAGTTCCCATGGCTCCAAGGGGGGCCATTACAGACACTAGCGACCACCAGGACCGCGTGCGCCGAGCCGCTCTTCCTAGTATGATTCTATACCGGGGGTAGAAGACAATGCGTCGTTGCACTACCTGAGCCATTGAGAGGCCTCTATCGAGACTGATAACTCCGCTAAATAGGCAGAAATCCTTATTTTCAACGGCCTGCTACCCGTTTTGTATTCTGAATAAGTACTCTATGTTAGCTCATACCTTCGAATGAAGTTGTAAAATGCGGAAGATCTCAGATGTGTTATGGTTGCTAGCTTAGGCAGTGTTCACTCGGCATTCAGGAAGATACATAATAACTAGATTCTAATTACAACATACTGTAAAATATTATTCGTACCCAAGACCCTCAGCAGTTAGGTTTACATTATGAACCTGCGATATTACCTGCTGCGGTGCCTTAAATAAAGTAGTTATTCTAATAAATTTACATTCCCTCGGGAAGGCCCAGAACAAGAGCTTGCGGATTGTGGCGGGAGCCTTTAAGTCTACCCCCATCCGTAACCTCGAGACAGAGACATAGGTACCACCATTAGACTTGTACCTAAACAAACGGCTTGCAGATTTCGAAAACCGACTCCAACGACCCGATCTGGACGACGGCCGAGGCGACAAGAAGACGGCGGCGAGCGTTGTCCTCACCGCCTGCCGCAAGATACAGCAGAGACTTTGCTCGAGGAGGGGCAACAGGGGCCGACCGCGAACCTTGGGACCTCAAGGGCCTACGGCGGTGGAGAGAGCCGCGGGCACGGTCATGCGCTGGACGAAGGGAACCGTTGATACGAACAGGGTAGCAGAAGAGGCTTGGAAAGCGAGGTGGTTAAAGGAACGGGACGGCAGGGCAATCACCAGGCCGGCGGACGACTTTGACCATCAGCAGGAGACGCTATTCCGGAACGAAACCCTAAGGAGGCACGACGGTCTCAGCAAGGCGAAGAGCTCACTGCTGATTCAAATCCGGACGGGAGCAATAGGCTTACGGGACTTCTTGTTTACACGGGGAGTCCCGGAGGTTCTGACTCCTGCCTGCGAGTGTGGCGAGGGACGAGAGACTGCCGAACACCTGGTAGTGTGGTGTTTGGCCCCACCGTTGACTCGAAGATGCGAGAGAACTGGAATTCGGACACGACGGGACTTTTACTCTGTTCTACACGGCATCAATCCCACGACTGCACGGCTCGCGAGGAGAGTCTCGACTGGCTGATGGACTCGGGGAAGCTGCCGATGTACAACTTAGCCAGGAGGCTCGAGCTGGAAGCGGCGGCCTGAAACGCCCCCGTCCGGAGGCCAGGAGGCCTCCTCTCTTTGTATACGCAGACTCACCAGAACGCATCGTTCCTTGACTGTTGGTATGGGTTTTTCACCCGGCCCAGGAGGGCACGGTTTTCCAGTACACTAAATAGCTGAGGGTCCGGCACGCCCTAGGGCATAGCGGAGTATGAATAATAATAATAAATTTACGTTATACCCACTAACTATATATTGAACTCTACTCTCCTTTGTGTCCACTGCTTATTTAGAAACTCTTCTACACCTGCCACCTTACTTTACAGCACACTCCTGAATTCTGGTCCCTCTGGACGCGACAAAGGCCTTATTGTTAGGCCTAAATCTCCTCGTCGTTCGCAAAGAGCGGGTCGTTCGTCGCGCAGATAGTACCCTCCTTCGGTAGTGTCCCATCAGCGAAATACTTCGCGATAGCCTCGTTCGTACAGTTGGATGTCTGGGCGATGGAGGTGTGCCCGAATCCATCCTGCTGTAGCAATACGGACCCTTCGAAGCCCACACTCATGTTCTGTGCTGACGCGAGCGGCGTAACCGGGTCGTAGGTATTCCCAATAAACAAGAGCGGGGACGATGTGCGGACGCGGAAATCACCATCGTAGCGCTCCTTGGCTACGAAGCCCCACTGCGCGCAGGCATAAACGTAGTAGCCAACCCCAAAACCAGGGAAGTACTTGCTAGTATCGCGGAACTTTTTATCCACCTCGTTCAGATCCGAGAGCTCATCCTCGCGAGGTATCTTGTCCCCACAGCGAATGCCCATAACGGCTTGGGCCTCCTGTGGGACGGCTCTGGGACCGCCCTCGCCTGAGAAAGCTTCTACTAGCGCGTCGGTGTCTTCCTGGATGACGGCCGTGAGAATGGCAGCGAGGAGCTGGTAGGAGTTGGGGCGGTAAAGAGTGCTGAGGGTAAAGGAGTTGGCGATGGAGTAGGAGATGGGGATAGGATCGGCGTTCTCTACAGGGATGAGGAGCGGCTCTGTCTTGAGCTTCTCAAAGGTATTGACGATAGCGTCGAGGGCCGTGTCGGCAGAGTCTGCGACGGCAGTGAGGGGACACTTCTTGGGATTATCGAAGCAGGCGCGGATGAAACCTAGGAAGGTATCATCCGCCGATATAACGATGTTCGTCTCTCTATTCGACGTATTAGGACAAGTAGGATCAATGCAAGCTGGAGATTCTCGTACCCTACGCTATGGTAATATTCGTGTGCGTTCATAACGCCGTCGAGAACGACTTTGTCAATCCTATTGGGGAACATAGCAGCGGCCGTAGCACCGAGCGTAGTGCCGCCGGAAATACCTAGTAACTAGTTAGTCCCCCTCGCTCTTATCTCATAGCCAAATTCGCACTCACCCCAGTATCGCAGTTTTCCATCTTCGTTGAGAGCGTCGACTATCTGGAACATATCTCTTACGGTGAACGCCATCCCTACGAGGTCGCCTGTGTCACCGAGCCGCTCGCTGCAGTTTCCTGCGATGTAACCGGCCTCGTCCCATACCCTCTGGCGGACCTCGGGCGACTCGTCGGGAAGCTCATACGCCAATGTTAGGCCGATCTCTTCGGGATCGAAACAGGCAAACCGAAGTGTCTTGCCAGTCCCGCGGGGATCCCAGCTAACAAGGTCGAATTGGCCACCAGTAGCTCTAGTCACCCAGCTTTTGTTAGCGCGGGAGGGATCAGGAATGATGCATAAGAGTTTACTTACGGTCCTTGTATTGGTGCGTAACTGATCATATTGTTTAATCCATCTTGGCCGGGGCCTCCAAAGTTAAGTATGATGGTCCCCTGAGAAGGCCCATTCTGCGCCGGGTATCGGATCAGGGCGAGGTCGAGGGTGTCGCCGCAAGAGTCGTTGGAGTAGTCGAGCGGCACGGGAAGTGTGGCGCACTCGACGGGCAGACCTTTGGTCTCAATGTTACACTTCCCCCATTGAATGCCCTCGCCGCCCTGGGGCTTGGGGACAGCCTGCACGGCGGAAATGCCGAGAGCGAGGAGCAAGGACTTTGTAGAAGGCATTTTGTTTAACTATCCCTCGAGTAAAGTTATGCTGTGGTCTGGTAAAGATGAAACCACAATGGTATCTCTCTTGCTAGTTGTCTCCGACTTTTATAATCCGCGTCGTCGGGGATCGCAGGGTCTCGCAGGTACGTAGTATTGCCTAAATGGGAAATACGCTGCAGCTCGTCAGCGTTATTCATCGGCAGGGCTAGACAGCTGACAGGCTCCACAGCCGCGGCTTCGCCTCCTTGTAAGCTCCTCTTTCTTTTTTAATGCCCACAGAATAATGTGGGTATGGAGATCCAAACCCTCTAAGAGTCGACCAACATTGGAAGGCAGCGAGCCGATCACCATTCCCAGCCGAGCGGCGAATCACAAGATATGGTTTGCACGCAAAGTACGATAAGAGGAACTTCGTCGCTGGTTGGGCCCGGAGGTGTTGGATTCGCCACATGGAATCTTCTGGTGGATACCAGCAACTGATCTCTCAGGGTGGCTTAATGCTAACACTTTGCCCATCGAACAGTCAGATTCCGCACAACGATCATAAGCCGTTGCGTTACACCAAAAAGTTCATCGGATACGACATCAGACCCTTTTATTCGAGATTTTCGACCAATCAGATCCTACCATTTTCACCATTTCGACCTTTCCAACCGCCATTATGCCCACAGGTTCCGACCACGAATACACCAAGTTCAACAAGCCTAGCGATTGGGATGAGTGGAGCGAAGCCTATGAGGAGAAAGCGAAGCACGCTGGAATCCTTGACTACTGTCACGGCACTGAACCGTTGGTCCACAGGTCACGTGTCTAGTCACGTGCCTGACCGATATACCCATCTTCAGGCTCTGCATCTCCATAGTTTCTTCCCTTCCTCATAGAGCAACGTAGTTATCTTCCCAGACCTACCGTGGTCCTGTGACAGTGCAGTTGGATGTAAGCTTGGTCCGTGGTTATGGGTTGCAAAGCGACGATCTTGACGGTGTTTTAGAGTCCAGCCTTCACTAGACTCTCTTGCGAGGACCGAAAAGGGGCAATTCGTCATACGGGTAGTCGTCTTCCTCTGGCGATCTCGCTCTGGCGACGAAGGGAGTCGGCGACTTCGATCGCATGCAAAGAAGACTCTCCAGAAGCCACCAGGCCCGCGTATTGACCTCTGGGTTGTAAAAGCATAGCCTCGAGGCTTTGCGTATGCATTGATGGATTCGAATAAGGCTTTACGGGTCTCGAAAATGCCCTCTGGTGAACTGGGGTATACGCCTTGCAGTGGCCAGAGTGGTAGGGTTATCTATTTTCCGTTTTTCCACCTTGGCACTTCTCATGTATTTAGGAGAGACAGCTCCCGCCCTCTCAAGGGTTAAGGGGGCAGACAATTCTCACTCTTTTCTTTCAACACTTGCAGAAGTGACTCCTTTCCGCGGTCACGGTGACCGCGACCCACTGGCCAGAGGGCCACACGCGAAGGCGTACCGACAACACGATCGTAGGATCCGTGGCATCGAAAGTTGTTTCCTGAGCCATCTCCTCTCTCATGCTGCATTGACATCACAACGAGCGTGGCACGTGACCAGCGTTGGTGGTGTGTGTGGTTTTGAGGTGTATCACCGCTTTACTGGAGGGAGGCAGTCGTCTGGGAAGGTGGCCATGGCGGCAGGGTGGGCGGTATCTTGTCTGTGGTGGCAAGGAAATGGGTGGATGGATGGATGGATGTATTTCGCCCGGAGGCACTGGGCCTACAGGGCCTTAGCACGCTAACTACATCCGGATCAAATCGTTTTGCTTTTAACTCGTACAAGCCCCCTACTCCTTCCCTCTTTTCTCGCTGCACCGCTTACCTCTTGCCTTGGGACTTTGGTGTTGACTTTGGTGTTGACTTTGGTGTTGACTCTGGCGAGGGGCAATGCCGCGTTAGATACATTTCGTGGATTATATATCTAGTTAAGCCTGTTTTGGGTTTACGTAAGCGCACAGTAGTGTGCGTCTAACTAGACGCACACTACTGCGCCTAGTGGGAGCCCATGTGTGCGTCTAGTGGGGGCCGGACCCGCGCACCTAGTGGGAGCCCCGCTTTCCCCCGCAACACCTGCTGTGTGCGCCTTGTCGCGTCTGCGGATCCACACAGCTCTTGTCTCCTCGTAAAGCGGACGCCACCGAAGATCGCGGCCTGGGGAAGCGCTGACTTCAACGACGCTTTATCTCCATTGTAGTTGGTTGTCTCTCCGTGTGTATAGTGCTTTGCAAGGCATTATTCTTGTGGTTGTGCTGTGTCATGACATCACATGGACTGGTACCAATGAATCATTTCAGCCGCTCACGAGTTCTGGTGAAGCCAACAGGAGCCCAATGTAGACAGCCGCCAGGGCATTTACAAAGACGCCATCGAGAAAAGGAACAGTTTAAGCTACACCGGGAAGCCCACCCTAGTCAATAGATACAAAAAGACCTATGATGCCAATACTACTCCCAATCACACCAGGTGGCAATTCCCGCCCTCGTTCACATGGTACCACACCTGGCACTCCCTTACCGTCGCATGCTGGCCTCCATGAACCGTTGACTTACCGTTGGTTGACGGCTCCTTAGTCTAAACTGCTGAATATCATAAGCTAATATCACCCCGCTCGTTTTATGTGACTGGTTTACTTAAATAAGCCGCTGAAACACCATTGAGTCGTTCATGTAAATCAACCGCTTGTTGCGATTGAGCCGCTAGTTTTGCTGAGTCGTTTAAATGTTAACTGAGCCGTTATCACAACGGCTTGTAAACTGTGAGCCGTTTGTTGTTGTGAGCCGCTCCGACGTTTAGCCGCTTATTCAATGTGTGCGGTTCGCGGTGTTGCCGACCCGGTTCGCTCGCATCGCGCCCCTCCACGCCCGCCGGATCCACTCTGACCCACTCAAATACACGCTTATGCAGGGCTCAACTGGTCAATTCTGCTGGCACGCCAGGACATGCGACGCGCGCGACACGTCGCATATCCCGGGGAGCCAGCACACTCAAATGAGGTGCTCTTTTACATGCCCTGTCGTTCCTCGCGATCCATCCGTCCATTGCGCATCAAGTGAACTGCACGCGCCAGTTAACCCAGAGTAGCTCGGTATCCGCCTCCAGCTCAGTGTTCCCGATGCCTGTAAGCAGGCGGCGACCCGGACCAGTCGTGAAAGGTACCATATAAAGGCGATCGCGGCGTAGAGCAGGCAGGCCGATAAGTCGGTGTCGACAGTCCTCGAGCGAAGCCGCCATGGCAATGTTGGCACCAGACGCGGCCATCTTCAAGATCGGAAGTCCGGTCAGGGGCTCGGTGCTGCCGGTGTCGGCGAGTGGCGTGATGACTAAGAACACAAAGAACTGGCCAGAACCTGACAGGAATATTTGTTAGCGCTCTGGGCGTGGTTGGTCCGTTGTCTCGTCAAGCGCAGTTTGCTGATCGATAGAGTGGTGGCGGGACGCTTGTCGGATACCCCGCTCCATATGGGATGATGACGAGTCGATCAGAAGGTTCTGACTCACCATGCACTGCTTCGTGCGTCATGATATGCTCAAGTCTGCCGACGTTGCCGTCGCGGTACTTCACGAATTGGCCCCGCTGATAGACCAAGCGCTGGACACCTTTGGGTTTGGTGCTGATGGGTCCGTCTCCAAACGAAACCTTCTTCCACCACCTGATATGCCAGTTCGTCGTCACAATAATGTTCTTGTCATAGTCCACCCGGTATGCATCGCGAAGCATCCAAAGGAAGGTTGGCACCAATGCGCCCTCACGAACGGGAAAGCCCATGTCCTGGTATACACGAGCCTTCACCAAGACCAATACACTTGCATTGGGATGCAGGTCGTCACCAACAATGATGTCCCAAATCGAAGAATCGTCGTCATCGTTCTGGAGACCTTCGCGCGGTAGCAATGATGAGAACAGAGAAGGGGCTGCCGATGCCAGATTCTTGATGTCGGTGGTGATATCGGGGTCGTCATAGCGAAAGCCGTCGAGTAGTGTCAGTCGAACCGTCTGCAGCATATTCTCGTACGCAAGGCAGTCCTTCTCGGGGTTACGATGGTTCATCGTGAGCACGATATTCTTCCAGAGCCTGGTCACGTATCAGCCCTGTCGCGACGAGAGTATGGGAGGTACTCCTTCCCATGGTACTTCTCCTTGGCGTGCGGGGGGTGGGTGTCGGAGACTCGAGCAAGGGTCGGTCGGAAAGGAGGTACTTCATCGACCTGTGGCCCACTATTAGACTTTTCAGGGGGCACTATCACTTACTTGTGTTTCAACTCGCCAGGGAGAACCATCATCAACGACACCAAGCCATATTGACGGAACACGTCGACATAGTGCAGGCCAACATGTACGTTCGGACGCTGCGCCCACTGTCGATATTTGCTGGCCTTCTGGGCGACGGTAAGCTGGCCGATGTTGATATCATCGTCGACAGCTTCCTCGTCCTCTTCGATGACCGGCTCGATAGTGTTGCCAGCTGCGGGACGAGGCGCGGAGGGGGCAACGGATCCGGCGCGGGATGATGCAAGTGAGCCACGACGCCGGGCAGCGGCAGCAGCGGCAGCGCCAGTAGCAAGGTTAGTAGAGCGCGACGCAGCCTCGCATATCAATTGGAACATACGGCGGCTAATTCGGATCGTGTCCATGATAGTCGCAGGGTCGCGGTCGTTCGCATCGAGTTCAGGTGCTGATAGGATCTCGTTGGTCTTGACGATTGCCGCTAGCACCAGTGTCAGTATCTCGACAGCGCTCTTGTGCTCGACCTTGGATGCTATAGCCACATCAGTGTTGGTGGCTTGCCCGCGGGTGAGCTCGGTTTGCGAGAAAACACCCCGTACTGCCTGAACGAAAGGGCGCTTCAGATCTGCCTCCGTCAACCACAATAGCGAGATGATGGTCATCAGAACCGACCATCGCGCATGCTCCTGCAGACTGTAGTTGAGTACGTTATATGGGGACTGGATTCGGGCCCAACCAGGGGGGAAAGGCATCTGGCGGAGGATCTTCGAGTATGCGACGACGGCATCAGGCTTCAACGCAGCATCAATCAGGATCTGGTGAGTCATCTTCGTGATACCGTTGAACTCGGAATGTGCTGCGTCGCCGGGACGACCGCTGATGAGATCTAGTGCTGGCGCAACCTGTTGAACTGCAGGACGGTCAAGCGATATACCGTGCTTCGTCGAAAATGCCTGCTTGCGGTACTTCTGAGGCAGGTCGTCCATTGCACGACGTAGTCGGAGCATCTCGACATGGGCCCGTGTCTGGTCGAGTATGTTGAAGTCCAGTTTATCGCGCTTCTCGACAGGGATCCTACAGTTACGGCAGCCCAGGTTAGCCGCCACACTGAGACAACCCGAGTTATCCTGTTGCTGCGGCATATCGCCAGTGAAGGCGATGATCGGGGCACACAACAGGGTCTCCACACCATTGATGGCAACGGTGATGCCCTGGTCGAGGGCCTTGAGTGGGGCGAGGGCCTTCATCACATCGTCGAAGTTGGCGCCGTGCGGACCTAGGGTAACCGGCAGGACGTTGATCTGCCGTGTATGCTCGCTTCTCGGCATCGCTGCAATCTGCAGATAACAACCCATAATCGACTTCGTCATCGTGCGGTACAAGCCGAAGCCGTCATTGAAGTCCAAGCATGGGAGGGACCGAACTTGACCCTGTTCAGGGCCAATAGCGAACTTGTTGATGAGCACCTCTCGACCGAACTGTATAACCTCAAGCGCCGGGGACAGGTGGGACCAAGCATGGTGGCATAAAAGCACACTGTTCCTTCATGAAGATGCGGCGGATGAGTGGCATGCCGATGCGCTCGCGTGGATCGTCGTCGAACTCCACCTGGCTACCAAATGCATAATCGAAACCGATATCGGTGCGACGACCGCGAATCTTGGCCGATGGAACGAGCTCCATCGGGCTATAGCTCAATACCCATTCGTTGTCTGTAACGTTGTCGCGTGTTGGGTTGGTCTTAATCTCGATCGCCTGGTTCGCAACGATATTCTTGATAACATGGCCACGGAGTACCCGCGCGATAACGAGTACAACGTCACCCTGCTGAGCCTGGTCGACGTTGTTGTTTGATGCGGCTATCAAACCGAGGTCTCGAGTGCTGTCGCGACGGTCGCGGTATACTGCCATAACTTGGCCGACGTGAGGCTTTGACGTGTCATCTGCACTGTGACAGTGCCTGCAGTCGCGGAATGTGCACTCGAAGTCGACGATGTCGCCGGGGAAGATCGGGTCCTTTGGGCTGGCTGGAAGCGGCGGGTACCAGACAAAGACGCCGCTAGTGGTACGCACTGAACCAGCCCACTGCATGGAATGCCAGGCTTCGATAGGGCTATCGACGAGGTCGGCTAGACCATAGTGCATGCCCTTGGCCAGTTGCGAACCTTCGATACGGCTGAGGAAATCTACAGGGTTTAGGAAGAAGAGGTCCTGTGTAGGGTTCTCACCCGTCGTCATGGCGGTCACCTGGCGTGACGAGGAGAGCTTCTTGGGGTTGAGTGGCAGGTCCTTGACGGTTCTCATATCGATGTGCGGCAACGATTCGCGGACGTGACGCTTGAGCGTATCGAGACTGTCGGGTAGCCGGTTAACTTTGTCGGCGTCACGACCGAGCAATTTGAAGAGCTCTAGCTGTGTGGCATACTGCTTTCGTGACACGCCATTCACGATGCAGTAGAGGCCCCAGCCAAGGGCGAAGTCAGACAGTCCATGGATCTTGCGGGGTTGCTTGATCGACTCCGACGCCGCGAAAGGATCCGTCATATCCTCGCCATACTGGTGATACGCCTGCCAAGGCGTAGCAACGGCGATCTCGTCGGCAACATCCTCGGCATCTGTGGCATCGACCTCGTCGTCCTGATCCTCGACGGTATCAGCAATGTATTGGTACTCGGCCAATGCCCGTAACTCCGACTGCAGTGGCGCATCGTCGGCAACCTGGTATTCGCCAGTGTCGGGGTCGGGGTCGGGATAAACGACGTGGTCTTCTTCGATTGCAGCATCAACTAGCGCATGGGCAAGTTCGTTCTCGTCAAAGTCCTGGGAAAAGTGTGTCAGTAAGTTCTGTGTCATCAGGGCGAAAGGTACTGAGTAAACTTACGGTTACAGCCTGCGGTTCCCAATCGTCGCCGAAGTCGCTACCTTGGTCGAAATCTCCGGAACCGGAGGGAATATCGGCGAACGCAGCATCGTCGTCTACCTCTACCGGGTCTGCGTGACGCGGTCGCTGGGATGGGGTATCGTTACCGGGTTGGTTGGGCGATTCAGACCTCTCTCGCTGTCGCTTGTCGACCCGCCTCTGTAAACGGCGCCGAATGATCGCCAGTTTGGTTCGGTATTGGAGTGCGCGGGGCATCGTGACTGTCGCCAAGCTCGGCACGGCGATGTGAGATGCGATCCGTCTCTCGATGGGCAGGTTTTGATACCCGTTGGTGTCCACGCAGTGACTACGACCACGACTGGAGGGATGTTGAAGTGGGCGAGACCGCAAGAGAGTGGGAGAGGAAATTGGTCGGTATAGTGGGGTTGAGTGGGATATCGCTGGCTCGGAGAGGGGGGCATCACTTACCACACAACAGTCAATTCGACGCACCGAAAGTAGGAAGGAGTTGCCGCCACGCCGATCCCCGTCATGGATAGACGCTAAGGCCGTCCCCCACCGGCTTACCTTATCGCAACCGCTTATAGCAAGAGCGGCTCACGACTCAAACCGATCACTGTCGGCTCAGAGCTCGGAGCCGCTCATGGAGACAAGCGGCTCATGGAACTAAACGGCTCATGGCTCATAAGTCGGTAACTGCTGGCTCAATTGTCACAAGCCACTTATCAAAAAACGCGGCTCACACCCATATACAGCTTGATACCAATGAGTTGGACATTGATGGTTAGTTTACAATTAGTGGTACGATAATGGCTTAACGCAGAGAGCGGCTGTGTCTTTGGGAAACGTTTTATATACGAGCGGTTGGTTGACGGCTCGTCTACTAAGCTGTTCAAATATAGAAACGTTTGCAACTATAAGTAGCTTAAATGAACTAAGCTGACTTTCAACGGCTCACTCTGAGCGAGCGATTACTTTACGGCTCGCAAGCACCCTACATACTCCCCTATGTCGTCACTCCAGGACCAGAATTCTTCAGCGGAGGCCGGCAGAGGTGCAGCAGATCCTGAAGGTATCGAGCCCTGCGCGGAAGGCCCAGCCGTTCGTCGAGGCGTACTACGGCGTGCCCGCTTCTTGGGGCGCTCGTGCCGCAAATGGTCTTGAGGTTGTCTGTCTCGCTCGCGATGCCAAAGTCTGCAAACTTGAGGTTGCCGGGTGCCTTGAGTTCGTCAACGTTATCGTGATCTGAGCGCGGAACGCTTGGCAGAGATTCGAGCACTCGCGTGCGTCACGTGAACTGGTGACAGGCGCGTGTGTATTTTGACCCGTTGCCACAAACGTCTGCCCCGCTTCCTCATCGAGCCTCCGGCTTCTCAACAAGAAGTAAACCGGACCCGATGCGCCCGCACCCCAGTGCCTACCATCTATCTACCCTGCGACTCGTGTTGCAAGATGGCCATTTCCGGCGAACACCAAGGCGACGACCGCCAAAATGGCTCGAGCACGCCCACCCCACCACCCCCACCGCTACTCCCACCACCGCTGTCAATCAACCGACTCCTCGCGCTCCATCCCCGAGAACGATTGCTGGTTCATCCGCTGCGCTGGACTGACCAGCAGCCGGCCCTCCTCGGCTGTCGCATCCATTCGCACCATGACGAGGCCCATAGCGCTGCCGCCGAGGAGAACACCGGGGCCGCGTCGTCCAAATCAGATCGCCTCGCGGGCCTTCTCGCCAAACGACTAAATGGCCAATTGGACCCAGAAAGATTGGCTGACACCGTCGCGCAACTCCTCGCGCCGCTTGACGCTCGTCACATCTTGCTTCAGATGGAGTATGTCCGCCCAACGTCAACCGCTCTCGCACTCTTCCCAACCAACCTCCGTGTACTGACCCCGCTTTGATGACTTAGCCAGCCCGTTAGTTTTCACTTCGATCGACGCTCGCGTGCCTGTGTTAGGATCTGCTATGTGTCAGTTTCAATGGGGCGGCCCGCCCCCGAAACCTTCACCTTGGCGTGCCTCGACTTTAACGAAACCATGCTGGAGAGAAAGCTCCACTTCAGGCCACCGGGGAACCTTTGCCACACGGATTGGGAAGGATTACGCCGTTCTCACACCCTAGTAAAGCTCCATACCCCCAAGGATCCTCAAAAAGATCCATTCTTGGTTGCTCTTGTCATCGCCCTCGCGCAAAAAGACCGCCCGGCATGTAGCACAACCACTGCCTCCCGACTCCAGCTTCACCGTGGGTTTCTTCCCTTCACTTTTTCGAGTCAAAGCCACTGACCAACCTTGGGGTTGTCTTCCAGGTTCGCATTCTGCTCACTGGGCAGGGACGGCCAAAGCCAATAAATCTCTACGTAGCCCATGTGCAAGCTTCCTTTCTTGACAAGTTGGATTTCCCAAGTCAGGAACCCGCGGTTGGCTCGAGCCTCGACATAGACCACTGGCACATTCCAGCCGAGCCTTTCCAGACCTTGTCGCAGCGGGTCTGCCAGGCACTGAGGCTGAATGGCTACGGAAAGGCGCATATCAGGAATCATGGTGAGTCCTCGGTTAAGGCGGGAAAGAAGCGGAAAAGGGACGTTGCTTCGGATGAGCGTACGCCAACTCTCAAGAGAACATAGCTGTACTTTATCCCCATCAAAAGAGGGCGCTTCTTGGTACGTCCTTTGGACCGTCGTGCTGCCCCAACCAACCTACTCGAGCGCTGGCAACGGCAAGGCTCAGAAGGCCGTCGAGATTGATCTTGTTCTTGTAAAAGTTCCCAAAGGTGAGAATTGTGATACAGATAACCTTGACGATAAGCTCTGGAACAAGCTCAGGGACAGCCCCGTGATGAAGCGGCAGTTCCTCGTTCAGGTAGGCGCCCACGGCATAGCCTCGTAACTGCATTGGGTGGAACGTTCCTGTTTCATGAACAGCCCACCCATTCCCTCTGAACAACCTCAGGAAGCTGGCAATTCCCCGCCCAGCAAGCGCCTGCGTGGCTGCCCCGCAACTCGATTGGATAGAACAACTCCTACCCGACCTGCGCTGCTTGGCCAGTGGTGCGGCATCTTGCTCAACTCTGACCGACCGCGCTGTCTAAATAATGTTCATGCTGAAACTCACGGGCATAAAGAGTCTTTCTTCTCAAAACTCTGGACCGGCCGGGGCAACAATCCTTGGCCTCAGTTCATTACGCGAGCGTCTTCATTTTACCCACCCTACCCCAAGATGCCCTACTTCGACACCGTCACCGACCGTTCTGTCTTGTCACGGTGGCCAGTGCCGCCGTCAGAACACATCAACAGGGTGGCAACCTTGCCTGCGGCCAGCAGCTGGTCGACTGACCAGCTCCGCGCCGCCCGTCTCGTGGTTCGCAGCGCCACCGTCCGGTCTGAGAGTGAGCCAGGCCACGTCCTGCCCGATCTGCGGGAGCATTTTGGTGAAGCCGAAGTCGCCTGCAGCCAACCACTCATCCGAGGTCTCTTGGAGGGGCCCAGCGAGGCCAACCTCGACGACACACTGACCGAGACAGAGCTTGTCCACCAGTACGGCGCAAGTCTCGCGTCCTTTTGGGCCGCCCTTGCCCAGTTCGGTGACGTTGAAGGTCTCGATATCGAGGGCGGTGACTTGAACGAGGACGCCGACGAAGGCGACAAACGCCCGTACAGCCCAGGGTCCGATTCCTCCCAGCCACACAAGCGAGTTCGGACACAAGTAGTGAATCCAGTCTACCGCAACAGCACGACAATGCGGGTCGGCTCCTCCAGCCCGTCGCGCGAGGGCGGCTCTCTGCAGGCGTCCCAGGGCTCCGACCCCGGCTATGTTAGCCAAGATCGCGCCGCGGCCGACGTTCCGGAGCACGCTACTGTCCGGATTGCGTCTGCATTCCTCCGCCACCTTCTCCAGTCTTGCCCGCCCCAACACGAGACGCAGCACTATAAGCCCACGAACTTGGTCGAGGTCTCAGACGGATCGCGCCGGTTTGTCGGCAAAACCGCCTATGACGTGGCGATCGGAGCCACAGCGGATGGGGAGCTGGTCCTGCATCGGCTTCGCAATGGCAGGTACAACCTTACCGGGCACCGCCCAGCCCTCCTCGAAGCCAAGAAACGGTTCGCCGTCATCAAGGATGGGCGACCGGCGTTTACGGACCAGCTCCTCGGTCAAATGACATGCGAAGCTCTTGCGTTCCGCCTCGAGAGGAAGCAGACGGAGGGCGCTGTCCCCATTGACGAGAAGTGCGACCCCCCCCATCCCCCAACTAAGAAACTATTTGCGTCTTCGGGATATGCATGACTGACCGTGTCTCTTCCTACCAGTGTCTTTGTCATTGCAGCCGTGCGGCGATACATGCGCTTCTTGCAATTCAAGATCTCCGACTCATACATCGCGGCCCTGACCACCATGGACGAGAGCGAAGAAGAGATGGACGATATCTTGGAACTGTGGGCGACGGAGTGGTTCGATCTCCAGAGCCCTGGTGGGCGCCGCGCCGCGGTCCACAACATTGTGGCCTTGGTTGCTCGACAGGCTAGTCTGCGTTGAAGGCGGGGGTGGCCTGATGGCACCCCTCGCGCAAGCTGGTTATGGATGCATACCCACTATCAGCAGAGTCAACTTCCTGAACCAGTTAAGCTGTTTGAACCCCTTCTGCCTCATGCCCCTTCCATGCCGGTGGCTGCGAACGCTTGGCTCCCATGTCTCCCTCTCCACCTTTCCACGTCAATCAGCTTACTGTTGCCACAAAATCCCTCTACTCCCACTTTTCCTCGCCGACATCGCCAACCATTTCCCATCACGAGCAGTTCCAGGCCGCCATCATCCAGCTTCTAGTGGTCACAATCCCGCCCTCTGGTGGAACTCCTCCAGCACCTCGGGACATTCCTCGAAATGCGCAGCGGGTTCCCAAGTATTGTGTTTGTTCCCATACCCTGCCCACTTGACGAGATACTCCTGCCCCTCTTCTCCCTGTCGCCAGTCCCGAATGTCCTCGACCTTAAAATACTCGTCGACTCGAGTCTCCTCAGTCGTGGAGGCAACTCTTGAAGGGAGAGAGCGCGCCGTCGAGGAAATCCTCCCTACTGGTGACCTACGTCGCGATCTTTCCGGTGCACCGTCATTTTGTCCATGATTTGTACAAGGATTCCATGTGAACTCCACCTGAAACGTCGCTACCCCGTCCACCCAAACGCGCTTGAGGACCGCTTCAAGTGGCCATTCCTCGAAGCTTGCGCAAGCGGTCCCGAGTATCTCCTCTTCCAAAGCGGAACCCCTTGCAGGTTGCGGCTTGGAAATGTTCCGCTGACTTTGGCGGCGTTTTGGACCTTGGGTTGGTGGTAATCGTTGAGCCTGTAGTGAAGAGGAGTTGGTGCAACGCAGACGTGCCTGCCGCATGGGCGCTGTTCTGCGGGTTGTAGAGGCCGAAGTGTTTACCCTGCGGCGCTTCGCTCGGGGCGGCTGAACGGCATCCTCATCCTTGCCTTGCTCGGCGTCGCTTCCCACGACAGGAGAACAGTCCTCCTCGTCGTCAGTGTCGCAACGCCGCCGCCGCCGACAACGACCGATGTTTTGCTGAAGGTTGACCCGCTCTACGTCGGGCCATTCGGCGGTGCTGGCCCTCGTTGCTCCAGGGCCTTGCTTTACATCCGAGCATAGGTTGGGCGCCAGCATAAAGTCCACCGCCTTGCCCTCGGCCACCTCGCCCGTAATGAGGCACGGAAGATTGCCTGATTCGGATGGTTTGCCCCGAGCACCACCTGCTATCGGAAACTTTGCAAAATCATCCCGCCCTCCCCGAGACAAAGCCTCCTACGCTGTGGGTGGATAGAGCTACAGCCTCGGGTATACGTTGACAGGGTTCTTTTGTAGTTTCCTGTGGTCGCCCGCTGCAGCTGCGATGGTGGTGACCGTCCTTGCCACACTTGTTGGCGCACACTTGACGGTTTCTGCACTGGAACGCTTTGGCCGATCTGCTGGCAGTTGTAACACTGGTCCGGCCGCATCCGACGTTCGAACGTCCCCGTATATCCTGATTCTCCTCCGGCGTAGAAGAAGCCTCCATTGAGGAGCCTCTTGGCGTCGCCGAGTTTCGTGAGATACACTACCATGGATCCATACGCTTTTGCAGTGTCCTTTCGGCCCAGCCAAACTATCTTGGCAATCTGCACATCGTTTTCCTGGCCCTTGCTCTCGCGGTCGAGGACAGCCGTACGGTTGACATTGTCGACTTTGATCGGGTACAGCTGATCTTGAAGGACTCTCGCACCCCCCGTTTTCTTTGCTTCGACGATGTCATTGATCTTCTTCAATTCCCCTTCGTTCCTACAGATGACCCTAAGACGGTTGGTGCTTCCTCTATCTCTTGTGACGGCAACACAGCGCCAGCTGGGTTGGTCGCCAGGCACACGCATCTCATGCTCAATGAGCTTGCGGTGGTTTCACTGGCGTGATCCTCCGAACCCTTGATATGTCCACCGTGCAGAACGCCGGTTCCGGTGTCGCCGGCCGACTGGTGGAGGTGGGCGGGGTGGGAATGCTGACCAGAGGGGTCCGTCGGGCGATGTCTGCATACGTTGAGCCACAACCGTGGAAATTGACATGGCCTTCAACCCAGGTTTTAAGCCGGATAGGCCGGTCCAAGGCTCTCAGTATGTCACTTTACCTTTCAACCAGCACAGAGTGTACGTGGGAGTTCGTGTCTTCGAATTTCTCTGGAGGGGAAAGACGCGCCTCGAAAGTTACATTCAATGCGGTCTGCGGATGGCGTCGTGGTACTCTTTGGCTGTCATCCTGGCTCGTTGTTCGAGCTCTGGTGCTGTTTGCCCAATCCTACGTCGAGATCTCGCCTGGTTTCTCCAAAACGTGTATGTCTGGCGAAGCCGTGTCAGGTCCGTTGTCCACCACCGCTTGGCGTATGGTGAGGGTTTGGCTTTAGGTGTCAGGCCGTAGACCGCCTCGGTTGCCGCTGCCATGAGCCTGTCCGTCTGCTGCTGGACATTGCCGTCCCAGGGGATGCGTTCGAGGTTTGCTGCCACCCTAGTCCTAATTTCCGCCCAGGGCGCGTTCTTGAAGAGGAACCTCGTCTCACTGGGACGGTCCTCCACCGTGGTGTCAAAGGCTGTCTCGATTGCTCTGTGGTCTGAGCCATGGTCGCAGGGGTGAATCGTGCATCTGAGTAGTTGGTCTGCTAGTTCTGCAGAGGCCAGTACCAGGTCGATTGTGCTCTCAATGTCGCCTGACTGCCACGTCTTCGTGCCTCTTGGGAGGAGGCTGCAGAGGGAGTGTTCGTCCATGAGGTTGATGATGCGGTCTCCCTCGCCTTGTCTCCGTGGTGAGACATCGTCCCCTCCCCAAAGCTGGCCGTGGCGGTTGAAATCGCCCGCCAGTATGATATCCGTTCTCGTCCCTGTTCCGTTTCGAAACCTCTTAATCATTAGGTCAATCTCCCTCATTGCATCTTCCAGTGCTTCGTCACTACCACCCTCCACATACACTGACACCATCAGCACTGCCCGGTCTGGGAGCCGGATGCGTGCTGCGGTGAGGTCTGCCGACGGCACTGGAATCTGCTCGACCTCTATATCGCTTCGTACCCATAGCATGCTCCGAATTGGCCACGTGGCTTCTCGTCTTGTCGTTGGTATCAGCTTCGTCCAGTTGTGATGACTCATTGGGACCGTCGTCACCGAGCCTTCGATCAGCCTGGCATATGGTTCGGAGATGGCCAGCACTGCGAAGTCCTTGAGTCCCTCGTCGTTTAGCAGACTCTGCTGCACTTCTCTTCGTTTGCGGACGTTGAGCTGAAGGATCTTAAGCGTCTTGGGCCCCATTGTTCAACCAGCGTACCCGACAGTTCTTGCTAAATGACTCGTGTGGTCCTCTGCATAGCACGCACTTCAGGACCACGGACTGACACGTCTTGTGGTGGTGACCCTGTTCCTCACACCTTCCGCATCTTTGCGGCTTTTTGCAGGCGAAGGCCTTATGGCCGATTTCCTGGCATCTGTAGCACTGGGTTGGGCCTTCCCGGGGCGCGAACACGGTCGTGTAAGCGGATTCTCCGGCCAGATGGAAGTAACGCCCGTCTAGAAGTCGCCTCGCTTCGCTGCCCTTCGTCACGTAGACGACCATAGAGCCGTAGGCCTTGCCTGTATCCTTCCTGCTGAGCCAGGCGATCTTGGCAATGTTGACGTCGTTCTCTGTACCAAGGGCTTCCATCGCCCCTGGCAAAACGTTCCCCTCGGCGTCGAGGACCGCTGTGCGGTTGGCATTGTCGATCCTCACTGGGTAGAGCTGATCCCTCAGCACCCGTACGCCCGGGACAGTGATCTTTTGTGCTGCATCCTTGACAATCCTGGTCTCGTTTTCGTCTCTACAAACCACCTTGACCCGATCCGGGTTCCGGGCCTCCTTTACAACCGCAGCGCAGCGCCAATCTCCCATGTTCTCCAGTGTCCGGACCTCCGCCTCGATTGCTTTTCTGACATCCGCCACCTGGACTTTGTTCTTTTCGTTTTCCTCCACTCTGGATGTGTCGATGGTGCAGAACAGCGTGTCGGTAAAGGATGAGGGTGTCGTGTTCGACGAGGAGAGGGTGCGCACCCCGCTTGGTTGGCTTGATGGTGGGGTGCGAGCAACTTCGGCGTACGATGCTCTTGCGCTTGGCTGGGACGAGGCCGTGAATACCGGGTTGCGTATAAGGACGTCGATCTGGTCTCGAGCTTGCCTCAGCTCCTCTGATAGCTGTGCCTTTGTGTTCGCTAGGGCGCATTCCATTTGACGTTGGTATTCCTGGAGCTGATGGTGCAACTCTTGAATCGTGTTCTGCTGCTTGCTGACCACGTCGCGTAGTTCAATGATTGTATCGAGCATCTCGTTTCGCTGTGCATTGAGCACCTCTAGGAGTGTTTGTAGCGCTGTCTTCCCGGTCCCAACTTCGCTGTTGGTCGCATTCCCGCCTCCTAGCGCGCGCGTTCCTCTCGAAGCGGCGGTCCGCGTAGCATCGCTCGTAGTCCTTCTCGACGCGGTGGTTGCGTCTTCGATCGATTGCATTGCTTCGCGAACTTTCGCACTCGGTTTCGGGGCGCGGCTCGGTCGCTTCAGCGGGGATGGTTGGTCCGCCACCTCGACCACGATCTGGTCCTGCGCCGACCCCGCCATTTCGCCGTCCTTCGGCAGTGCCGCTCGACTTTTTCAAAAGTTTAACTTCCCGTGAAATTCGCGACAACGCAGAGCGTCCAGGCCCTTAATGCTTAACTATTGTCCGTCTAGTTCACGACGTGACGGAGGGCAGAGGGGGATCCACCGCTGGGGCAGTCGTCACGTGGTCCTAGACCTCGGGGACGACAACCCCGGCTGCAAAATCTGCGCCCCCCTCATTTCTAGGTAGTTAGAAGAACATGATCTAATTGAACCACGAATGTAGCACGTCCCTCCAGAGAGAAGTGTCGCAGGATAGGCATCTCTCGGTAAGCTCTTAAGAGCTTGGCATTCACCCTGAAAGGTTGGCATGCAGGAAAAGGGGTTTTCTTTTGTATTTAGTCCGCTCCTGAGAGCTCCTCTCCTTTGTTCATAATTATGGCACTTTTACCTCACGTTTTCCCACTATCAGGAGCTCCCTGCAGTGCAACAAGAAGGGATTTGCCCTGTGCTTCTAACGCTATCGCGATACCTGGTATTCCCTACATATGTAAAGGCGAGTCAAAAAAAAATTCGTCGAGGGCCTCTCCCAGAATGCATGGCTTGTGGGTATGGCTGTGCTGTGTGGCTAAAGTAGAGGTTAAATGCAATGCTCTCTATTACTGAAAACTTGCATTAACCGGAAGCGAAATGCCCGTAAAGCATTGTATGATACAGTGCACCGGGCGTTAACGCAACGAGTGCGCTAATCCTCAAATGGTTATGTTCGTTTCTTCCCTATCGGCTTCCGTAGGTGGAGGCGCATCAATGGGTGCGATTACCTGATTTCGGGCACACCGGTTCCTTCGGTTGTCTCTGAGCTCCAAAAAGGTTTCTGCGGTGGCCTTGGCGACGCATCGGTGTATTTACGCGAGACGGAGGCTAAGACTGCTGGCGTCAAGTCCTTGGTTCTGAAAGCCTTCGTGTTATCGATCCATATTATTATAATTCATACTCCGCTATGCCCTAATTTCATAGAATGAAGTAGAATGAAACTACACTTTCAGCTTCTATTATCTTTCAACCCGCTTGCTCGACTCTTAGAATGGAAAACCACACGTTATGTCATAAACTGCTCCATTTCCTGAGGAATGCAATCATTGATGGATTATATAAAAAAGCATGTTAGGTAAAACCATGCTCCTATAACTGGCCCTTTAGATGCTGACTCCCTCCAAGTAGAGTGGCAGCACGATGAATTTGGTATCGATTCATTGCTTAAACTCCATCCAAACACATCAATCTTACTCCCTGGGTGTAAAAATGCTATACCAGCAGGAATTTCCCAACCACCAAGCCTACAATCGACTTCGCTTAGAGATACAGAGTCCCTAGCAAAGCTTGACTATATCCGATCGGAGTTACTTTGTCATGACTGGAAGGGCTAGAGCGGCCCCGTTACCTGCCTCTGGAGCTGCGGCCCCGTCGGCGGTTTGGACTGGAAAATACCCCGGCTCCTCGGAGGGCGTGGCGGCAGGTGTCGCGACAGGCGTGGTGGCAAGTAGGCCCGCACCCCCGTCTCGCCTCGTTGCAGCGAGACGCTCCTCGAAGTTCTTTCGATAATCCACCATCCTCAGCAACCATTTCCCAAGGACTTTGATCAGGCGCTCCTTATTAACGGGTTTGGCAATATAGTCGTTCATTCCGCTCTCAAGGCAGCGCTCCTTGTCGCCCTTTAATGCATAGGCCGTCATGGCGACGATGGGGACGTAGATGCCGGCGGCTCGGATGTCTCTGGTCGCTGCGAAGCCGTCCATGATGGGCATATTGATGTCCATGAGCACGGCATCGTATGCGGCCGGCTTGCCGCGCACAATTTTGACGGCCTCTGCACCGTTGGACGCTAGGCCGACGTTTTTAAAGCCGATAGACCGCAACATGCCCAGCATAACCTTCTGATTGATCAGGTTGTCTTCCACTACCAGTAGGTTTTTGATAGAGGAGACTATCTTGAGCTCCTTCTGCAACTCTTCCAAGTCGGAACTTGGAACTGGTGTTGCAACTCTTTCGGTTACGGTGATGGGGTTCTTCCAATCATGCATCTTCTCCAAACTCTTGATCTTTTTGAAACGTGCGGTGAACCAAAAGACGCTCCCGTGGCCATCCGGGTTCGGTCGGTAGCCGATTCTACCGCCCATCAACTCGGTAAGCGATTTCGCGATCGACAACCCTAGCCCGGTGCCCTTGTATTGCTTGGTGGTCGTCGTGTCGAACTGCATAAAGGGCGTGAAAAGGCTGGGGGCGCCCTCTTTCGGGACGCCAATGCCTGTATCAGTAACCTCGGTAAGCACGGTATAGCTATCCACGTCCTCGCTCTGCACCGACGCCTTAACTCGGATGCTGCCCTTTTCCGTGAATTTGGCGGCATTTCCTACGATGTTCTGCAGGATCTGGCGATATCGCAACGGGTCGCCCTGTACAGACTTGGGAAGGTCGGGTGCCAGGAATACTTCAAAAAGAACCGAAGGCGGCAGCGTGGTCTGCGCGCCGCGAACGACCGACGTGATGATGCTCGTTACCCCGACGATGTCGGAATGTATTGAAAAGGTACCGGAAGCTAGTTTTGAGTAGTCCAGGATGTCGTTGATGATCTGCAGCAGGACCTCTCCAGACTCGTCCATAATGCCAACAATGTCGCGCTGTCTGGTTGAGAGCGGCGTATCGAGCAGCAGAGTGCAGGCCGACAGCATGCCGTGCATGGGAGTCCGGATCTCGTGGCTCATGTTAGCGAGGAAGTCCGACTTGAGCTTCTCGCTCTCCTCGTAGGCGGCAATAAGGCGGGACTCGGCCGATTTGCGCTCCGACAGATCGCGCGTGACCTTGCCGAAGCCGACGTGGACGCCATTCTTGTAGACGGCCGTGATGATGACGTTAGCCCAGAAGCGGCTGCCGTCCTTCCTATACCGCCACCCCTCGTCCTCGACGCGGCCCTCTCGCATGCAGATCTCGAGTTCCATTTCGGGCTTTTTAATGTCGATGTCCCCCTTGCTGTAAAAGATGGAAAAATGTTTGCCGATGATTTCATCGCGCTCGTATCCCTTGAGTAACTGGGCCCCCTGGTTCCAGGTCGCAATGTAGCCCTTTGTGTCCAGGAGGAAGATGGCGTAGTCCTTGACACCATCCACTAGGATGCGGAAGGCCTCGTCGGTCAAGAAGCCTGGTTTGACCAGGTCGTCCTCGGTCACTGTCAGGGGGCCTTGGTGCCACTCAAGAAATATTGACAGCAGCTCATGGTCGCTAAAGACGGGCACCACGCGGGCGTGCCAGGAGACGTTGTGGGATGTATTGAAGGGGTTAGTGGTACGCTCGGCACGGGCGGCGATAGCATCGTCAATGAAGGCGGTGACGTGAGCAAGATGCGTGGGCCGTAACGGGCGGAGCTGCTTCTCGAGAAAGGGGAGTAGAGACTGGCCAATGCAGTCGTTGGTAGACACGTGCCAGTCGGAGAGGAAGCGAGCTGACGCCCTTTCGATGCGCCATGTGGGCGAGAGGATGAGGAGGGCGAGCGGAGCGAGGTCGAAGATGAGGCCGACGTCACGTCCGGCAGGCTGAGTCGAGCTAGTTTCGGGTTGCATGGCCACTCTTCGAGCAAGCTTTCGCTACTCAGGGCGTTTCCAGCAAGCCGTGGGCAGATGCGCGTATGTCGGGTGTGACTCCTCTCTGCAGTTGTACTCTACCGCGGTAACTGTAGTCTTTCCGGTGCGGTCCAGTGCGTGATCATCGATGCACCGTGTACGTCACTGCTCCGGCGAATGTCCTAGATCTGCGCGATAACGTTTCTTGCCTTATTGTTTGTGGGGTACATAAGTGGCCCTGTGGACGAAAATGAATGGGCAATGGAACCCGCGACAACCTCCAGACCCCTCAGCCGAACATCTGCAATCGATGATTTCTCCCACACCACCAAGTTCCCGTCGGGGAGCTTATCCCTGGCCTATTGCTGCAAACCGATTTGCGGGGCTCCTCCTGTCATGCGACACCAAGCTTTGCCGTTTCAAAGCTAGCGCGGGGCAAGCCGGACCAAAAGCTCCAGGTCCAGCCACTCGTCTCGTGGGTGGCGTGGCGCGACGGAGCGGAGCGGAAACGGGGACAGCGAACACAGCAAGCACAGGAACCACCGGGATGCACAGATCAAGGAAGGAACTTGGCCATGTCCATTGTGGATTGTACAATTAAGAGCTCGCATCTATTCCTCATCCACAACCTTTATGCTCGGAATGGGTGGGGTTTGGAAGCAGCCAGGATTAGGGATGTTGAGCACGAATACAAGCGAGAAAATCTGCCCAAAGTGGGCAGACCGTTACAGTACGCCAGGGGCCACGCCGCTCCGGGAGCGGAATTTGCTTCGCACTTAACCAAGACAAGGCCCGCCGTGTGGGGAGCCAAATGGACTCATTGAAAGCATGCTACACAGTAGATTTCTAGTCGCCGACCATATCAGATCTAGTTTCATCACGGTCTGTTAACCCCCACCAAGCTTAGGAACTCTTTCCTTGTCTTCTCCTGCGCCTCAAAACAACCCAGCATGCAGCTCGTTATCGTCGTTGCGGTTGATTTCCCAACACCCCGCATCACCATGCATAAATGACTCGCTTCCATAACCACTGCTACACCTTGGGGTTGAAGCACCTCCATGATAGTGTTTGCAACATCCTTGGTTAGTCTCTCTTGGATCTGCAAACGCCGGCTAAACATCTCGGCGATCCGGGGTAGCTTGGAGATACCAATGACCGAGTGGTAAGGAATGTAAGCAATGTGCATCTTCCCGATGAATGGGAGCATGTGGTGCTCGCAAATGCTGAAGATGTCGATGTCCTTGACAATCACCATCTCGTGGTGACCTTCATGGAAGATGGCGTTGTTGACAATCTCATGGATGTTCTGACCATAGCCCTGCGTCAAGAACATCATCGCCTTCGCGTATCGTTCGGGTGTGTTGAGGACACCTGGCCGGTCGGGATTTTCGCCAATACATTCGAGCATGGTTCTCACGGCATCTCCCAGCTTGCCGAGGCGCTTTACGCTTTGCTCGGGAGACTCTTCAATCCTGGTTCGAGTGCCGATGCCTAACGAGAGAGTTAGACTGCTGTTCAGGGGAAATGGGAACTTGCACTAGGAGTCTAGGACGTACCTGGTCGGCTGAGACCATTAGGGTCTATCACCGGGATGGGTGCGCTCATCTCCTCTCCACCTGGTCTTAGTACCTTGCTTGGCTGCGATGAGTTTGGCCCATCCTCGGGCTCCTTGGAAGTCTTCTCCTTGCGATGTCGCCGCTTCATTCGTATGCCGTTGCCGTAAGCGCCATCCATTTGCACTTTGAACTTCCGCTTCGTCATTTTCGTCCTTGATTCTGGACGTCACCGTACTGTGATTTCTGGCGGTGCCCTTCGTCTGACCAATCTTCCGGCTGTAGGTGCTTTTGGTGTCGAACCTGTCTCAAGTCAAGGCAGCTAAACCGGTGGCTTTTGTCGCCGGGCCGCTTCTCTCGAAAGAGAAACGCGGCGTCGCCTGAAGTGTACCGCTGTGGGCGGCTGCCAGCAAAGACTGCCGGGAGGCAGCATCCCGTCGGAGATGAAACAGCAAACAAAATGACTCTGTGGGCCTCAACATGGCCCTCAACACAGATCGCATCATCCAATAAGTTAATCTTGAATGTGCTGAGGCCAACAGCCCACGTATATTGTGCTACCCAGATGACTGGCTCGGTCGGCAACCCCTTAAGCAGTGTCCCGTAATTTGACGCAAATACGAGCAGCGACGATACCAGTCATCAACAGACACAAAGACATATTATGATTATGGTTCCCGAGCCATTTTCTTTTTCGCTCGGAGCATTCCAACAATCTTCTTACAACGCACCGCAACAAACTCAAATGGCTACTCTCGACTCCCTCAAGCGTGCTCTCAAGCAACAGTCCGCAGCCGCAGCTGCAGCCTCTACGCAGCATCCGCTGTCTGAAACACAGTACAGCGCAGGCTTTGGTCTCTTCACTCAGGACCTAGCATGGATTACGTACGAGAACTTCATCGTTCCTGAGCTGTCCCAAGTGCTCTCTCCTCTCTTCGACTCTCGTCTCCAGATTTCCATCCTCGAAATTGGACCGGGCCCAAACACCGTTCTTGGTTACTTGCCTGATTCCCTGAGAGAGAAGATCAAGAAATACACCGCATGGGAACCCAACGCCTTGTTTGCGACAGCGTTGGAAGAAAGGCTTCAGCCTACCCCCGAGTCTCCGCTGCCGTGTCTGCAAAGCCCGCCCCGCATCCATCGGGCACCTTTCGCCACAGAAGACAAGATACAAGACTGCAGCGAAAAGTTCGATGTCATTCTCTTCTGTCACAGCATGTACGGTATGAAGCCCAAGCGCAAATTCATCGAACAGGCGCTTGAAATGCTTGTGGAGCGACCGCGAGACGCACTGGTGGTGGTTTTCCATCGTGAAGGCCTGTACCTGGACGGCTTAGTGCCCCATCAAACCAAGTATTTTCCTAACGGTGTTGTGCGCGTTGCACATAACGATGCGGCACTGGACTCTTTTGCTGCTTTTATCGCGGGGTTATCCAGGACGATGCTGTCAAATCCAAATGGCGCGACGTGTGCCGCTCGTTCGGCCGCCGTGAGCCAGGTGACCCAGGCCACATCCTGCTCGCCGCTCCCGACGTTATGGCAACCTTTAGCCGGCATGCAACCGCGTTGCCGATGCTGACGGCTGTGGTGCCGTTTGTAAACGGCGGCGGCAACACAGTCAAGAACAGGGAAGCGCGTCTACGCCGTCCCGCGGCGATCATGAAGCCATCAGAGATCGGCCACGTCCAGGAGTGCGTCCGATGGGCGTTACAACACAACACTGGTTTGACCGTCATCAGCGGGGGCCATAGTGGCCATTGCGTTTGGCCCAATGTCGTGGCTGTCGACATGGGCGCTTTTAATCGGGTCCATATCCTTGCGGCCGGGGAACACGGCGAGTTTGGGACCCTGGTCCACGCCGAAACTGGCTGCAAAACCGGCGATATTGTCCGTGAAGTCATGGCGGCAGGTTTAACGGTCCCCTTGGGGGCTCGCCCAAGCGTGGGCGCGGGGTTGTGGCTACAAGGCGGCATTGGGCACCTGGCAAGGCAATACGGGCTGGGGTGTGATGCAATTGTCGGTGCTGTCATCGTCAGCGTCAAGTCCGGGGAGGTGCTCAGCGTTGGCTGTGTGCCTAACCAGCATCGACCGCCCAATGCCATGTGCCTAGATGATGAAGAACTGTTATGGGGGCTCAGGGGCGCTGGCACGAACCTTGGGATTGTGGTCAGTGTCATGTTCAAGGCTTACCCAGCCCCAACATACTCCGTTCGCAACTGGATTTTGCCGCTCAATGATGACCTTGAGGCGCGGCGTAAACTCGACACCTTTAACACATGGATCGTGAGAGAATTGCCCCGGAACTGTTCTGCGGACGCATATCTGTATTCGAACGATGGCCAGTTATTCCTTGGGGTGACCCTGTTCGAAACATCCACGCCTCTCCCTACCCCTGCCGCCATGATTTTGGGGCCACCGTCAAGTTCCGACATCGTCGACAGCGTCGGTGCATTCGAAAGCGAGATGTACATGTCGGGGATGCACGGCGGGCACGGCGGAGGCAAGACATCCTCATTCAAGCGAAGTTTGTTCCTTCAAAACATTGGACAAGCCGACGTTGCAAGTCTCCTCGTGGCCGCCGTCGAGACACGTCCCACTCCGTTTTGCTATCTCCATTTACTACACGGCGGCGGGGCAATCAACGACGCGCCCCCGGACTCTACGGCCTTTGGCTGTCGAGACTGGGATTTTGCTTGTGTGATAACCGCCGTCTGGCCTCGGGATCAGGACGGAACGGAAATTGCTCTGGCGTCCGTCCGCTGGGTTTATGAGGTTGTCGGGAGGCTTTTGCCCGTCAGCAACGGGGCTTACGGAGCCGACCTTGGGCCGGACCCGAGAGACGCCGCGCTGGCGGCTACGGCGTTTGGTTCGAATCTCGGTCGCTTGGCCCGCCTTAAACACGCCTTGGATCCCCGCTGTGTGTTACCATATGCTTGCCCGCTCCCGGGAGTGCCGATGGAACCGAAACTGATTGTCCTTGTCACCGGTGAACACGGCGCCGGCAAGGACTACTGCGCCGACCTTTGGGTTGAGTTCTTCAATAACAACAAGTTTCGGGCACAAGCAGTCAGCATCAGCGATGCGACCAAACGCGAATATGCGTCAGCTACCGGTGCCAACTTGGACCGTTTGTTCCAGGACCGTGCCTACAAGGAGCAACACCGGCCGGCTCTGACGTCTTACTTCCAGGCCCAAGTGTATCAGCGTCCCCGACTCCTAGAGGAACACTTTCTGAGTGCAGTCCATGGTGCTTCGGGTATCGATGTTCTCTTTGTAACGGGAATGAGGGACGAGGCCCCGGTGGCGACCATGTCGCACCTGGTACCTGGGTCCAGGCTGCTGGAAGTTTCCGTGGAAACCCACGAAGAGACGCGGCGGGCACGCCGAGGATATCTCAAAGCTGACGATGTTGTTCAAGTTCGTAGCAAGGACAACGAGAACCAGAAATCAGGTTTGGTGGTCACGGACAGCCGTCCCAGTCTTATCTTCAGCAACGACACAGCCGGAAGCGAGGCAGGGGCAACGTTCGCCGAGCAGCAACTCCTTCCCTTCTTACACGAGGACCTGGAACGCCTCGCTGCCATGGTGCGCTCCATACCCGACTTTCCACGCCTAGGCATCTCGTTCCGCCACGTACTCGACATCTCTCAGCGACCAGGTGGGTTGGCCCTATGCACCTCGCTGATGACAAGTCACTTCGCCGGCGATTGGAATAAACTTGATGCGGTGGTGTGTTGCGAAGCTGGCGGCTTTGTTTTCGCATCGGCGTTGGCCTCGCAGGTCAACATACCCTTGGTGCTCATTCGCGAAGCTGGGAAGCTCCCGCCGCCCACTGTTTCCGTCCTTAAATCCTCGTCACATATCTCATCCGCGACATCCCATGAATCAAAGGAGAGGATCGAGATGGAGCGGGATGTGGTCCGTAAAGGGGCGTCGGTGTTGGTCGTGGATGATGTGCTAGCTACCGGCCGGACGCTGTCCGCCGTCCTACGGCTCTTGGCTGAAGGTGGGGTCGGTGCTCAAAGCATTAATGTCATGGTAGTGGTAGAGTTTCCTGTTCATCAGGGCCGGGAACTGTTACGGCAACATGGTTTTGGTGGGGTTGGCATCCAAAGCCTTTTGGTCTTTGGTGGTATGTAACAAGGGGGGGATATGGGTTGGTTGATTGGATTTTGGATTTGTACCAGGAGCGTGGATACACAACGTCGTCTTGTCCGTGGATGCTGTGGATGGCGCGATGTGACCTGAGCATGTCATCTTAGCCGTCTCATGCTGGGTTCAATAAGCTGTTGATTTACCATTAAAATCCAGCTCGAGGTTCTGAGCCGCTTGTTGGTAAGTGCGAATATATCCCGGCTTGGTTTCGACCAGCCGCTTTCGTTGATCAGCGGCTCCATAGCCATTGAACCGCTCAGAGAAATGAGTAGCTCATATGCATGAAGCGGTTCAATTATAGAAGCTGTTGAATTGGCAACAAGCCGCTGCCTAGCGGTTAGTATATGGCTTGTAAACCACGAGCCGTTCCAAACCACGAGCCGCTCAGTAACGCGAGCCGGGTCCAAGCTCAGGGGCCCGAAGTGGGCCCGGTCAAATCGATGCACAGACCACATACACGGACCCATTTAATTGTGGCCTCAGCTCACTTATCGCAATCAGTATTCTCCCAATCTCCTTATCGCTACATACAGCCACTGCAACCTGCATCCATGCTCGCCCCTTGGCTCCACCCAGTTGCCTTGTGCCATACTCCATTGCCGGCGTGCCGCACTATGGATATGCTGTGTTGTGATCAAGTGAACTGCACTCGCCAATTGACACAGAGAAGCTGGGTGTCGTCAGTGAGGTCATGGTTGATGTTGGTCACCAAGCGCCGACCATCCTCTCCTGCCTCGGTGGTGAATGGCACCATGTACAACCGGCTGCGATGGAGAGCGGGTAAACCGACAATCAGCTGGCAACAGCGATCATCTTCCTGTGCCATGCCGATATGTTGGCCGGGCTGAGCAATCTGCATCAAGGGAAGGCCCGTGAGAGGCTCCGAGGCCTCTATCTTGCGGAGTGGAGTAACGATGAGGAAGACATAAGTTGTGCCTGCAGATCATTGGCATTGTTAGCAAGTCATACCTGGTACGCAACTCCACCAGACAAGGGGGGCTGCCTATAAGCAGTGATTGCAGATGGCACAGAGGGCGCTCCCGTGGCCCGTGTAGAATGTGGACTAACCTGCAATGGGTTCATGCGTCATGATGTGGTCCAGCCGGCCGATGTCGCCAGCTATCCGGAAAGCCACGTACTGCCCTCGCTGATAAACGAGACGCCGAGCCCCAGTCGGGTTGTTGCTAAATGATCCGTTAATGCGCCGTAGTAGGGAAGGGGGCGGTCGTGTACATACCTGTCTGCGAAGGAGACCTTTTTCCACCAGCGTACCCGTAAATTGGTACTCATGATGATGTTCCTACCATAGTCAGCCCGGTATGCATCCCGAACCTGCCGAGCAAAGACCGGCTGGAATTCAGCCTCGCGAGTGGGGAAACCCATCGCCTTGTATACCCTGGCTTTGACCGCTATCAATACAGTCGCCGCTGGATGAGACCCGTCGGTAACGATCCTGAGTGTGATGGACGGGTCATCTTCGTCCTCTGCATCATCTCGGGCAAGCTCGTCGTGCGGGAGCAATGAAGAGAACAACGTCGGTACCGATGCTGCAAGATTCTTCAGTTTCTTGGTTATATCCGGCTCGTCCTGGAAGCCATCCAGCAAGATAAGGCGCACAGTCTGCATCATATTCTCGTACGACAGGCAGTCCTTCTCGGGGTTGCGGTGGTTCATCGTAACCACAAGGTTCTTCCATAGCCTGTCCACCAAGCGCATCAGTCGTGGCTTAACACTCGAGGGCAATACCACTTACTTATGCTTCATCTCTCCTGGCAAGACCATCAACAACGAAACCAATCCATACCGGCGATACACGTCGATGTAGTGCAGGCCGATATGCACATTCGGGCGAGCGCTCCACTGTCGATACTTGTGGGCTTTTTGGGCGACGGTATGCTGGTCGATGTTGACATCATTGTCGACAGCATCGTCCTCCTCGATCTCCATCGTAGCCATAGTGTTGGCCATGGCGGCTGCTGCTGCTGGTGTTGATATCCCGCCAGCCACGGCGGGGGCCACAGAAGCTGCGCGCGAGTTTGCCGCAGTACCGCGTCCACGACGACGAGCAGCACGGGTCGATTGGTCAGTGGACTGCGCTGCAGCTTCACACATTAGCTGAAATAACCGTCTGCTAAGGCGAATACTCTCAAACATCGCCTTGTCGTCGCGATCTTCTATAGTCATCTCAGGGGTTGACAAGGCCGAGTTTGTCTTGACGATCGCAGCCAAGGTGATAGTTAGAATGTCGATAAGGCTCTTACCTTCCACCTTCGTGGCTATAGTTGCGTCAATTGAACACGCAGTGCTAGCTGTCAGCTTGGACTGATCAAACACTGCCTTCATTGCACGGGCAAAAGGGCGCTTGAGGTCAGACTCCTTCAACCATAATAGCGAGATTATGGTCATCAAGACAGACCAACGGGCATGCTCCTGCAAACTGTACCTTAGTACATTGTATGGGGATTGGATTCGAGCCCATCCGGGTGGGAACGGTATTCGACGCAAGGCTTTAGTGTAGGCAACGACGCTGTCGGGCTTCAGAGCCTATACCTCTATGTCAGCTTTGGTCGCTATATCAAGGGGGTACTCACTGCGTCAAGGAGAAGCTGGTGTATCATCTTGGTGATACCATTGAACTCCGAATGTGCGGCATCACTGGGGCGACCACCGATAAGATCCAGTGCTGGGGCGACATACATGACTGCAGGCACCTCAAGAGATATACCGTGCTTGGTCGAAAACGCCTCCTTCTTGTACTTTTGGTGCAGTTCCTCATCCATCCAACGACGAAGGCGAACCATCTCCATATGGCCACGGGCATTGCCTATCACGTCGACGTCGAGGTCATCACGGTTGTTGGAAGTGACGAGACACGATCGGCAACTAAGATTGGCCGCGACACTCGGACACCCTGAGTTCTGTTGTTGCTGTGGCATGTCGCCGGTCAGGGCGAAGATGGATACGCACAGCATAGTGCGCTCCCCGTTGATATCGACAGCAATACCACGGTCGAGAGCTCTCAGCGGCGCCAAGGCCTTCATGACATCGTGCATATTGGCACCATGTGGTCCCAGTGTAACCGGTAGGACGTTGATCTGGCGGGTGTGTTCGCTTCTCGGCATAGCGGCGATCTGAAGATAGCAGCCCATGATGGACTTGGTCATAGTGCGAAGCCATCGTTGAAGTTCAGGCACGGGAGACACCGGACACGACCTTCTGCACCTTGAGCGAACGTCTTGACCAGCCAGTCGCGGCCAAACTCATCGACTTCGAGGGCACCAGGGACCAGAGAGACTAGGCAGGGTGGCACCAGCGCCATATGCTCCCGGTCGAATATGCGGGTGATCAATGGTTGTTCACGTCTAGCGATTGGATCACCCGGGAACCGCACTTTGCTGCCAAACGCATAGTCGAAGCGGATGTTGTCGCGACGGCCGGTGACCATGGCTGGTGAAATAAGCTCCATTGGGCTCATGCAAAGGACCAGCTCGTCGTCATCTAGTGTATCTTCGGCTGGGTTGATCTTGATCGCCTTGCCCTTCTGGACGAACTGTCGGTTGATGAACTTGCCAGAACATATCCGTGAGATAACCAGGACAACATCGCCTTTCGTGTTCTTCTCAGCCCCGGTGCTGGGGTCGCCGATGAAGTTGCCGAGATGACGGGAACTATCGCGATGATCGCGGAACATTGCCTGGATCTGTCCGAGATGGACTTTCGTGGCGACCCTGACATTTGTAGCGACCTTTTCATGGCAGCCGGTACAGGCTGGGAACGCGCATTGGTATGCGATAATGTCGCCAGGGAAGATGGGTTCCATGGAAGGGAAGGGCGGATAGTATGCGAATTCGCCGCTGGTGGTGCGTACCGAGCCGGCCCATTGCATCGAATGCCACGCCTCCGACGGGTTATCCACAAGTTGAGCCATACCGAAGTGTAATGTGCTGGAGATGCGGGAGCTAAGAATGCGGCGAAGGAGGTCCACAGGGTTCAAGAAGAAGAGGTCCTGTGTAGGGCTTTCACCCGACATGATTGCCGACAACATCCGGGACGACGACAACTTCTTAGGGTTCAGCGGCAGGTCTTTGACCACACGCATGTCGATACGCGGTATCGATTCCCGGACGTGGCGCTTCAGAGTGTCAAGGCTATCGGGCAACCGACTGATCTTATCGGAATGACCAAGCAGTTTGAGAAGTTGAAGGAGAGTTGAGTATTGCTTGCGGGATACACTGTGAATGATGCAATACAGGCCTAAACCCAAGGCAAACTCCGACAGGTCGTGTGCTTTACGGTGTTGCTCAACTGGTTGCGAGGCTGCGAACGGGTCTTCGGGCTCGGAGGTTTGGTATTGACCGGTGGTGTCCCAGGGTGCGGCAACCGCGATGGTATCTAGCACCTCCTCTTCATGTTCATTGGCGGCGGAGATGCCTTCCGCTTCATCGTCGTGGCTCTCGATGGTATCAGCGGCATACTGGTACTCGGCCAGTTCCTGCAGCTCTTGCTGGAGCGGACCGTCGTCTGCAAGTTGATACTCGTCGGTCTCGGGGTTGGGATAGACGACGTGGTCTGCTTCGTTCACTACATCGATCAAGGCTCGGGCAAGCTCGAAGTCGTCGAAATCCTACAGGCAGCAGATTAGTGATCTGGTACATGAGTAGTTGGTCTAACCTACAGTAGCAGATGTGATCGGTTCCCAATCGCCGCCATCGCCGTCGCTATCGGTCGGCTCTTTGTGACGAGGACGCTGAGGCGAAGAGCCACGTTCCCGGTCGGTCGAGTTAAGGCGCTGGCGCTTTGCAGCTTCGCGCTTCTGCAGTCGACGGCGAATCAACGCCTTCTTCGCACGATGCTGTAAAGCGCGTGGCATCTTGAGCTTAAAAAACGGCATCAACGAGAGGGATAACGACGCGACTTGCGAGAAAGAGTGGGAGGTGGGAGGCGGGAGGTGGAGTGGTTGAAAATTCTTGCAGTTGTTGTAAAGGCTTATTGACTGGAAGGTGCCTGTGCCCGGGCCTATTAACATGGAAGGTACGTTGTGAGGCCGAAAAGGGGCTTATTTCAATATACACCAAAAACCTGAACCTTCGACCAACCTTCAATTGAACTTACTATTACCACGATCGCAACTGCTTCCACTGTTTCCACGGCGTTTGACTACTTCATTTCAACACAATTGTCAATTTTGATCATTGAAGCTTTGGATTGACAGCAATTTGAACTTGAAGCAAATGGGTATCATGCTAATAATGAAGGAAAAGGCAAAACACACGCCAAACGCCCACACAACCCCCCACCGCTTACTCCTCCCTGTCCGACGGCGGCGCCTCGTCAATCACAAATCGTTCTACATGTTATATAGCTATCAGCAATCCTACCCAACCCATTCATCCCAGACGCTTGGGGGGGGGGGGGAGGGAGATTACTTACCGAGGTTGGCCTTGGTCGTCGCAGAGGAGTTCTTCTTCTGCTTCTTCTGGCGGCGCTGCCGCTCGAAGACCCACGCAAAGTGAGTCTCGTTGAGACTCCTATACTCTATTACAATGATGTCAGTAAGCATCGCAATCCCATAGACAAATAATAACATACCCGACTTCTTTGGCATGTCGTCGTAGTACGACAACAACTTAACGCGGCGAGCAATACCAGCGTCCGCGTCCTGCTTCTTGACCCGCATCCTACCCGCCAACACCAATAGTCAGTCCCCAAAGCCAGTTCACCAATCCTGCGTATACAGTACATACCACTCTGCTACCTCTAGGGCCAGGCCTTTGAACATCGCTTCCCTCTCGCATTAGTACAACCTAACCCGCATGCGAATGATACTTACTGCGTATATAGTACTGTCCCAGTTTAGAAGACCGCTTGAAGTCCAGCCGCCCCTCCATATATGTCCACACTTTAAAGAAGCTCTCCTCCGCCCAGGCCGCATCCGTCATCCGCTTAAGGTAGTCCCGAGGGACTGGCAGCTCCACATTGAGTATGTTTGTATACTCAGGGTGCTCGGCATGGGTTGTAAGTAGTTTCTGTCATATATTAGTGCTAGCCACCATACAATTGCCAACAGATCCATGCCTCCATATGCTCGAGCACGCGGAACTTGCAGTTTTTCTGGTCGTTCATGAACCGCGTACGGGCCTCCTGCCACTCCAAGCCGAAAGGGTCCACATCGTCGCCGTAAATACTCTTAATGTTCTATTGCCATATTAATTAGAAACTAACAACCAAATAACTAGACAGGGGTATATTACCTCCTCGTCCTTCTCCGGCTTGCGCTGGTGGAACAAGAAAACTTGCCGCAAACTCACGTCTGTGAGCTTACGCTCGTTGGCGTCGTCCTTAGCCATCTCGGCCGCCACTGCGTCATCATTCGAACCCGGTTGTTCTGGCTCGGGCTCGGGTCTACGGCGGCGTTTGGTAACGCGGCGAACGTCCATCGAGGTTTTGCCCCAAAGGGTCTTCTCTCTCTCGGTCTGCCACAACAGATGTCAGTCAAATGGCAGAGGACAGCAGCCAGTGTACTATACCAAGGAACTCTTTGCATGTAGCTTGTAGTCCAACTGTCAGCTAGGTTCATTCACAACTTGGAAAGGAAGGACGAGACTTGAAGCCTTACAGGATTGGTGGCGTTGGCGTTGGCGTTGGCGTTGGCGTTGGCGTTGGCGTTGGCGCTGGTACTGGTGCTGGTACTGGTACTGGTGCTGGTACTGGTACTGGTACCCGTGCTAATACTGGTGCTCTGCTGGGGGGGGTTGGGGTTGGCGTCCGCGCCCGGCTTCCATAACACTCTGTTAGCCCGTACTGGCCAGCAAAACACAAGTGTCCAATGTGCCATACGCCTCGCAGGAGGGGATCGACGAGGTTATCGTCAAGTTCGGTCCCCCATAGATTAGACATGATGCTATACCAGGTTAGTTACATATCCTCCCACAAGCTCCAACGCCATGATCGTATACTAACAAAGGAGAGGTCGCCGGGGGGCGAGAGTATAGTAATAGAGGACTACGCAGTGATCTCGGTTAGTCGAATCAGTCATATACAGAACTTGAAGCCAGCCTTCTACCCTTCTTCTACGTACAAGGTATTGCCTGGCGTGAAGTAAGGCTTGTGTTGTCAGTGCTAACGGGTTCCATTAGCCTTTAAGCAAATACAGGGACCAGCAAAAGAACTGGACATACCGGCCTCTTGCGTGGAGAAGGCCTGTTAGTGTACGGGCTAACATCTTATCAGCTTTGAGCCGTTGTGGCACGATGCATGGAACGGGCATACATGGCTTGAAGTAGGCCTGGAGGGGTGGCACGACGCAGTCGGGATTGGTAGAGATACTGTCCGAAAGTCCCGTCAGCATATGTCAACTACCTATGTACCTAGCTCAAACTTCGTCGGGGGTAACAGGTAATAAGGGCAAGTACCAGACACTGTCCCATCGCAATTGGTTGCGCCATAATGACTCGTGAATGCCCGGGCATCTTCGCGCATTGGATGTCACAAGTCGTGGTGAACTGCAGCGAATGGAACCGAGGGCATTTGGAAACCAGGGGTAATGGCTTTCACCACAACCTTGAAAGTAGGGGGCTGACTTACAGAGACGGGCACCACGGGCAGCGGCAGAGACGGGACGGGCGGGCGGCACAGCGGGGAGAAAGGATGGCGTGGTACCGACGCGTCAAATTCGCTAAGTCAATTTGGTGGGTGGCTGCCTCAGGAACGGCTCGCGCCTCAGGAAAGGCTCGTGGCCCAGGAACGGCTCGCTGGTAAAACCGGCTCACAAATTTAAGCAGCTTCAGCAAATAAGTAGCACATGAGCTATTACATACTAGCTTGTTTAGTGTAAGCCGCTGGAAAAACTGGTGGTTCATATGATGAATTGCTAAGTTAAAACAACTGTCGTTGAAC